CCTCTATCGGCCCTTCCGACACCGTCGTGACGGGACGTTTACCTTTCTCTTCAACAGTAACTTCTTCAGTGACTTGCTGCTTTTGTCCCTTGCGCTTGATAATTTTCTTTTTTGTAATTTTCTTCGGTTCCTTCCCTTTCACAATTTCTTCTGTGATTGTTACTTGTTCTCGTATTTCCTCCACTTCTTTTGGTTTTGCAAATTCAGGAAGCGGTAGGGGCAATATTGTCTCCTCGACAATTTCCTCTACTGGTCCTTCCTTTACCGTTGTGATAGGACGTTTACCCTTTTCTTCCACAGTAACTTCTTCAGTAACATGCTGCTTTTGTCCCTTGCGCTTGATAATTTTTTTCTTCGTAATTTTCCTTGGTTCCTTCCCTTCCACAATTTCTTCCGTGACTGTAACTTGTTCTCGTACTTCTTCTACATCTTCCGGTTTTACAACCTCGGGAAGTGGTAGAGGTAATATTGTCTCTTCAACAACCTCCTCTACTGGCCCTTCCGTTACCGTCGTGACGGGACGCTTACCTGTTTCTTCCACAGTAACTTCTTCAGTAACTTGCTGCTTGTGTCCCTTACGTTTGATAATTTTCTTTTTCGTAATTTTCTTTGGCCTCTTTCCTTCCACAATTTCTTCTGTAACTGTAACTTGTTCTCGGACTTCTTCTACATCTTCTGGTTTTACAAATTCAGGGAGTGGTAGCGATAATATTGTCTCTTCGACAACCTTCTCCATTGGCCCTTCCGACACCGTTGTGACGGGATGCTTATCTTCTTCTTCGATAGTAATTTCTTCAGTAACCTGCTGTTTCTGTCCTTTGCGCTTAATAACTTTCTTTTTTGTGATTTTCTTTGGTTTCTCCCCTTCTAATTTTTCTTCCGTTACTGTGACTTGTTCTCGGACTTCTTCTACATCTTCCAGTTTTATAACTTCGGGAAGTGGTAGAGGTAATACAATCTCTTCGACAACCTCCTCTATCGGTCCTTCCGACAGCGTCGTGACGGGACGCTTACCTTCCTCTTCAACAGTAACTTCTTCAGTTACTTGTTGTTTTTGTCCCTTACGCTTGATAATTTTCTTTTTCGTGATTTTCTTTGGCCTCTTTCCTTCCACAATTTCTTCTGTAACTGTAACTTGTTCTCGAACTTCTTCTATATCCTCTGGTTTTGCAATCTCACGAAGTGGTAGAGGCAATATTGTCTCTTCGATAACTTCCTCTATTGGTCCTTCCGTTACCGTCGTGATGGGACGTTTACCTTTTTCTTCTACAGTAACTTCTTCAGTAACTTGCTGTTTCTGTCCCTTGCGTTTAATAATTTTCTTTTTCGTGATTTTCTTCGGTTTCTTCCCTTTTACAATTTCTTCTGTTACTGTGACTTGCTCTCGAACTTCTTCCACATCTTCCGGTTTTACAATCTTGGGAAGTGGTAGAGGCACTATTGTCTCTTCGACTATCTCTTCTATTGGCCCTTCTGTCACCGTCATGATGGGACGCTTTCCTTTTTCTTCCACAGTAATTTCTTCAGTAACTTGCTGCTTCTGTCCCTTGCGCTTGATAATTTTCTTTTTCGTGATTTTCTTTGGCTTCTTTCCTTCCACAATTTCTTCTGTAACTGTAACTTGTTCTCGAACTTCTTCGACATCTTCTGGTTTTACAAATTCAGGAAGTGGTAGGGGCAATATTGTTTCTTCGACAACCTCCTCTACTGGGCCTTCAGTCACCGTCGTGATGGGAGCTTTATCTTTCTCTTCGACAGTAATCTCTTCACTTACTTGCTGTGTCTTTCCTTTTCTCTTTATAATTTTCTTTTTCGTAATTCGTTTAGGTTTCTTTCCTTCAATTTGTTCTTCTGTCACTGTCACTACTTCTCGTACTTCTTCTATTTCTTGTGGCTTTGTTATTTCTGGGTGTTGTAATGATATTGTGTCTTTAATTATTTTGTCCTCTGCTCCTTCTGTAATAATTATTACTGGAACTTCTTTCTGTAGATCTGTTTCTTCTGTTATAATAGGTTCCGTAAGTTTGTCTTCAGATTCTTCTATTTTTGTAGGTATTATTTCTTCCATTTCTGTGATTCCTGTTACTTCTTCAATTTGCATAAATTGTTTTTTCGGTATTAATGGTATTTGCGATTTTATATCTTCGATTTCTTCTTCGATGACGACAACTTTTTCCTCTTCGGACTTTGTTTTTGGTGTCTTTTTTCGTAATGTTGTTTTCTTTGTTTTAACCGCTGCTGTTTCATCATCTTTACTGCCACGTCTAAATTTCGTAGTGTATTCTTCTGTCACTTCAATATCAGAATCAATCGATGGTTGATGTGTTATATCGTGTTCTGTGATGTGTTGTGTGATTGTGATGTGGTGTTGCACTGATGCTTCTGTGGTTTCTGAAATGTATAGAGAACAAGTGTGGTATGATTAAGATGTTTATGTGTTTTGTGGTGCCGTTTGCGTTACTCACTATTAGTCCCATGTATTTTAATATCAAACACTTCTTTAACTACTTAAAATTATTGGGCACTCGTACGTCGAGGTTTGTCTCGCGTCAAGCATGGCAAAATCGGTTGCAAGTGGAATGCGGTTTAAGGGAATGAATTGTTTTCTTCTATGAATATGTTTATACTGTGCATGGTGGAATTTTGTCTGACATATTGGTCGTGTTTGATTTTGTATTTGACCGTGTTTGCACTTACCTGAGTCACGAAGCTACACATCTTAAGATTATGTTGATTTCAAATGTGTTAGCCTACTTGCAGATTATTACTAGATATCGCTAATTCTATCGCATTTCTAATAATTCGTTTTCTGTCGCATTAGTCCGACCCGTTCAATTTATTATATGTCATTGATCTTGGTCATCGTGTCACATCAAGTCGAGTTTCTCTCGTCGTGTCCGATTTGTCAGTGACAATCATGTTACCTTTAGAAGAATAATACTCACCCACAACTTGTTCCAAGTAGTCAGCTTCGACAGACGCGTTCGCTAATTTTGCTAGAGGTACTACGGTTTCGGGCAGATTTGATTCGATTTCGGCAGCGTGTTGTAATTCGGTAACAATCACACCCTGTTTTTCATCTTCCACTCCGTGGGCTATTTTACCTTCTGGTTTCGACACAACGAACTCTGATGCTACATCCTCCGGAAGAATTTCGGTTTTCAAAGCAACCTTTCGTTTAATTACGTCGGCTTGCGCGCTCGCTTCCTTGGCCTGGCCTTTCACCACTTCTTTCGCTTCTTTTTCCGTGGCGGTCACCTGGATAACTTCAAGTCCTTCGGAAACGCGGAATGCAACTTCTGCTGTTGCGCTTGGCGCCGCCTTGTCGGGAACAAACAATTGTTCGCTTTCCTGAGGAACTGATTGCGTTTGTTGGATACTCTCAAACGGTATTTGTTCCGGCGCTATCTTCTTTACTTCAGGCTTGGCGGGTACTATCATGTCCTCTGCCGTTGCAGAAGTAACTACTTGAGATTTTTCAGCAACGCGTATACTCAGCATACTCGGCTCGGCTGTTTGTTTAGTTGGTTCTTCTGGAGTCAGTAATCCTTTCTCAGTCTCACTGTAAGCCACCTCAGAGACCGACAATGACATCAATTCTTCTAGATTTGGTCTACCTCTGTGTTCTTCGGGAGCTTGTGGTTTAGCAAATTCTTCGACATTACTCACTGTTAGAACTTCCGAGGTCTCCGCGACTTCCACACTGGACACCTTAGGCAGAGCTTTGCGTTTTTTCGGGGCTTCTGGACTCGGCAATTCTTCCTCCGCCTCCGTAGAAATTATTTCAGATATGGCAACAACATTCATTTCTTCAACATCGGGCCTACCTTTTTGAATATCTGTTTTCTTTAATTCAACTATTTGCTCCACATTCGCGACAGTTACGATTTCCGTTGTTTGCGCTACTTCTCTGCCGGTAAAACGCGATTCGGCTGTTTTCTCATCTAATTTTTCTGGGCTCACGAATTGTTCCTCCAGCTCTGTAGATATCACTTGAGAAACCATGAGAGAGGAAAGCTCGTCTAAGCTTGGCTTGACCCTTTGTTCTTCTGGACTTTTGGGTCTGACGAATTCTTCAACGTTCGACATTGTGAGCATCTGAGAGGTCTGGGCAATTTCTCTACCAGACATCGAAGGAATCGCTGTGAGTCCACTGGGTGCATCAGGACTCTGGAAGGTTTCTTCTGTTTCATGAGATAATACCTGAGACACAGTCACTGAAGATAATTCTTCCACTTTGAATTCTCCTTTACGTTTATCGGGTTCTAGCTGTTTCAAAAGCTCTTCTGTTGTTACCATTGTTACAATTTGAGTCGTTTCAGCTACATCTCTGCCAAACAAATCAGCTTGTGCTGTTTTTTCGGTAGGTACCTCTGGAGAAGGCAACACAGCTTCTGCTTCGGTCGACACGGTTTGCGTTACACTCAAAGATAACAACTCCTCGAAATCTGGTTTTCCTTTTTGTACTTCAGGCTTTCGAACCTCGACTAATTCGTCCACGTTTGACGCTACTGTTATTTCAGTAGTTTCAGCTACATCTCTACCGAACAAACTTGTTTCCACCGTTCTTTCGGTTGGTACTTCAGGACTAGGGAGAACATCTTCGGCTTCCTGGGATACTATTTGCGAAACCGTTAAAGACGTAAGTTCTTCCAGACCTGGTTTGCCTTTCTGTTTTTCAGCTTCTTTTGCGGGAACATATTCTTCGGTGCTAGACATCGGTAAAACCATCGTCGTTTCCGCAATGTCTCTACCGAACAGATTAGGCTGCGCTGTCTTTTTTTCAGGAAATTCTTCTTTAACTAATGTTTCTTCAGCTTCGTTGGAAACTATCTGTGATACAGTCAATGAGGATAACTCTTCCACTTTGAACTCTCCTTTACGTTCGTCGGGTGCCAGCTGTTTTGCAAGTTCTTCCGCGCTTATCATTGTTATAATCTGTGTTGTTTCGGCTATGTCTCTGCCAAACAGATCAGCTAGCGCTGTTTTTTCCTTAGGTACCTCTGGAGAAGGCAACACAGCTTCCGCTTCGCCGGATATAGTTTGCGTTACACTCAAGGATTGCAACTCCTCGATATCTGGTTTGCCCTTTTGTACTTCGGGCTTCCGACTTTCGACTAATTCGCCTACATTCGAAGCCATTGTTATTTCCGTAGTTTCAGCTATATCTCTGCCGATCAAACTCGTTTGCACCGTTTTCTCGGTTGGTACTTCAGGACTAGGGAGAATGTCTTCAGCTTCCTGGGATACTATCTGCGAGACTGTCAGAGATGTGAGTTCTTCTAGTCCAGGCTTGCCTTTCTGTTTCTCCATTTCTTTCTCTGGAATGTACTCTTCGGTGCTGGCCATAGCTAAGACAACTGTAGTTTCAGCGACGTCTCTACCAAATAAACTTGGTTGTGCCGTTTTTCCTGTGGGAAATTCGTCCTTAACTAACGTGTCTTCAGCCTCGTTGGAAACTACTTGAGATACAGTCAACGATGATAATTCGTCCACTATAAACTCTCCTTTACGTTCATCGGGTGCTAGCTGCTTCGTAAGTTCTTCCGCGCTTATCATTGTTATAATCTGTGTCGTTTCGGCTACGTCTCTGCCAAATAGATCGGCTAGCGCTGTTTTTTCTTTAGGTATCTCTGGAGAAGGTAACACAGCTTCCGCTTCGTTGGATAGAGTTTGCATTATGCTCAAGGGTAGTAACTCTTCAATATCTGGTATACCCCTTTGTACATCAGGTTTTCGACTTTCCACCAATTCGCCTACATTAGAAGCCATCGTTATTTCTGTGATTTCAGCAATGTCTCTACCGAAGAAACTTGGTTGTGCTGTTTTCTCAGTTGGTATTTCTGCACTAGGAAGAATGTCTTCAGCTTCTTGAGATACTATTTGCGAGACTGTGAGAGATGTAAGTTCTTCTAATCCAGGCTTACCTTTCTGTTTTTCGGTTTCTTTTTCGGGAATGTATTCTTCGGTGCTAGCCATTGCTAGAACCACCGTCGTTTCCGCGATGTCTCTACCAAACAGACTTGGTTGTGCCGTTTTCTCTGCAGGAAATTCGTCCTTAACTAACGTATCTTCAGCCTCGTTAGTAACTATCTGAGACACAGTCAATGATGATAATTCGTCCACTATAAACTGTCCTTTACGTTCGTCCGGTGCTTGCGGTTCCAACAGCTCTTCCGTGGTTATCATTGTTACGATTTGAGTGGTTTCAGCTACATCTCTGCCAAATAGATCGGTTTGCGCTGTTTTTTCGGCAGGTACTTCTGGAAAAGGCAGCACAGCTTCAGCTTCACTGGATACGGTTTGCGTTACACTCAAAGAGACCAATTCCTCGAAATCTGGCTTACCCTTTTGTACCTCGGGCTTTCGACTCTCCACCAATTCGTCTGCATTTGACGTTACTGTTATTTCTGTTGTTTCAGCTACATCTCTACCGAACAAACTTGTTTGCACCGTTCTTTCCGTCGGTACTTCGAGGCTAGGAAGGACGTCTTCCGTTTCCTGAGATATGATTTGTGAAACCGTTAAAGACATAAGTTCTTCAAGACCTGGTTTGCCTTTCTGTTTCTCAGCTTCTTTCTCGGGAACATATTCTTCGGTGTTGGCCATCGCTAAAACTACCGTTGTTTCCGCAATATCTCTACCAAGCAGACTTGGATGTGCCGTTTTTCCAACAGGAAATTCATCCTTAACTAACGTGTCTTCGGCTTCATTAGAAACTACTTGAGATACAGTCAACGAGGATAATTCCTCCACTATAAATTCTCCCCTACGTTCATCGGGTGCTATTTGCTTTGATAGCTCTTCCGTGGTTACCATCGTTACGATTTGAGTCGTTTCGGCTACATCTCTTCCAAACAAATCGGTTTGCGCTGTTTTTTCTGTAGGTACCTCTGGGGAAGGTAGTGCAGCTTCTGCTTCGCCGGATACGGTTTGTGTTACGCTCAAGTATTGTAACTCCTCGATATCTGGTTTTCCTTTTTGTACTTCGGGCTTTCGACTCTCGACAAATTCTCCCACATTTGACGCCATTGTTATTTCTGTGATTTCAGCAACGTCTCTACCGAAGAAACTTGGATGTGCTGTTTTCTCAGTTGGTACTTCTGCACTAGGAAGAACATCTTCAGCTTCTTGGGATACTATTTGCGAAACCGTTAAAGAAGTAAGTTCCTCAAGACCAGGTTGGCCTTTCTGTTTTTCAATTTTTTTCTCGGGGATATATTCATCCGTGCTAGACATCGTTAAGATCATCGTCGTTTGCGCGATATCTCTACCAAACAAACTTGGTTCTGCCGTTTTTCCAGCAGGAAAATCAACCTTAATTAACTTGTCTTCAGCCTCGTTGGAAACTACTTGAGATACAGTCAACGAAGATAATTCTTGCACTATAAACTCTCCCTTACGTTCGTCGGGTGCTAGCTGCTTCGCAAGTTCTTCCGCACTTATCATAGTTATAACTTGTGTTGTCTCGGCTACGTCTCTGCCAAATAGGTCGGCTTGCGCGGTTTTCCCTGCAGGCACTTCTGGAGAAGGTAACACAGCTTCTGCTTCGTTGGATACGGTTTGCGTTATGCTCAAGGGTAGTAATTCCTCGAAGTCCGGTTTTCCCTTTTGTACGTCGGGCTTTCGACTCTCGACAAATTCTCCCACATTTGATGCCATTGTTATTTCTGTGGTTTCAGCAACGTCTCTACCGAAGAAACTTGGTTGTGCTGTTTTCTCGGTTGGTACTTCTGCACTAGGGAGGACATCTTCTGCTTCCTGGGATACTATTTGCGAAACCGTTAAAGATGTAAGTTCTTCCAGACCTGGTTTTCCTTTCTGTATTTCAGCTTCTTTTGTGGGAACATATTCTTCGGTGCTAGACATCGGTAAGACCATCGTCGTTTCCGCAATGTCTCTACCAAGCAGACTTGGTTGCGCCGTTTTCCCAGCAGGAAATTCGTCTTTAACTAATGTGTCTTCAGCCTCATTAGAAACTACCTGAGACACAGTCAGCGAGGACAATTCGTCCACTATAAACTCTCCCTTACGTTCGTCGGGTGTCAGCTGCTTCGCAAGTTTTTCCGCGCTTATCATTGTTATAATTTGTGTCGTTTCGGCTACGTCTCTACCAAACAGATCGGCTTGCGCTGTTTTTTCTTTAGGTACCTCTGGAGAAGGTAGCACAGCTTCCGCTTCACCGGATATAGTTTGCGTTACACTCAAGGATTGTAACTCCTCGATATCTGGTTTTCCCTTTTGTACTTCGGGCTTTCGACTCTCGACAAATTCTCCCACATTTGATGCCATTGTTATTTCTGTGGTTTCAGCAACGTCTCTACCGAAGAAACTTGGTTGTGCTGTTTTCTCGGTTGGTACTTCTGCACTAGGGAGGACATCTTCTGCTTCCTGGGATACTATTTGCGAAACCGTTAAAGATGTAAGTTCTTCCAGACCTGGTTTTCCTTTCTGTATTTCAGCTTCTTTTGTGGGAACATATTCTTCGGTGCTAGACATCGGTAAGACCATCGTCGTTTCCGCAATGTCTCTACCAAGCAGACTTGGTTGCGCCGTTTTCCCAGCAGGAAATTCGTCTTTAACTAATGTGTCTTCAGCCTCGTTAGAAACTACCTGAGACACAGTCAACGAAGACAATTCGTTCACTATAAACTCTCCCTTACGTTCGTCGGGTGCCAGCTGCTTCGCAAGTTCCTCCGCACTTATCATAGTTATAACTTGTGTCGTTTCGGCTACATCTCTGCCAAACAATTCTGGTTGCGCGGTTTTCCCTGCAGGCACTTCTGGAGAAGGTAACACAGCTTCTGCTTCGTTGGATACGGTTTGCGTTATGCTCAAGGGTAGTAATTCCTCGAAGTCCGGTTTTCCCTTTTGTACGTCGGGCTTTTGACTCTCGACAAATTCTCCTACATTTGATGCCATTGTTATTTCTGTGGTTTCAGCTATGTCTCTACCGGAGAAACTAGTTTGCGCTGTTTTTTCGGTTGGTACTTCTGCACTTGGGAGGACGTTTTCGGCTTCCTGGGACACTATTTGCGAAACTGTCAAAGATGTAAGTTCTTCGAGACCAGGTGTGCCCTTCTGTTTTTCAGCTTCTTTTGTGGGTACATACTCCTCGGTGCTAGCCATCGCCAGGACCACTGTCGTCTCCGCGATATCTCTACCGAAGAGACTTGATTGAGCTGTTTTTCCCACAGGAACTTCGTCCTTAATTAACGTGTCTTCGGCTTCATTCGAAATCACTTGTGAAACTGTCAACGAAGTTAATTCTTCAACTTGTCGTTTGCCTTTTTGTTCTTCGGGTCCCTTTGTTGTGAGCTCGTCGGTTTCAGAGATCGTTGTTACTTGAGTTGTTTCGGCTGCTTCTCTACCAGAGACGCTAAATTCAGCCTTGCGATCTTTTGGTGTAGCTTGACTAATTAGGACGTCTTCGATTTCACTCGACACGATTTCAGAAATGGTCAGAGAAGATAATTCTTCGAGTCCCGGTATACCTTTGTGTTCGTCCAATTTGATAGCTTTCGCGAGGTCTTCAATTGTGTTTGCTGTAACTATTTGAAGAGTTTCCGCGGCTTCTCTACCCATCAAATTTGGCTGTGCTTGTTGTTGTTTCGGTGCAACAGCTTCGGGCAGGACGTCCTCGATTTCATTCGGAGCTACCTCGGTGATGACAACTGTAGTAAGACTGTCGAATTGAGGCTTGCCTTTCTGTCCCTCGGGTTTAAATTTGTCTTCAAACGTGTCCTCCTTTTCGGCCACCGTCGTTTCAGATCTCACTATTGTCTCTACCGTGGTCTGAATCATCGTCGCTTGGGAAGAAAATGGTTTCTCCTCGCGTAGTTCCCGAGTGCTCTGCATACTTTCGATGAATGAACCTTCGATAGTTTGGAACACGTCGATGTCTTGCGTGGCTCTCACTTCGGTTCGTTTCGCGGCGACATCCAGCGTCGCTTCTCTGTCATCGGTTATTGTTTCCGAAATCTGCAACGACTTTACCTCCGATATGTCGATGTTCGCCTTTTGCGTCGCAGGTCTGAAGAGTCCATCGAACGTTTTCTCGCTTTCTTCAACGACATTCTCGTTAACGATGATGCTTTCGAACGTGTCGCGGGCCGGCGTGGCCACTTGAGGCGTAGTTTTATCGGGAACTTGCTCGGGCACGTCAACTCGCGACTCCACTATTGTGGTTTCTATCGTGTCGCCCGCGGTGACAAGCGTACGTACGGCTGTTCGCGAGGTCTCGAGTTTCTTCTCTTCCAGCGACTCTTCAACTTCGCCGGATGTAACTTCTGTGATCGACACGCCGTGACCCTCTTCGAAGGTCGGTACGGCTGTGCCGGATATCATCTTCGGATACTTACTGAAAGTACCTTCGCTTTCCGCGCTTGGAACCTCTTCGACGACGATGGGCTCGAATGTGTCTTGCCTCATGTGGGCTTCCGCTTGAGTCTTCTCGAAGGGCTTAACCGCACCGGTACTTTGTTCGATGAACACTTGGGCCTTTTGAGCGACGTCCATACCGACTCTCGTCAGTCTGACTTCAGCTGTGTTCTCTTCGTGCTTCTGAATGGTCATCGTGGCCTCCTTGTCCTGCGTTACGACCTGACCCACGGTAATACTTTTGCCCTCCACGAAGCTAACATCCGCGCTTCGCTCGTCGGGCTTGAATTTGTCATGGAATGTCGCACCGTGTTCTTGGGATACCGTCTCACTGACGCCGATGCTTTCCAAGGTAGTTTGCGTCCGATGCGCCTCGTATGCGATCGGTTTCGCTGCTGCGGCCAGTTCCCCGAGTTCTTCGCGCAAATTGATCTCCGTGCGTTCGGCCACTTCCTTGCCATCCATCGCGAGACTCGCCTTTTCTTCACGGAGCTTCTTCTCGGTGAACTCCGCTTCAACGTCTTGAGTCGTCGTCGATTCCGTGATGGCGACGAATCTGTTCTCATCTAACACGACGCGCGCACTCGATTTCGTCAATGGTGCCTCCTGGACTCTGTCCGCTTCTCTCTCCACCGGCACTTGCTCGCTCAACTGCACCGTCTCGTAAGGTTTCCGTCCGATCAACGCTGTCGCCTTGGTCGGCGCTCGCTCTTCGCTCATTTCGCCCGTGCTCGAACCGGGGATTATTTCCGACTTTTCGGCCACTTCGTGGCCGGGAACGATGACCGGCTGCGCCGAATGAGATCTGTCTTCCTGTATCGTTTCCAGGGGAGCTTCCTTGTCGGCCATTCTGATCTCCGTGACGGACGTGACGTGATAGCCCTCTTCGACGGCCAATTCGATTTTCTGCTGCTCCGGCATGAATTTCTCTTCGAACGGTTTCTCTTTGTCCTGTACCAAGCCCTCGGTCACCAGGACACTTTGGTAGACTTCTCGCGTAGTCGATACCGTCTCGGTGTCCGGCTTCTCGATCCTGACCTCTCCCACAGAATGTTCAATCGCCACTGCGGTCGTCTCGGCAATAGCATGGGTGGCATCGATCCCGAAGGAAGCGGCGTATTGGCGCGGCTGCTCCACCACCTTGTACGGCGACTCTTTGTCCGCGGGTGTCACGTGCGATATGCTCACAATCGTCTTGCCTTCTTCCATGTCGATGTTCACCGTCTTATTCTCCGGCATCAACGCCGGCACGTATCGCTCTTCTTTCTCTTGAACGATTGGCTGCGACTCCATCAGCGGATTGAACACCACGTGATCTGGGATCGCGACAGCTCCTTGCGGTGCTTCGCCGACTGCGACTTCGCCGGTGCTGAAATCGGGTACTTGCATCGTCACTTCGGCGACGCCGCGGGTCTCGATCAGACTCTTCTCCGCTGTTCTCAGTTCCGGGCTTTCCCTCGGCTTATACTCGGCCTCTTTGTCCTCTAAGATCACCGAGGACACCTGTAGACTCTGCTCCACTACCACGGAGAGATCGGCCAAGGCCGTGGACGGCGCTTTATCCTTGCCAAGTATATCTTCCGCTTCGGTCGCTTGCGTTTCCGTTCGTACTAACGCCTCCAAGGGGATGCTCGAGAGCACGGCCGAGGCGGAGCTCGGTTCTGTCTTCGTCAACTCCCCAGCACTGGAATCCGGCGTGATCTCGCTCTTCTCAGCAATTACGTGCCCGAAGAATTGAACCTCGGCCTTCTTCTCCGAGGGCTTCTCGGCAATTCGGAGAACGTCCTCCTTCTCGGCTGGAACTTCGGCGGACGTAGTGGCGCTGATGATTTCGTCGACGGCCACCTGAGCTGTGTCAGTTTTGGCGGGTTTCTCCTTGAATTCGGCTTCCCTCTCCGTCACGACAGTCTCGCTCTGGACGATGCTCTCGAAAGGCAAACGTTCCTCCTTGGCCGCCGCGCTCGTCGGCGCTTTCACGTCAAGATCTCCAGGATAAGCGATCGCTGTAACCTCCGTGAGTTCGGCGACTTTGTGAGCGTCGAAACTAGCAGTGACCTTCTCGCCGGGGATGTCCGGTTTCCTCTCGTACTCCCACTCCTTGTCAGACGCGATGGTCTCGATCACGGTGATGCCCGTTTCTTCCAAGAACGACACGTCCACTTGCTTCTCGTCCGGCTTCACAAAGTCCAGCATCGGCTGTTCCGAATCACCGGCTGAGGTTTCCGACGTTACGATACTGCGATGAGTGATATGCTCGGTCGTGGCTGTCGCAGAGATAGTCTCCTCGCGTTTGAATTGGCCGACGTTGTCGGTTGTAGTTACCTCAGCAGCTTGCGCCACGATGTGAGCGGGAATATCGAAAACGGCGGATTTCGACTCCGGTTTCTCCGCTTCCGCGAACGCGCTCTCCTTGTCCTGCGCCGTCACGGATGAGACGACGAGACTCTCGCCCATGACAAACTCAAGATTGGCTTTCCTCTCCGATGTTGGCATGCGATCGAAGGGTTTCTCCGTCTCTCTGGTTTGAACTTCCTCAGCGACGGCTGTCTCGAATGGTAACAGCGTCGCTTTGGGACGTACTTCTTGAGCGGGCTCGGTGGGCAACTCGGTTGGAGCGACGTCGCTTAGAATTTCGAATTTGGACGCTATACCCTGCGCCACCACGTCGACCGTAGCCTCGGCGGTTTTCGGCGCCGGTTTTTCGCTGAATACTTCTTCTTTGTCCGCAGGATGCGTAATTCCGATCGTCAGACCTTCTCCTTCCTCGAAAGTGACGCCGACTCTCTTGGTCTCGGGCTTCACGTCCGCTGCCAAGGGAGATTCCTTCTCGGATATCGATACTTCCATCTGTTGGACAACGTCTAGTCCGCTTTGCGTTTGGCTGGCGCTCTCCTGGGTCGGCTTCTCCTCCTTCAGTTCGCTTATATTGCTCGCGAGAATCGTCTCCTGCGTCTCCGCTATCTCGTGGCCCTCGGTTACGTCCAATCGGACCTGCCGGCTGTCCGGTAACTTCTCCACCGACAATTCCTCCTCCTTCAACACAGTCGTCACTTCGGTGACGGTCAACTTCTCAGTACGCGAGCACACTTCGAGAGCTGCGCTCTGCTCAACGGGACGCGTATCCTCCTCCCTGGCTCGTTCCGCTTCGCCGACGTTCGTTTCCGTAACGATCAACTCCTCCAAAGCCTCTTGCTGGAACGTCGCTTTGCTCGATTTGGGTACTTCGCTGCTGATCTTTCCGGCGCTTTGCTCCACCAGAATCTCCGCCGTTGACGCGATAGTATGACCGGTTATGGACGATTCGACCGTATGAATCTCCGGCTCGGTGTCTGGTGTGTAGATATTTTCGAGATCGTGCGGAATTACCTCCAAGATACTCGCACCCGGTCTCGTCTCCGTCAGTTCGACGTTCGCTGTCTTTCCTTCGGGCTTCATGTCCGTTCTGTAAACCTCCTCTTTCTCCGCGGTCTCTTGCATAACCACGCTGATTGTTTCTATAGGGATATGAGACGGTTGTGCTTGACCACTGACGGGTCTGTCCTCCGGTAGGTATTCCTGGGTCGGTGACTCGGTTCTCACTTGTTCGCACACCGGAGCGACTTGCGTCGTGTACTCGGTACTCGCGAACGTGCCCTTAATGTCGGCAGCACCGACGTATTCGGTTTCTTTCTCGCTCGCTACGACCATCGTGGTGTGCAAGCTTTCGATCTGATCCATTAATACCACCGCAGTCTTCGCGTCGGGAGCCTTGTCCTCTTTCGACGGAGCTACACCCTCCGCCGCGACGGTCTCGCCGACGATCGTCTCTTGCAGACTGACCGCCTCGATTTTAGCCGTGGCGGTCGACAGATCTTCCTTCGCGACCTCGCCCAAATTACTTTCCGGTTGCGTCTCTTGAACCTCGAGCGAGATCATCGGATGGGTGGGCACGGTCTTGCCGCGACGCGACTCCGGCATCTCGAAGATCTTCAGTTCGGCTTCCTTTTCTATGGAAGTAGTTTGCGATATCTCGATACCTCTGACAGCGTCGTACACGGTCTCTACCGTCTGGCTTTCCGGCTTGGTGTCTTTCTCCATGATCGCCTCTCGGTCATGAGCGAGCGTCTCGAGTACTGTTTTCGCCTCCGTCAACTGCACCGACACGACACCGCTCTCCGAGACGTATTTCAACGTGTCTTTCAGATCCGCCGGATAATCTGCGGTCTGGACTTGGCAGATCAGAACATGTTCTTCCGGACGGACCGATGTCTCCGCTAACGCTTGGAGTGGTTTCTGATCAGCGCTGTAGCTCCCTTCGGACTCTTGGACAATCGTGTCCGTTATCGATCCGATCTCCAGCGAGGATATCGACGGGACCGCCAGTTTACCGGTAGGCTTTTCCTCGGGATGATAGTCTCGTTCCTTCTCGGAAGCCATCGTTTCCACCGTCACGGCCGACACAATCTCGACGACGTTGAAATCCGCCGTAACCCGTTTGTCCTCTTCGATTGTTAAATCATCTTCCTTTTGTTGAGTATCGATCGTCGATATCGTAACCCCCTCCAGAAGAGTGACGTTTGGCGTGGCTTCGAAGGAATCCACCTTACGGCCGGGAACGTATTCGCCCTCGCGCTCCTGCACGAGGTCATGATGGATCACAGCCGTCTCGTTTCCGTAGGAGATCCCGACCTGGGCCGTTTGACTCGGCGGCAATCTACCCGGGATGTACGCCCCTTCTTTCTCGGGCGCATTCATCTCTTCGGTCACGCGTTGCTTCTGCGAGATCACCGTTTCGATGGCAACTTCGGTGGGTACTATCAGCTCCGGATAATATTTTCCTGGCTTGTCCTCGGGACGAACTTCCTCCACTACCAACGGCTCGACCGCGCTGATGTTGACTCTGGGTTTCGTGGCGAGCGTTTTCGCCGGCTCCAACTTGTCCTCGCTCAAACCCTCCTGAACTTCGTAAACCGACAGTCCGATTTGCGGTAAAACGGTGTCCTCCGCCTTCACGGCTAAGGGCGCCACGAAGTTCTCGGTAGGCACTTCGCTCTGGTTGATAATGGTCTCGCTGATGGTCGCGGCTTCCTGCACGGTCACTCGCACGTCCGCCTTTCGACTTGTTTCCGGTTTGGTTGGAGTTAAATTCGCCAGGTCGTCGCCGTGCGATAGAGTTTCGCTGATGAGAAGGCTCTCTTTCGTTATCACGGAAGACGTAGCCTCGTAAGAAGCGGCCTTGAAGGTACCCGAGAATTCATCTGTAGTTACGTGCGCGGTAGTTTCCGTCGTGGAGTACGGCTCCACCGGTGAGATCGATACCGAAGCTTTACGTTCGACGGGCTTGACGCTGATCACGTCGTCAACCTCTTTTTCGTGTATCGACGTGGTCTGTCCGGTTAACGCGATAATAGTGTCCAATGTGTATTTCGCCTTCTCCGATTCAGGTTTACCGGGTGCCTGCTCGACCGTACGATCGAGCGGTATCACTTGGTTACGTTGACTGGACACGTTCAAAGCTATAGACGGCAACGATTGGTCCTTTATCACCTCGAATTCCTCGATCTCCTCGAGTTCGATCTCGTCTTTACCGATGTCCGGTCTCTTCGGCATCATCGCCTTCCTAACTTTCTCGATCGTTTCCTCCTCCTCCACAATATCGATCTGTTTCTCCTCATCTTCCTTTTTCTTACGAATCAATCTGCCCTTTGAGTCCCGTTCGAGTACAATAACCTCTTCCTCGATTTCCTCCTCCTCCTCCTTCTTTCTTTCCTTCTCAACATCCTCGACCTCCTCGACTTTTACAATCTGAACCCCCTCTTCCCTATCTTGTGTGGTTTCTTCGATTTGATCCCGCAGTGTCCTGTCTTTGCGTTTGCGGAGTGTTGTGTGTGCCTGCCGTGTGTCCTCGTATTCTGTGGAAAGTATGTGAGAATTTTGTGTCAGACGCGAGTGTTGTGACATCTACACTCTCGCTCCCTTTCTCTCTATCGATCTCGGGGCTGTCGAACCAGGCATTCCGACCATCTCGTTTCTGCGTACCTTCCTTCCTTTCTTATGCGGGAGGGAAGAAACACAGAGCGATATGGCTGCAAGTGAGTGCTCGGTAAGACAATTCCCATTTCTCGCATACCTCATGCCGCGACTAAAGAGCGCGTGTTCGGCTAAGACACTGACAAACAAACAAGTGGCAATCGTTTGAGTTTCCAGAGATGTGTAAATAAATGAAGAAACGGTTTAGTAGTGTGTAACGTGGTTATTTTCGATCATGCTTGCAACTTTCCATGCGCCTCATACCATTTTGTGCTGAGCGAGATGCCGATAAGAATGTATAGCACTTACGTTTCAAGTCAGAATTGCCGTAGCGCGAACAAGCATCGAGTCGCGAAGCGTTGGTTTTCGAAGCTGATACGGAAAGTAGGTAGAGTTCATAGGGCGATTAAAATGTGACAAAGGGGAAATATATTGTATATGGTGGAGTGAATACAGTGAGATTGGTCGCGCGTGGAAAGCATAGCGGCGTAAGCGGAAAAATCTCACTGCTATTATTCGATCAAGTAAAGCTTCATGCATCTGAAAGCATAATAAAACAACGATCGTTACAGTAGCTGTAATTGGCTTGTCTTGCGACCATAGTGTGCATCTTTTGCTTTTATCTATATCCTAATATACCTATATGCACGAGAAAATATTTCGAGAATATGAAAGTTCCATATTTTTCAGATTAAAGAATACGATTAAATCTCTCTCTACTAAATCAACAAAGCCCCAACTTAAAAACAAACTTAATTTATCACAAATAGACTAGTGTCTTATCGAGAATCAAAACGATTATAAAACTAGGGACACGCGTCAAGTGGCGTCAACCGCGATAGAATTATGCAAAATAATGGCGGAAACGCTATTTATCACGGCGGATATCGATTCGTCGGCCAACTAGATCATACGATTTACAATTATCCCATGCACTGAAACTCGTTGTTTCGAACCTTTAATTTCTCGAATATCCTGCACGTGAGTGGCTTTCCTTTCGTCTCTCCTCTCTGTAATCAGAAAATTCTTACTCTTTCGGAAAATTCCGAACGGATTATAGCGAGAGGAAATATCTAAAGCACATGTGAAACGACGCGCAGATCAAATCGATCAATATTATTATCCTTTGAAGAGATATCGAATACTTAAGCACGCTTGAAATTGCTAACTTGTCGAAAAAGATGTTACAAGTAAATCTAAATCCCATGTGTTTGCGTGAAGAACTTTTGAGATGTTCTTTTCGTAGAAAAACCGCACAGCTTGCTATCTCGGCTTACCCATGAAATGAATTTTTGTTTCGCGAATGACGTCCACTCTTTCCGTAGCGCGTTGCTCAGTCTCGACCTACCCGGGAAAAAATCAATTTTAACAGATCATTTTAATATGAATTTAATTAATATTTCTCTTTAAAATGAAAGATCTCTCTGTAACTTCGCTATAAATTCAGTTAGAGCTCTATTCGTACCTCTGAAATTTCAGTGACTTCCCAAGCACGTGGCCTAAAGTCTTCCGGAGCGAAGTGCGCGATGACTTCTTCTACAGTGGCGTGTTGAAGCTCTACCATTCTCATGAAAGCGCGGAAACCGACCGTCGCCGCGACGAAGCTCTCGTCGGTCGTCGTCTCCTCGGTGAGTACTTGACTGATCAAGGGACCATGACCCTTTCTCTCCACCAATTGAACTAAAGCGTTTTGAGCGTCGGGCGTTTTCAGAGCGGGGAAGATCTCAGTTTTGTAAAGGCTCTCGTTGATCTCGTTAACGGAAACGCCTTGTCGCACCAAGTAGCCGATCGTCGCGAGTTCCCGAAGGGGAGATTCTCCCGGGCCAAATTCTTTCGCGTCCAACAACTCCATTATCTCGTCGACTTCCCGAGCTATGTGCTCTTTCTGCCGCTCCACGATCTCCATTACAGTGATGTCCTCTTGAATCTTTTCCGCTCTCATCTTCTTGGCTTTCTTCTGCTTCACTTCCGTGCGTTTCGTTTCTTGGCCGGTGGTCTCGACGACCGAAACTTTTTGCAGGGTCTCCGAGGTGATCTGAGCGCGGTCGAGCTTCGTTTCGACGGTGAAGTCAGGAGCGATGTCCTCGCTTGTGATTTCCGACACGACGACTACGCTTTCTCGCTCCTCTATAATCGGCTTAGCGCGTTCCTCGAGTTTGGGTACCTCTCGCGGCTTTCGGTCGTCGATCTTCTTCAAAGAAGCCGTTGCTTCGGTCATAACCGGTTCCTGGATCGGCACTATTTTTCGTGCTCTCGAAACCTGAAACATACAAAGTGCAGTGGTCGAGTGTAAAATCCCGCGGAAGAAACACAATCGTATAAAAATTGCGCATTCGTCGCAGTACCTCTTCTGATTTCTCCTTTATAATCTCTGCGGTTTCCAGTAACTGAGTCTCTTCAACGTCGACGATTCTCCTGTAAAAAAAATGGCAAGTGTTACAATTCGTAAACATAACAAGTTAATGGTTCGAATTACAAAATACAAAATGTACGATGACTGACTTTTCTTCCGTCTGTTCTTTCGGTACGAGCTTCTCCTCGTGAATTTCTTCCGTCTCCATCTTAACGCGTTCAGCCTTCACTTTCTCTTTGATTTCCTTCGCTTTCTTTAATTCGGGTTTCTTTTTCTTATGCGGTTTTTCCTCTTGCTTTTTCTTTGTTTCAATGATCTCTTCCTCTTCGACTACCTCCTCCGGCTTTGGTCTTAATTTGCTTATAGTATCGACGTGCAGCTTGGCCTTCGTTATTGTCATGCCGATATCGCTAGTGGCTTTGCAAACATACGTGGCGTCATCTTCTTTGGTAGACCGCTTGATCGTCAGAGTGGTTTTCCTCTCTTCCTCGAATATGCGCACCTTCACGTTTTCCGTATTCATTATGAGCTTATTGTTCTTGTACCAAATAATATCTAGAAGTCGAAGAAAGCAGTAAAGAGAAAGTTTCACGTGACTTCACAATTAATATTCGCGCCGTGCGGCGACAGTTACCTGGTTTGGGGTTACCAGAGTAGACGCATTCAAACAAAGCGGTGTCTCCTTCCTTCGTGTAAACGTCCGTTATTTCTTGGATAAATCGCGGGACAGCTTGCGTGGCTGAAACATGGAGTGTCGTTGTGCTTTTCTGTCATACTATTGGATAGAAATCTTCGCTACATGGGAACAAATCAAACGAATCTTTCTTACCTAATACTGCATTCGGCGTGAAGGTCGCTCGCGTAAACCTGATGTCAGTAATCTGGTTAGGCAAAAACACACATAAAAATTCATGCACGATTATTTCGAAATGTCACGTCTCTACTGTTAGTTTTAAGCGAAATTCTACCTGACATCGAACCCCTCTCGTCTTCGGTATGGTCGTCGTCGTAAGACGCCATGTCGCCGGCCAAGCCAAGATTTCCGCTGCATTGACTTTCTAGCAACAAAAACTCCTGTAATTCCTCCTGGCTGTCGGCTGTATGCAGTTGTTGAAAAGACTCGAGGTCGATTTCTCTCGGCTCCAACGGGAACATCCTCGGATCTGCAGGATAGTTTTCAAATCGTCGTTCCTTCGAGTACTTCGGGACTGGAATCCGCGACTTCGGATACGTGTGATACTTCCTTCTGTAGCTATAATTCGATTTAATTACGGGCTTCTCGACGACGGTTTTCGCGTCCGATTTGTTCCGGCCGCTCGCGCTTGGCTTTTCGCCGCTTTCTTCGATCGGCGACAGATAGAACGCCGATTTAAGGTTGTCTGAAGACGTTCCAGGGCTTGGATGAAAATCTCCTTGAATCTTTCTCTCGTGCCTCGAAGGCGGGAACTCGCCGAAATCGAGGACGATTTTCCTCTTTTTATTCTTCGTCGATGAGTCTACGAGAATTTCACTGAACATCGAATAGTCCTCGCAGACTTTGTTGGTTATCTCTTCTTCGTCGCTCGAGGATTCGACGATCGTAAATGATTTTCCAACGATTTTTTTTTGAACGATAGACTTGGCACTTTCCGTTACGATTGAAGATAGCTGTTTTGGCACGCTTGACACTTTTACGCTCTGCTTGCATTCCCGACGTTTCATTTCTGAAGCTACGGTGTTCCTTGAAATTGACATATAGACATTCTTTGATTCAACTGCTGATATAGCGTGTGATTTTTCGATGGCGGAGCCGGATTTTACCATTTTGCTAGCCGTGGACTTGGCAACCGTCGTGCTTTTCTTGCTTTCTAATGGCATTGTGTGCGAAACATATTTAGATTCGACCGACACCTTCTTTCGCAACCGCGCGTTCAAGTCGAATTCCGTCGGACTTTGTTCCTTTTGAAAAGTGTCCATTTGCCAAGAGTACCTGATTTCGGCGATGTTCTCTTCGATTTTTGTGGAATCGGAGTATCTTCTCGACGAATAATGCCCCTCCGAAGCGGCTTCATCTTCGTCGAGAGGTAATCTGGCATCGTCGCCGATGTTCATTAAGGTCCTCGTTGACGAAAATTCACTGATCACGGTCGAACTGTCCCTCTGAGAGCTTTCGTCTCTGAGTGCATGGTCGTCTAGGCTATCACTCGAAAAGCTACACTCTGCGTCACACGGCATGCGGTCGGTCACGTCCAGGCGATTCTTACCTCTTAGCGCTTCCTGCATTTCCTCCATCTGCGTAACCCATTCTGGTTTCCGGTACTCTTTCGTCCCGAGTATACCTGGGCGACAAGACGATAATCAAAAATGAGAACGCACGGCGAATCTCTCTGGTCCCGTTATCACTCGTAACGGCTAGACGAATTCAAAAGGGACCAGAGAGAATCGTAGACTCGAATGGAATTTGCGATAGATAAAATAAAAGACAGTGTAAGTCGAGGATGTTGCGAGTGTTTAGTGTGGATGTCGTCGGGATTGTCTCAAAAGGGAATTTTTACCGGGATATTATATAGGAGGAAGACTTCGATGATGTTTCTCCAATCGAAGAACGCAGCTGAAAACAACTAGACTTAAACAGATCGGCGAAGTTCTCGGAAACTTGCGAGAAGAAGATATTACCTTCCACTGATAAATACGCCGTCGTAGTCGATACCCCGAGTGGGTTGTGAGCTTCGAATACGATTTCACCCGTGTCGTCGGGGAATGTTTCGGCAATCGTCAGCACCGACGTGCCATCTTCGAACTCCTCTATTAAGAATTCTTGCGACGAGACAATCTCCACGCCTTGCTTGTACCATTTTCCCTCTGGTTTCGGTTTACCTTTCACCTTCACTTCCAATCTGTAGGAGGGAAATTAGCAAATTAATGCTTAAATATCCACACTTACGTCTTAAGTTTAACTATTAATTTTTTATTCGGGTTTTATTTAAAGATTTATGCGACATTTAACGTGAATTATCACACACTCGTCGAATATCTTTGAAACATACCTGGTCAATTCCCCGTCCTTGGTGGGAACTAACTGAGGAAGCTTTCTGGTTATTTCTGGTGCAAATTCCTCCACGTCGGTATCGAAGATAGGAGTTTCCTGGAGACAAGACACAAATCTCAGTGTCTAGCGTCCTGTTATCTAAAATCTCGTATCGCTGTACTTACTTTCGGTGAGAGAAGATCTTCTTCCGAGCCTGTAGTATGGGATGTCGCGATTATCGATGACGCAATTTCCGAGTCGGGCACGTACTCATAGGCTGGAAACGAATTCGATCGTGATCGCATACAGCTATCGCAAATACGCGAAATATCTTTTATGACGTTTAATAACACGCATACCTTCAACGACGAGTGATGACTTGCACACGGCCTCGCCAACGGGATTCACAGCGCGGCAGGTGTATTCTCCAGCATCCTCCGGGAATACTTCGGTGATGGCGAGGCTGCAGATACCCTCCGTATCCTGGACAATCGTAATTTCCTTGCCTTCTTTGATCGGTCTATCGTTGTGGTACCACTCGACCCTGGGCGTCGGTTTCCCTTCAACGACGCAGGTTAAATTAACACTCTCGCCGTCCATAACTCTTACAGGCGAGAGCCTCTTGACGAACGTCGGTGAGACCAACTCAACCGCCTCTTCCCACTTGATCTCCGTGATGTTCACGGTAGCCGTGCAGGTGACCGAGCCGCCGACGTTCTCGGCACGGCAGGTGTAGGTGCCGGCGAGTTCCGGCGTAACTTGCTTCACCATCAAGATCGATCTGTTCTCCTGAGTCACGATCCTCACCTGTGGCGTCGACTGCAATGGAAATAATATTCTTTGTTAATTTCATCGATCGTTCTACGATGAGAGGCGACAAGTAATCTCGGCCGAAAACGAGAACAGCAACTTGAAATACATACCTCGAGAGGTGTGCTTTCGTGGAACCATTGGAAGGACGCCGCCGGATAAGATTCCACTTTTGTCTCCATGATAACGACTTCTCCTTCCGCGACGAGTTGAGGCTGAATCGGCTCCACGAACCTCGGTGCTTTTACCTCGCTGGTGGTGTCCTCGCGTTCCTTCACCGTAACGGAGCTCGAACTCCTCGCTTCGCCGGCTTCATTTTCTACCCTGATCTCGTACTTGCCGCCGTCCTTCTTCGTGACATCCGATACAGTGAGTTCGGTTGTGTTCTCGTAAATGTCGATTTTGCTCTTGTCGGTCGGTGTGATTTCGATGCCATTGCGGAACCACTTGACGTTTGGCTTCGGTACACCTTCGAAATCAGCCAACAGCTTCAGCGGTTTTCCGCGTTCCGCTACGAGAGCGGGTAAAGGTCGTGTAATTCGCGGTGCTCTGAGGACAACTGGTTTGCTGACTTTCACGATGTTACTGATCACCAGATTAGCTCTGCATTCAGCGCGGCCGAATTTATTCACGGCGCGAACGCGATAGATCGTTTCGTCCTCGGGCGTTGGTTCCAAGATGCTGAGTTTGGCTTCTCCGGTCGTCGGGTTGAAAGTTATCTCGGTCTTTTCGTTCGGTTTCACTTCTTTCTCACCGCGATACCACTTCACCTCTGGCATTGGTGTGCCGGTCACAACGCATTCCAATAAGGCAGGTTTGTGCTCTTCGACCATTAGCGGCTTGATCGGCGTTGGGAAATACGGCGCTATGCCTTCCTCTTCTTTTTCTAAAAAAGAGACAAATGTGGTATAGCACTTGTGAAATATTTACACGACGTTCATTATTCCGCAAACCATTGTTACGTGCATTTTATAGGAAAATTATTTATGGGAAAATTAGTTCTTCATTTAGGACGATTGATGTGTGTAAAAATCATGGAAAACATTCAATTATTTACGGTGATGCGTGCGCCCTATAAATATATGTAGAAATAAATATGGGAAATTATAAAAGTGAATAATTCAATTAAGTGTAAATCATCTCGTTTAGTTCCTAATTAAAATCAAGATTAGATAGATTTCACACTCTATAATATTACTACCGAATATCACGAGATTGACAGTGGATGTTGCCACTCCAGCTGGGTTGGAAGCTCTGCAAGAATACAGTCCCGCGTCTTCTTCTTTTACTTTTGTAATTTCCAACACCGCTGTTGTCTCATATATTGTCATAATATATTTCTCACTCGCATGAAGCTCTTGTTCATTCTTGTACCAAGCGATTTCGGGGAAGGGATTTCCTATGACAGTGCACGTGAACTTGGCAGGATTTTCTAGCTCGGCGATAACAGGCTGTAATTTTTGTATAAATCGCGGAGCAATTGTTTTGTCTTTATCCACAATAGAAATGTCAACCTGAGTCCGTTGCCTACGTTTCCTCTTACGATCTTCCACTTGCGTGACATCTTTCTTAACTTGTAATTCGATGTCTTCCATTTCTTTCATTTCCTTTATTTCTGTGACAGTCTTTTGTGTCTCTTCGACGATAGGGACAATTTCCTCTTTCTTCTTTTTGATTTTAGTTATTTCAACAACAGCTTCATCTTTTTCTTCCACTTTCGTTACCTGTTCCTCCAATTTGATAGGTTTCAATTCGATAATTTTCTCTTCTTTTGGCTTCTCTTCCGTGACTTCTTTTTTAATCACCGGTCTTAATTTAACTTCCTCTATTACTTCTTCTTTCTCAATTTTCTTGGGAACAGGTTTCAATTGAACCACATCCTTTTCAATTACCTCGGTTACTATTTCTTTTTTAACTACAGTTGGTATATGTTCCTCGGGCTCTTTCTTTGGTTCCAATTTCTGGACTTTTTCAACGGGCTTCAATACAACAGTTTCTTTCTCTTCTTCCAATTTTATTGGTTTTGGCCTTTTCTTCCTCCATGAAACTTCACTTGTTTCAACTACTTCTTCGGTTACACGTTTCTCTTCTTGCAATTGAATAGGTTCCACTTTCTTTTTGATCTCTTCTTCTTCTTGGATATCTTTGGTTGTAATGATAATTGTTTCTTTCTCTTCACAAACCTCGGTAACCGATTCTTCTTGGTCGATGGGCACTACGGTAACTTCGTCTTTGAAATCGACGACCTTCTTGACCCGTTTACCGCGCCGCCAGGGCAATCCCGATATCTCTGTTGGTTTGTCTTCTTCAGGTTTCTCCTCTGGTTTTTTCTTCTCGACCGGTTTCAAAGAGATTTCTTCCTTCGTTTCTTCCTCTTTAGGAAGCCTTTTCACAGGTTTTAAAACGACTTCCTCTGGTTTCTGTTCTTCTGGTTTCTCTCTCTTCTTTACTGGCTTCAACTGAACGTCTTCGGGTTTCTCTTCCGGCTTCTTCCTTTCCACCGGTTTCAAGGAAATTTCCTCCTTTGTTTCCTCCTCTTTCGGGAGCTTTTTAACTGGTTTCAAAACTATTTCTTCAGGTTTTGGTTCTTCTGGTTTCTCTCTCTTCTTTACTGGCTTCAACTGAACTTCTTCAGGTTTCTCCTCCAGCTTCTTCCTTTCCACCGGTTTCAAAGAGATTTCCTCCCTTGTTTCCTCCTCTTTAGGAAGCCTTTTAACTGGTTTTAGAGTGACTTCCTCTGGTTTTGGTTCCTCTGGTTTATCTCTCTTCTTCACTGGCTTCAGCTGGACTTCTTCGGGTTTCTCCTCCGGCTTCTTCCTTTCTACCGGTTTCAAAGAGATTTCCTCCTTTATTTCCTCCCCTTTGGGAAGCCTTTTAACTGGTTTTAGAGTGACTTCCTCTGGTTTTGGTTCCTCTGGTTTATCTCTCCTCTTCACTGGCACCAGCTGAATTTCTTCAGGTTTCTCCTCCGGCTTCTTTCTTTCTACCGGTTTCAAAGAGATTTCCTCCTTTGTTTCCTCCTCTTTGGGGAGCCTTTTAACTGGTTTTAAAACGATTTCTTCAGGTTTCGGTTTTTCTAGTTTTTCTCTCCTCTTTACTGGCTTTAGCTGAACTTCTTCAGGTTTTTCCTCCGGCTTCTTCCTTTCCACCGGTTTCAAGGAAATTTCTTCCTTTGTTTCCTCTTCTTTGGGTAGCCTTTTCACTGGTTTTAGAGTGACTTCTTCGGGTTTTCCTTCTTCTGGCTTTTCTCTCCTCTTCACTGGTTTCAATTGAACTTCTTCAGGTTTCTCCTCCGGCTTCTTCCTTTCCACCGGTTTCAAGGAGATTTCCTCCTTCGTTTCCTCCTCTTTGGAAAGCCTTTTAACTGGTTTTAGAGTGACTTCCTCTGGTTTCGGTTCTTCTGGTTTCTCTCTTTTCCTTACTGGCTTCAGCTGAACTTCTTCAGGTCTCTCCTCCGGTTTTTCCCTTTCCACCAGTTTCAAGGAGATTTCCTCCTTTGTTTCTTCTTCTTTAGGAAGCCTTTTCACAGGTTTTAAAACGACTTTTTCAGGTTTTGGTTCTTCTGGTTTCTCTTTCCTCTTCACTGGCTTCAACTGAATTTCTTCAGGTTTCTCCTCTGGTTTCTTCCTTTCAACAGGTTTCAAAGAAAATTCCTCCTTTGTTTCCTCCTCTTTGGAAAGTCTTTTCACTGGTTTTAGAGTGACTTCCTCTGGTTTCGGTTCTTCTGGTATTTCTCTCCTTTTTACTGGCTTCAGTTGAACTTCTTCAGGTTTCTCCTCCGGTTTTTCCCTTTCCACCGGTTTCAAGGAGATTTCCTCCTTTGTCCCTTCTTCTTTAGGAAGCCTTTTCACAGGTTTTAAAACGACTTCTTCAGGTTTTGGTTCTTCTGGTTTCTCTCTCCTCTTCACTGGCTTCAACTGAATTTCTTCAGGTTTCTCCTCTGGTTTCTTCCTTTCAACAGGTTTCAAAGAAATTTCCTCCTTTGTTTCCTCCTCTTTGGGAAGTCTTTTCACTGGTTTTAGAGTGACTTCCTCTGGTTTCGGTTCTTCTGGTATTTCTCTCCTTTTTACTGGCTTCAGCTGAACTTCTTCAGGTTTCTCCTCCGGTTCTTTCCTTTCCACCGGTTTCAAGGAGATTTCCTCCTTTGTTTCTTCTTCTTTAGGAAGCCTTTTAACTGGTTTTAAAACCACTTCCTCAGGTTTCGGTTCTTCTGGTTTATCTCTTCTCTTAACTGGCTTCAGCTGAACTTCTTCGGGTTTCTCTTCCGGCTTTTTCCTTTCTACCGGTTTCAAAGAGATTTCCTCTTTTGATTCCTCTTCTTTGGGAAGCCTTTTCACTGGTTTTAGAGTAACTTCCTCCAGTTTTGGTTCCTCTGGTATCTCTTTTCTTTTTATTGGCTTCAACTGAACTTCGTTAGGTTTCTCCTCCGGTTTCTTCCTTTCCACCGGTTTCAAGGAGATTTCCTCCTTTGTTTCCTCCTCTTTGGGGAGCCTTTTACCTGGTTTTAAAACGATTTCTTCAGGTTTCGGTTCTTCTGGTTTCTCTCTCCTCTTCACTGGCTTCAACTGAACTTCTTCAGGTTTCTCCTCCAGCTTCTTCCTTTCCACCGGTTTCAAAGAGATTTCCTCCTTTGTTTCCTCCTCCTTGGGGAGCCTTTTAACTGGTTTTAAAACGATTTCTTCAGGTTTCGGTTCTTCTGGTTTCTCTCTCCTCTTTACTGGCTTTAGCTGAACTTCTTCAGGTTTTTCCTCCGGCTTCTTCCTTTCCACCGGTTTCAAGGAAATTTCTTCCTTTGTTTCCTCTTCTTTGGGTAGCCTTTTCACTGGTTTTAGAGTGACTTCTTCGGGTTTTCCTTCTTCTGGCTTTTCTCTCCTCTTCACTGGTTTCAATTGAACTTCTTCGGGTTTCTCCTCCGGCTTCTTCCTTTCCACCGGTTTCAAGGAAATTTCCTCCTTTGTTTCTTCTTGTTTAGGAAGTCTTTTTACAGGTTTTAAAGTGACTTCCTCGGGTTTTGGTTGTTCTGGTTTCTCTTTTCTTTTCACTGGTTTCAGCTGAATTTCTGTAGGTTTTTCCTCCGGTTTCTTCCTTTCTACCGGTTTCAAGAAGATTTCCTCCTTCGTTTCTTCTTCTTTTGGAAGCTTTTTTATAGGCTTAGGAATGACTTCCTCAGGTTTTGGCTCTTCTGGTTTCTCTCTTTTTTTCACCGGTTTCAACTGAACAACTTCAAGTTTCTCTTCTGGTTTTTCTGTCTTTTCAATTTTTTTAACTGTTTCAGGTGTAATTTCCTCGACTTTCGGTTTCTCAACTTCCGGTGTTATTTTCTGTACTGGTTTCTTTCCACGTCTCCATGGTAATTCTATTTTTTCAGTAGGTACTTCTCCATTAACGATTTCACTGACTTTTTCAGGTTTCAAAGTTCCTACTTCCTCTTTTTCTTTTGTAAACGGTTTAAGGGTGATTTGTTCTCGTTCTTCTTTTTCTTTAGGTAATCGTTTTACCGGTTTGAGTACAATTTCTTCCGTCGATTTCTTTTCTTCGGGCTTCTCCTGTCGTTTTGTCGGTTTCAACACAACGGACGTAATATCTTCGACCTGTGGTTCTTCTTTAACAACTTTGATCGTTTTATCTTTCTTCGGTTTTCGCCATGTTACTTCGGATATTTCCTTGGTGTCCTCTTTTACTTCTTCCTCCGGTTTTTCTGGTTTAACAACGGCTGGTTTCTTACCGCGTACCCAAGGTAACTGTACTCGTTCTTTCTCTTCTTCAGGCGCTTCTGCTTCTGGGATTTTCTGTTGAATCTTCGCAGGTTTTGGTTTACGCCGCCAAGGAGCTTCTGAAATCTCCGCGGGCTTCTCCTCTTCTGGTTTCTCTTCAGGTTTACTTATTAGAGACGGTTCCAACTTCGCTTCTATTTCCTCGACTTTCGGTTTTGGAATGGGTTTTAGTATAATCTCTTCTTTCTCTTTTTCGACTTTTGGTATACGTTGTACCGGTTTTAACTCAACTTTCTCTTGTTCGATGACTTCTTGAGTTCGTTCCGGGCGTTTCACTGGCTTCAGTGTTACCGCGCGTATATTTTCAATTGGCTCTTCCTTCGGTTCAATTATTTTTCGTGGCTTGTCTTTAGAAGGAATTTTGAATATTGGAAGAGTTTCTTCTGGCTTTTCTTCGACTGGTTTTTTTTCTTTTGCTTTCCTTCCCCTAATCCATGGTACAGGTACCTCCTCTTTCGTTTGTTTCTCAGTTATTTCATCGATTCTATCGATTGCAAGAATCGTTTTATCTTCCTCTTCCATGTATGGTACACCTGTGACAGGTTTCTCATCTTTTGGTCGAACAGTCTTCTCTAACGTCCTTTTTTTAGTAGATTCTACATCTTTGCTTATTTCGAGAATAGTCTTATCCTCTTCTTCCTGATACGGTGCTTTTTCCTGTGGCTTTTTAACATCGCGTTTTGTAATAGTGCTTTCTTTTTCTTCAATTTCTTCCGTAGTTTTCACTTTAATACGTTTCAAATCTACTTTTTCTGCTTCTTCCTTCGATATTACCTTATCCACTCTCTGCACTGGCTTCAACGATACCTCTTCCAGAATTTCTTTGGGAATTTCTTTCTGTTCCGTTTTCGCTCTCTTTAAAGTTACTTTTTCTTCCGTCCATGGTTTGGCCTGCGGCATTTTCTGTGGAACTTCCTCTTCCTTCTTTGGTTTCTTATCGATTTTAATTTTGGTTTCTCTTTCGGATGTAATTTTAAGCAAAGTGGTATCCTCTTCCTCGACATATGGTGCTTTATCTTCGATTTCGCGCGGTTTCGGTGGCTTTACTTTGGTCATGTCCTGTGTCTTAATGGAAACTTGAAGCAACGTAGCATCTTCTTGTTCAACGTAATCGGTTTTCTCGATAGTTTTTGTGACACTTACATCCGTCTTTTCTTTCGTCACTGGTTTCAAATCTACTTTCTCCAAACTCGGTTTTCGGATTTCAGGTTTAGTTGGTCTGGATGGCTTCAATTCTACCGTTTCTATCACCTCTTTTTCTGTTTCTTTTCGGAGAGGTTTGGACTTTTTCAAAGTAATTCTTTCCTCTGTCCACGGTTTGGTCTTATCCGTCTGATCTATGATCTTATCTATTTCTTTGCTTTCCCTTCTTGTTTCTTTGACCGTAGTAACGTCAACCCGTGACACTTCCTCCACTGAAATTACTTGGGGTCCTTCGGCTGGAATTGGTTTGAGATCAACCTTCTCTAAAGTTGGTTTCGCGATATCTTTCTTTATTACTTTCGAAGGTTTCAGTGAGACGATCTCTAACGTTTCTTTTGGCGCCTCTTTTCTCTCCGGTTTCGACTTTTTCAAGGCGATCTTTTCCTCTGTCCAAGGCTTGGGCTGTTCTGGCTTCTCTGGAACAAGCTGCTCTTTCTTTATCCTTCGCGTTTCTTCGTCCTTGGAAATAGTAAGCAAAGATGTATCTTCCTGTTCGGTATAGTCCGACTTTTGCACAGTATCTACTTCCGTGATCTTTTTCGGTTTCATTTTCTTCAAGGCTACTTGCTCCTCCGTCCATGGTCTTACTTCCTCGGCTTTTTCCTTTTTCAACAAGGTTTCGTCTACACGACGCGATCTTTTCAGTAGAGTGGTATCCGTTTCTTCCGTGTAAAATTCAGTTCCGGTATCGTCGATACGCGTGACTTTTTCCTCAGTTTCGACGATCTTCGTCGTATCTTTGGGCACAGACTTCAACTTGACAGTTTCAAGACCAGGTGCGTGGATTTCTTTTCTCTCAATCTTCGCCGGCTTCAATTCAACATCCTCCAGTCTTTCCTTCGCTATGTCTTTTATGACCTGCGGAGTTTTCTTCAAGGTTACTTGCTCCTCTGTCCATGGTCTCACTTCCTCGGCTTTTTCCTTTTTCAACAAAGTTTCGTCCACACGACGTGACCTTTTCAACAAAGTGGAATCAGTTTCCTCCGTGTAAAGTTCAGTTCCGGTATCGTCGATACGCGTAACTTTTTCCTCAGTTTCGACGATCTTCGTCGTATCTTTAGGCACAGATTTCAACTTGACAGTTTCAAGACCAGGTGCGTGGATTTCTTTCTTCTCAATTTTCGTCGGTTTCAATTCGACTTCCTCCAGCTTTTCTTTCGTCATATCCTTCGCGATTTGTGGAGTTTTCTTTAAAACTACCTCTTCCTCGGTCCATGGTTTTATCTGGCTCTCGAAAGCTCGAAGCTTGTCCAAGGAGGAATCTCGTGATTTTGGTTTCACCTTCCGCCATGGTGCGGCATCGCCAATTCGAGGTCGATGCTGAACACGTCCCTTTCGCCAAGGTAGTGACTCATCGCCCGGTTGAAGCTGTACTTCAGCAGATAAACCATTTACGTCTAAAGGTTTCAGAACGATACCCTTCCTCGAATCTGGGGCAAATTTCTCATCTACTTCCGTGCCGGCGCCGGTATCCGCTGGAACCGCGTAGCGGACTTCGGTTCTCTCTGTAAGTTATCGTGAGAAACTGCTTTGAGCAACTATGAACGTTCTCGACTATTTGTTTCACGCCATGCCACTCATGTCGAGTTAAGCGGAAGCTTCGTTCACATTGCGTCGAGCCTGTCATGCCGTTAAATCGATAAAAAAACACTTCGCAAAATCTGAAATCATCAGTGTCTCACCTTTGACTTAATTCAGAATTAATGACATAAATGTCTCGAGTTTGACTGTACGTTCGCAAGCGCATTTATTTCGTAATTATGGACTAACGTGACAAATGGATTTTGGCCAAATTAACAGATCGGGGCAGAAATCAAGGCAATTCGCCAGACCATCGACCTTGAGGGAAAAGGCGAATTATTCGAGTTATTAATAATGATGTGTGAGGAATTATATTTAACTTCGTGCCCGACAATGACGCTTGCGATCAACATGTCAATAGAGAGCCCAGAAATTAAGACCCTCTCACGTACAAGCCACACACACGCAAACACATAGATGTTACTCGGTGAACGAAGTTCAACATCGGCCGAGTTAGACGCGCGTTACAATCACACGCAAGACGCTGGCGTGCGTAAAGGCACGTGACTCCGCACGCCCTGTGTTATTTTCGCATAGCCTGAGTAAGGATTTATCATCGGACGCTCTCTCTTTCTCTCTTCGAGAGTGCGTGGGTGTTTCGAAGTGCTCGGTGAGATACCGTGTTGTAATGACGACGGAGATGACGCTCGCGCGGCATTATTAGCATTAATAGACACGGAGGCGTGCGAAGTCGCGATAATGGATGATATTAAATGTGGTCGCGTGAGAGGAGCCGTTCACTCGCGATGCTCCTCACGGATTTCGTGGAGCCTCCCTCGGAGTAGTCTCCCGCGGAGTAACTCGGTGGGGATCCTTGACGTGACCGAGCACGCCCCTACTTCGCGTTACGTCTAGCTAATAGTGATCGGTTGGAAGTCGAAGGCGCAGGAAGGAGGGAAAACCGCGGGCTGTGCTGTTCGGTGTTGATGACACAGTGATTACAGCGTTCAGTGGGAAAAAAGTCGAGAGTGTGAAAGAGGTGCTGCGTCTGACAGTTAACTCGCTGCCTTCGATCGAGAGGCGCACATCTCGTGCCTCGCATTCAAATCACTTCGCAGCTCACACCTGCTCGATCGAAGTGCAGCCGTCATTCGAACTGGACACGTTCGAGTCCGTTTCGCCGCGACGCGATGTGAAGGTGGTGCATTTCGAATATCCGTGTATTTCGAGCATTTTGAGCGGCGGATCTCGAAGACGTATTGCTTCGCACGTTCAAAAGTATCGCGCGTTGTGAATCTTCTCTTTGTTATCGGACCTTCCTGTTGTCTCTCGGTCGAGATTTGTGTGCAAACTGAGATTGTTACTTGATAACGACGCAAGATCAACGGAGAATGTCGGACCGTTTCGACGCTCGGGAAGTCTACATTTATTGACTTACATTTGGGTGTTTATCGGAAACTCAAAGAACTATGTTTATGCGTGCCGCATATATACACAAGGATAGTGATCTACTACTTTCTACACGATGACATACAGTTTATTCGGTAAATCACGAAAGACTGGATTCCTCGCTGTGATTGTATATACAGAATTAAAAATAAAAGCAACGATCATCACCTACTGGACTCGTGTTTATTCTTGTTGATCCTCTGTTCCTAATCCCGTCAAGCCACGTTCGCTACGCAACAGTATTGTGGCAGGCCGTTTTTATCGCTTGAAAATATAGTATATAGTAACTTTTCTCTTTTTTACGCAAAAAAACTAATCAAAGACTTCGTCAAACGGCGAACTTATACTATATTTTCAAACGATGAATGAAAGTTTTATTATTTGCTCACAAATTACACAGGATGTCTGAGAAAGAGTAAGAAGCAGTAATGGGAGCCTGTTCTTCAAGTAAATATGATTCTCTTTTAGTTAAGGATCTTTGTGTCGTTAATTGTACCGTCGAGCATTATATAAATGGAATAAAAAATGAAATGAGATGAGAAATGAAAAAGAAGATCGCTTGAAGAATTCGACGTATTACTGATTCACATCTCTCTCTCTCTCTCTCTCTCTCTCTCTCGTAAAATATTTCGTATCGATTGGATGAAGTGCACGGTCACATCGGTATCATTAACTGCCTGCTGCGTTAGATCGCTGCAACATAGCCCGCCATATATCTTAACCGCCGAGTTGCTGCTTTACTAAAAATAATTTTCTCTCGTTTTGCAGAGTACGCTGACACGCGCTTCCCCGTATTATTTCTGGCATGGCTGAATCATTGGCAGCTGGCTCGAGGCGGAGCCAAAATAGTCAACTGCTTCGGCCAGCTTCTCCCGAAATCACCGTGTCGACTCCGTGGAACGTAGGTGGTAGTCTGGGATCGAAGACGAAGAGATGAGCCCACGGAAAAAGAATGTCTCCTTGATGAATCAGCGTAACCATTTGTTCTCATGGACAAATACTGTTCATTTCATCTTCAAGGTTGATCTCGAGGTCCGCCGAGTGTCACGTGTACCCTCTTAGTCATGGCATCGGTGAATCGTATTTACGAGGAACGGGTCGCGACTTTTTGTCCTTCGGGCAGATATATGGCTAGGAACATATGCTACGTCCTCTGAAGTACACTCATCCGACTCGAGATCCGACATTTTTCACGGCTGAGCGTTGATCATCGAACCAAGAGTCCGAGATATGTAGAATGTTTACATCGAATTTGCAATTTATATCTAGCATCCCAGCAATCGATATAACGCGCATACTTGGTTTAACGACCACGAGGAGACAATATATCGTGTTTTGACGCGCATCACGTTTCGAAAAGTACGTATCGCCCTGCGGTTAAATGCGTTTACTTTTGTCGGATAATAATGATAATAATAATAATAAGAAGAAGAAGAAGAAGAAGAAGAAAGAAAAACATCGGAAGTAACATGAGAGTATCATGCGCCAACTCGGAATAATTCGTCCAAGCATGTAAGCGAGAATGCGAGCGACCCAAGCCGTCGTCGTCGACATCGTGGAGTCTTCGCGGAGTTCTGAGCCGGCGGCCAAATATAGCCAGGTAATGTAATACATATCACGTGCTCAAAAATAGCCTAAGAAAAGGGCCTAGCTGAGTGTGCACACGGCACTGCATCTGCTCCTCGCTTGGAACAGACTTAGAACTCGCATGACAGAGAGGAATGGATGTGTAAAATAACGAAAATATTCTCGTGTGCAAGCATAATCGCGAGCTGGTTACTCTGAGAAAATTCGCGTGTTTGTTACTCGAATCTGACCGAGCCAGTCGCACTCTTCACGGTTTCCCCGATACGCGAAATGAAAGAAAACCGAAAATTGCTCGTTCCTATTGCGAGTGCTTTCTGAACTTCTTGAAGTGAAATCTCATTTCGAGACGAGCAAATATGTTCCAGCGACGATAGAGTTCATCCAGATTCGCCGTTCAATTTTGATGACTCGGCTCTGTACTTTCCGAGTGGAATTTCACTTGAAGAAATTCGAATAGCACGTTGTGCCCGTCTACAATTTACTTGTTTTCTTGTATTACGCGATAGTCGTGTATCTCCTCTCTCTCTCTCTCTCTCTCCATCTCGTGCGCGATACGCTTCAGATAATTCAACGGAGCAACATTCTCCGTTACAAAGATTTTCAACGGTAAGTATGTCTCGTTCTATCAGACGCGTTACCTCATTACGAGGGTATTATTGAGCGTGACGATCTGGATTAATCTATCACGCTTAATGCAATTCCCGTAAGGCATGCTTAATCGGTGACCGTGCAGCTTTTGCATGTGTTACGTTTGTATATGTATTGCGCTATATATGTTGGACTACTGAATCTCCCATCGCCACGAGAGTTCTTCGTATCGGGCAATCGTGATGTCGCGTTGAAATCGTCATTCACGACGAAGGTATGTGTTATTAACAATTAGAGACGACGGCTGTCGAAACGGCAACAAACGAGACTTGTACGTATTTCGAACATTCGGTTTTATTGGGACTTTCATTGTACAATAATAAATAGTCGATTAGTAAAACGTTAGACGGTATCCCTATCCGTGCCGCTGTGAAATTTCTCTATTAAAAGTGAGTATTTATAATAGCAGTGGGCGTACATATGTAGCGAGAAGATGATATGTGTATGTAAATATGCATATATATACTTTTCCACTTTGCGATATGCTGTTTTATAGTAAATATCGATACTACAGCGAACGAGTAAACGAGTTACGTGTTTGACGCAATCGCACCGCCATTAATCTTTCCTCTTTTTTTCCTTTCCATCCACGATCTTCGTTAACATCGCGCGTATATTTTGCGACGATAATAGAACACCTATTTACAGAACTGGTAGCGATAGTTTATCGTAGACGAGAGGTTGCGAAGAATCACACTTTTGTCCTGAGATTAAGGTCGAAATGTAACACGGCGCGGGACATTCGTAGAACGACGTCTCGCTCTCTCTCTCTCTCTCTCTCTCTCTCTCTCTCTCTCTCTCTCTCTCTCTCTCGATCGGACACACACCCGCCTAGATCGATATTAAAAATCATCGCGCTTGTAAAAAATCATACGCTTGTCCCGATCAATCGCACCATAGAGCAGCTCCGATTTTTCGCACGGATATTCGATATAGTGCCTTTATTAACGGCACGCGTAATTTTCAGCACCACCTTCGCGACCCGCGTTGCGTATGATATGTTTCTCACGGTATAATTTCTTTTTGAGATATATATACGTATGCCTTGCGTGGTTACACAGCCTCTCATTCGAGTGTCATTAATTACTCCCTCGTTTCACTCGCTCGGCTATTCTCAAAACACGACGAGTTAGTACAAACTCCCCGGACGCGTACGATACTTTTGATTAGAGGGTGTTTGTGGCGGAGGGATACTAGCGGTAGATCGACGGGTTACGTTTCATACAGGGAGAAGGCAAGAAAAGAACAAAGCACAAAAGTAAAAAATATTTCTCGATCGGATATTCACGGCGTGAATCGTGCTGCGCGGAGACGGTCGATCGTACGTTGAGACGACACGAGAGTGCGATGGTTAGTCGCGACGATTACGTTAAACGCGAGCGCTCAATCGAGTAACGATTAGCTATGTATTAGAAAAATCCACGGACTCGATGTCCAACTGCACACGTCCTTTTTGCATCCGTTTCGCCATCGAGGATCATTGGCTGACCGTTCCGGGCGAGTCGTTGTGTGCGATTACGAAATAATGAGCGAATCACCGTCGCGATAAGTTGCAATCGAACAACCGACGCGCGTGACGTATAACAGGACGAAGGAGTTAAATGTTACTTTCTTCAACGTCGAACGTGGTTAGTTACCAAGATTAATTTGCTAAATGTCATACGTGAGTTAACTTTGTCATGCCACTGTCTCGAGTATATGTTCGTCTCCGGCAGTCTCTTGGAGTTGTATGAATATGAGTATCCAATCGCGTATCGTGTTAGCAATCGAATCTGTATCTTGGATTCAATTCTTACTTTTGACGATGAGTTTGGCGGACGTTTCTACGGTACCGGCCGAAGTCGTAGCGCGGCAGGTGAAGGTGCCGGTGTCCTCCTCGTAGGTGGTTGCTATGAGTAGCACCGCGTTGTTGCCTTCGTGAATCATCTGAAAGCGACACATTTCCCCGGTGAGTGTCGCTCGAGAGACAATGAGATCTGCGCTACGATATTCTGCCCGCGATTAGACAATTATTTACCTGGAAGTCTGGCGACTGCGGGATCAGAGCGCCCTCCCGATACCATTGAATCGTCGGTTTGGGCTTCGCCGGGCTAACTTGGGTCTTGAACTGCGCCGGCTGTCCTTCCATCACGATCTGGTCCTTCAGAGGCGTCAGCTTCGGCAGAACGTCGGCTGTGTCGGGCGCTGATCGGTAACAGAAAACAAATGGTTCGCGCGGCACGGAAAGGATGAGGTAAAATTCCATTTTCCTCTCTCTCTCTCTCTTCTCTTACCGAGAACTCGGAGGTTGGCGGACGTGGTGACCTCGCCCGCTGGGTTCTTGGCGATGCACTTGTAAACACCCTCGTCCTCGGGGAACGCCTCGGAGATCCTCAGAGTGCACAGGTCGCCTTCTTTTTGCATTTGGAAGTACTTGGACGGTTTGATCACCTGCAAGCGCGACGGACGTTTCGAGTAAAGCTGCTTATTCGTAACGTTAGGTTCATCGGTATTAACGCTACCTTGTCGGCTTTCTTCCACTGCACGGTGGGAACGGGCTTCCCTGTGATCCTGCAGGCGAAGGCGACGGAAGTCCCCTCCTTGATAGTTTGATCCCTCAATGGCTCCAGGACGGTTGGCGCTTTCTCCACTGTCGGCGTTGTGGGTTTCGCGGTCTTCGCCGGGGACTGGGGCCCGCGAACTGTGCATTCCGCCTCGCAACGCGCTTCTCCAGCGCTGTTGATCGCGACGCACTCGTACTTGCCAGTGTCCTCCGGAACCGTCTCCAGGATCAGAAGGGTGTACGTATTGTCTTCCTCCAGAGTCTTGTAGCGGATATCCGCTGTCACTTTCTTGCCATTCTGCAGCGAAAATGAGAATACATTAAAATCCAAATCTCTCGCTGCGGACAAACTGCCAGTCGAATCGATAGATTCGTTCGCCCTATCGAGATTACCTTGAGCCAATAAACGTCCAAAGGTTTGGTGCCGGTGATCTTGGCGTCGAATCTGGCGAGCTGGCCGGTAGCTAGCGAGGTGGATTGGATCGTCGACAAGAAACTGGGTGGAATCGCTCCACCACGTCCGGGTTGCCTCCTGCGCTCCTCCACGACCAGGTTGGCGCTGCATTTGGCCTTTCCACCCCTGTTCTCAGCGATAACGGAGAAGACGCCGGAGTCTTCCATGAAAACTTGCCGGACAATCAGCACCGATTTCGTGCTGAAAGTGTAGATCTGAAGATCGGCTGAGTTCTGGATCGGGAAGTCCTCGCGGTACCATTTGATGGTCGGCAACGGGTCACCGTCGAATTCGACTTCGAATTTAGCCTGCTCCTGCTCGAACGCTCTGCAGGGCTGAATCTTCTTCGTAAAGACGGGTGGTTTCGCTGGTTTCACCTGGCCCTGAACCACGCGTTCCTGCGTCTTCCCTTTGTGCTCGACCTCCGTGGTCTCTGTGGCTGTGATCTTTCTCGTGATTTCCAGGTCGCCCTTGACTTCCTTCTGCGTCTGCTTCTGTTTGGCTACATGAACTTCGCGACCGTGAACCGTGGACTCCGACGGCCCCGGCGGATATTTTCCCGTGGCCTTCACGCGTTCCGTATCGATGTCCACCTCGGTGACGAACGGTTTCTTCGCGTACTTCGCTGGTGGTGGTTCTTGCCCTGGTGATTCGGGTTGCTCTTCCCTGATAACGAGACAGTAATCATCATAGAAAAGGTAACTTTTTCAGCGCTGCATCCACCTATTCAATCGCGATACTTACAAACTCTCCTCGTACTTCTGGGCCATTCCCTTTGCCAAGGAATTTGAGACGACCGTGTCGCCAGGAATGGCGAACTGATGAGAGGCCTCCCTCAATCTGGACTCTTTGAGTATTTGTTCCTCCTCGAGATTCATCAGCTTGCTATAATAGTCTTCGTTCTTCTTGCTCTTAACGGACTTCTGCCAGTCAGTCTCGGGCTCTTTGATGACCTTCGGTCCGAGATGCTCCGTGGCGATTCCGATACCCTGGGACACGGTCTGGTGACGTTCGTCAAACACGCGCTCGAGCTCTGTGTTCTGCCGCTCGCTCTGGTACTGTGTTAGCCCATAATCGTACCACGCTGAAGAAACAGTGTGTTAGATCGTGCGTCCCGCACAAGTTATAAATGAGAACGCGTGCTTCGAGCGGACGTATCGGTCGGTTGGTCTAGATAGAGAATGCAACGTGCTTCGCTGTAAGGTACAACGTTTCTTCGCGAAAATATTAGAGCTCGCATGCATCGTTGCTGAAATATGTAGCGGATCGTGCGTTATAGAGTGATCAAATGGAAGATCCGATGTACCTTCGTGAAGCAACGTTGCGCTTCCCTCGACGAGAGAACAAAGCCTATCGGGAACTTGACGATATTTAAGACACAGTACGTGAATGACGATGCAACACATATCGATGACACCTAAATAACGGGGATCGAGCAGGATATGGGGAATTTCAGTTATGTCACGCGGTTAATGCATAGGTCAATTTGTTTCACCTTATCATACCATAGGCCTATCGAAAACACTGTTAGACGAGATCGTTTGTCTCTTACGAACGTGCTCCCCTTCGTGTTATGAGAAGGTTTCTCTTTAAAATTAAAAAAAAAAAGAGAAGAGGACAAGACAAATCCTCCGCAAAGTTTCTTCGTCAGATCAATCGAGCAATTACGCGTAACTCGTCGAACCTCGCTTCTTTTTCGACGAATTAATTTTGACGTACAGTCGCTTGCTATTTCCTGCGCGAAGCAAGAACGGATAATGTCAAGGATGCATGTCTCCAAAAAAAAAACAACAAATTAAACACAGTAGTAGATATTAGGATTAAATTATATTGACTACGCGACATAGAGAAATACGGAGATCTGCTCGATATTAGCAAATCACTTTGCCAGCAAAAGAACAGCACGATCAATGGTAAGATGCATAAATAAATATTAAACAAATACTGCAAGTATATATATATATATATTTGACGCGACGCGAGATTGCGCGAGTTTATATAAAATAAAGTAAAAATAAACGAGACATGGCTGAAGGATATTGCGGCGATGAGCAATAAACCCGTTTTCTCCAGCGCAATAAAAAAAAAGGGATGAACGGAGGATAGTATTTTCGTAAATAATTTTTCCGCGTCATCATTTGTCAGTCAAAAGTGCGACGCGATAGTATAAAACGTCTCATCAATTCCACACATGGGCGGCATCAAATACTCTCCTCCGCATATTCGTGAAACAAAAAAACACTGATAAAACGTGGAATAATACTATACGAACATTTTTTTTCCGACGATTGATTTCCATACCTGAATGTCGATGTGAGAACCCAAGCATACCTTTGATCTAAGACGATTTTGCTCTAATATTCCCGTCGATAATCCCAACCATGACGAAGAAGAAGGAGAAGAAGAAGAAGCTGCTGGACTCGAGGTGCTTTTCGTGGCTTTGGAGTGTTAAACGGACAATAAGGAAGGAAAGGATCATGTGCGACTGGTCTAGAGTATTTTCTGTGCTCCAATGGAATGTATGTGTCGTATCGATATATATATTATGTACTGTGTTTCGGTCGCAAATACGAATCTCTACTCGTGAATAGTAATTGGCGAGGCTTACACAACCGCCTTTTTTCATTTTCACGTGTGGTATATTTGTACCGTTGTAAATCGTTCAAATTGTATACCGCGCGTGGATTCCTCGCGATAAATATAATTCTCCTATAATACTGAGAGTCATTGGTAAATCGAAGCCAAGAGTATTATTAACCGTATTTATACGTCAAACGTGTCTCATCGCTCTATTTCAGCTCATTCTACCATGACGCGAAGAATCCACGAGCGTGTATGTGTACGATTGTCTACGTTCGAGTATAAACTTACGTCTTGGTGAATTTTTCAGTACACCACGGTAATCGTCGCTTCGCTGCTTGACCGTCAATGTCGTTTCCGTGCGTGTTTCACCGACGGAGCTCCTTGCGATCACTTCTACCTTTCCATGATCGTACTGCCTGGTCTTTGGAATATCCAAATGATACATGCCGTCGTACGTCAGCTTATAACGGGATCCCTGTGAAAGGAAAAAGAAACAATGTAGTATAATATTAGATACTTCCTCGAAAATGTTGCGCATCGTTCTATAGCATATCGGAAATGATATATCTCAACTCACATTGACTACTGTGTGTCCGTTGATTATCCACATGACTCGAGGTCTCGGGTGTCCGGTGACTCGACAGCAGAATCTGGACCAGTCACCTTCCTCGACGGTCACTGGTTCAGGTTTGCTCACGAAGACTGGCGCCGAGCGCACCTTCTCTTCCTCACCTTCTTCTTCCGGTACGCTATAAAAAGTCAACGAATTGTCGAATAACAAATTTCGTATCGTAATAAAGACAAATAAATTCAGTGTTTGGGAAATATTACGACTCTTCTTTCGAAAAGTTTCCCGAATATGTAGAAATGAATGTTAAGCGTTTCATTAATTCTTTTCTCTGTTAATTAATAGATAAATAAAATAAGAAGCAAATGAACGCAATAAAGGAAGCACATCTTACATCTGCCATGCTGCTTCCATTTCTCTGATCTTCTCGATACTCTTCATGCCTTTCGGAAGCTGTGACTCGTAGATAATTCCCGGTTTTCCGGCAGTTCTGATTATAGCTCTCGTCTCGTCCATACCGTAAAGATTCGTAGCTCGGCACAAGTATTCGCCGCTGTCTTCCGGGTAGACCCATCCAAAGTTCATCGCCACGTAACCGAAGTCGTAGATGGGCGTGAATCGATTCTTATGGGGCAACGGTTTGCCGTTGAAGAACCATTCGACCTTCATGTTCGGATCGCCCACGGGTGCTAGTTGGCACTCGAACTTGGTGCTGTTCATTTCCACGAGATCGGTCTGATCTTGAATCTGCGTGACAAAACGAGGTGGTTGTTTCTTGTCCGCGTCGTACAGGTCATCCTCGGTCAAATGAACCTCCGAAGTGTACTTTTTGATCGTCGCTTCCATCTGCATCAAGGCCTCGGATTTCTTCATGCCCTTTGGCACCTGATTCTGCAGAATGATACTCGGCAGTTCTGCAAAACGAACATTTGTCAGTTTGGAAAACGGTTACGTAACTGAGATATGGCTAAAAAATAGAAAATAGCAGGATCGAAAGGTATACTTTTGCAAGAAACGGAGGCGCGAGTGGTGTCCTCCCCAAGATCGTTGATGGCTTTGCAAACGTATTCGCCGGAGTCTTCGGGATACACGTACAGGATGTCCATCGATACGAATCCCATGTCGTAAACCGTCCTATACCTGTGCCCTGCAGGTATCAATTTGCCGTTTCTGTACCATTCGATGCGCAAATTGGGATCCTCCTTGGGCTCCACGCGGCACTCGAACCTGATTGGCTCGGACTCGTCAACAGTCGCTGATTGAATTTGCGTGATGAAATGAGGTGGTTGACGCGGTGCTTCTTCCGCGGGAGCTTGAGTGACCGGTCCTCGTTCCAGCTCCTTCAACTTCTCGCCACTCATTCCCGATGGCAGCTGAGAGTCGAAGTCTATCGTTTTCTTGGCTGTAAAACAATAGGATTATCTTCGTTGCACATCGCAACATAAGTTAAACGAAGCGGGCTTCGTAAAAAGCTCGATTCAATTTTCTGCTTTCTTCGGTGAAGTTAAATTACTTTTGAATTTCTTTGTTTAACAAAATACTTACATTTGCAAGTGATAGTGGCCTTGGTAGTAGCGGAGCCCCACTTATTGGTAGCTCTGCAGACGTATTCGCCGCTATCTCGCGCGTACGTGTAGGACATATCCAAGGATATGAATCCGAAGTCGTTGATCTGGTGAACACGGGAGCCTGTCGCGAAGGGCCGGCCGTTGTGGAACCAGTCGATGCGCATAGTGGAGTCACCGACAGGCTCGACTCTGCAGTCGAAGTGACTCGGTCCAGCTTCCTCGACCTCGATGTCCTTAAGCTCGACGGTGAATCTCGGTGGGTTCGGTTTTTCCTCTTCTGCCAAGATCTCGTCCTTCTTGTACAGGGATTCTTCTAATTTCTGGATGCTTTCCGTACCGGTTCTGAAGTTGTTCGGTAATTGAGGCTCCAAGATGATGCCCTGACGACCGCGCACTTGAAGCTTGCACGATACCGTCGCCTCGCCGTGACGATTGGTGGCTTTGCAGGTGTACAAGCCGGAGTCGCGTTGGTAGCAATTCGCGACTTCCAGAATGACGAAGCCAAAGTCGTGGATCGTCTTCACTCTGCTTCCGGCGAGAAGAGGCTTGCCGTTGTGGAACCACTCGACCCTCATGCTGGAATCATTGATCGGCTGAAGTCGACACTCGAAATGAGCGAGAGAGTTCTCGGCCAAGGTTAGATCAGAAGGAGTCGTGATGAACTCAGGCGGTCTCCCGGTATCATCGTCGGGACTGGCTTGACCCGGAACGTTTCCAAGGCCTTCCAACTCCGCGATCTTGTCAATCGTGCTCTCCATACCCTTTGGTAGTTGGGATTCTAAGATAATGCTGCGTTTGCCCGTGCACTTCATCGTGCACGTTGTCACCGCCTCACCGTAGTCGTTCGTCGCTCTGCAGCTGTACTCGCCCGAATCCTCAGGGTAGATAGGCGAGATTTCCAAAATGACGAAACCAAAGTCGCAGAAGGTGCGGAAACGAGATCCCGTTCGCAACGGTTTGCCGTTCCAGAACCATTCGACCTACGAGTAAGAAGAAGACGATATAAAACGGAAATAAATTCAACGCACACCAATCGAAAGAAAGCTCACCTTCAATTTTGGATCGTCCGTAGGTGTCAATCGCGCTTCGAAATGCGCACTTTCTCCTTCGCGCAGACCATCGATGTTACTTAAGGGCACAGTGAACACCGGAGCCTTGCCGCGCTCCTCCACGACCTTCTCGTCCCTCGTACGGATCATCGCGTCTTCGAGGCTTTGGATCTTCTCGAGGCCTCCTTCCATACCTTTCGGCAGCTGCGATTCCAACACGAGATTAGCCTTGGAGAAGCACTTGAGCGTCGCTTTCGTAGAATCCTCGCCGTACTTGTTAACAGCTCTACATTCGTAAACACCGGAGTTCTCCTCGTAGCAATAGAGTATGTCCAAGATGACGATACCAAAGTCGTGGAAAGTGCGGTATCGATGGCCGTGGGGTAGCTTCTTGCCGTTATAATACCACTCGACCTTCAAGTCGGGATCGGTCACCGGAGTTAGTCTGGCCTCAAAGTGCGCGGACTGTCCCTCCACAAGTTTCGTGATGTCGGCAATCTGCGTGATGAATTTCGGCGGTTCGGCCACGGGAGTGGTGGGGGTGGTCGCTTGCTCTCCGGTGTAACTCTCGAGCTCTCGAATTCTGGCGAGCGAGTCCGGCTGCAAGGAGTCCAGATAGACTCCGCTCTTACCGAAGCAGCGGATCGTGGCCTTCGTGTAATCCTCGCCGTATTTGTTGCTAGCTTTGCAAACGTACTCGCCGGTATCGTGAGACATCACCCCGGCGATGTCCATAACGACGAAACCGAAGTCGGACACCATCTTGAAACGAGAAGAGTGTCGAAGAGGCTTGCCGTTGTGGAACCATTCGACTTTCATATGAGGATCGCCCACCGGGATCAGGGTGCACTCAAAGTGAGCGGACTGGCCATCCTTCAGGCCCTCCAGCGATTGAATCTGCGTGGTGAACTTCGGTTTCTGTCCCTTGGACTTGTCGACGCATTCCAGTTGCACACTGATCTCCGCTTTACCCCACTTGTTGGTGGCTCTACAGGTGTAGGTGCCGGAATCCTCGATCTTAGTGCCGAGAACCTCGAGCACGACCATGCCGAAGGCGTAAACGGTTCTCGTGCGATGACTGGCTTCCAACGATTTGCCGTTGTAGAACCATTCAACCACCATGGTTTGGTCTCCGGTGGGAATGAGAGACGCTTCGAAGTGGGCGATCTCTCCCTCGGAGAGATTAGTCAGGTTCTCGAATTGCGACGTGAACATCGGAGGTTGACCCTCTTCCTCACCCGGCGGGAGTCCTTCTTGACGTTTCAGGGACTCCTCCAAATCCTGAATCGCCTCGAGGCCCTCTTTACCTTTGGGATGTTGTGACTTCTCGATGATATTCTCCTTCGTGGAGCAATAAACTGTCGTCGACGTGAAGGCCTCGCCTGCTTTGTTGTAAGCCTTGGAAGTGTAAATGCCGGAGTCGCGCTCGTAAACGTCCGTCAGGTCCAAAGTGACGAAGCCAAAGTCGCTGGTCATCTTGAAGCGTGAACCATGTTCCAAGGGTTTCCCGTTGAAGTACCAGTCGATCTTCAAGTTCGGATCATCCTTCGGTTCGACTTGTCCCTCCAGATGCAGTGGTTCGGACTCTCCCAGTTTAAATTCTGGCAAAAGAGGCACCGTCCAGATCGGTTTGGGATAATCGTGCTCGGGAACATCTTCCGGTCTCTTGTACTTGGACAAGTAAGCGTCTTCGGCCTCCTTCACCTTCTCAAATCCGGCTTCTCCTTGTGGGTGTTGCGTCTGCAAATAGATGTTCTGCTTGCTGGTGCATTTCAAGGTACCCGAAGTCTGCGCGCTTCCCTTCGAATTGGTAGCTTTGACGGTAACCACTCCAGAGTCCTCCTCGTAAGCGTGAGTCAGGTCCAGAGCGACGTAGCCAAAATCGTAAGTGGACTTGAACCTTGCGCCGGTCGGTAAAGGTTTGTTGTTCAGGAACCATTCGATCTTCATGGTTGGGTCTTTCGATGGTTCTACGTTGCACTCGAAGTGAGCGTTCTCGCCTTCCACGCACTCCACGTTGTTGAGGTGAGTGATGAACACCGGTTCTTCGTAGACGGGCTCCGCTTCCTTGATAGAGCTCACCGGAGGCTGCTCCAGAGCGTCGATCTTCGGCAGAGCGTCCGGATGCAAAGTATCTCCCAAGAGCCAATGACGATCGGCGATCTTCAAGCTGCAGGTTGATACGGCTTCTCCCAGAAGATTGGTCGCTTTGCAAGTATAAATCGCGGAATCGTCCGCTCTCAGACCGTTGATCGATAACGTCACCAGACCGAAATCGAACGTGCTACGGAGTCTGGTTCCAGTCTGGAGGGGTATGCCGTTCTTGAACCACTCTACTCTCAAGTTGGGATCCGCTCGTGGTTCCACCTGAGCCTCCAGGTAAACGCGTTGACCTTCTACGAGCTTGTCGTAGCTCTCGAGGTGTTTGGTGAAGACTGGCGCCTGCTGCGGCGTCGTGTCGACGAACATCTCCGGCACCTTATTCATCTCCGCTTCCTTTAGTTGGATCTTCTGCCACGCGTCCGCCTGTATGCTATCTGAATCGATGGCAGATCGCGCCTTCACTTTTAGCGAGATCGACGAGACCGCCTCGCCCGCATTGTTGATCGCTTTGCAAGTATAGACTCCGGAGTCTTCGGAGATCACCTTCAGGATGTCCAGTGTCACGTATCCAAAATCGTGGCTTACATGGAAGCGCGAGCCTAAATGATCAAGTATTTGTGAAACATTCTGTTAATATCGAATACGATCGTTAAATAAATATTAAATAAACGTGAAAACAAAGATCTAGTTTCGAGAAATAACATAGAGATGTGTGTCTTACCCATTTTCAATTCGACTCCGTTCATGTACCATTCGAATCTCAGGCTCGCGTCGCCAACGGGAACGACCCTGCACTCGTATCTAGCCATTTGTCCTTCCCAGAGCTCGGTGGGGCCGGTTAATAATTGCGTGAAGATCGGCTTGTCGAAGACCTTCTCCGGCTCTTCAGGTCGGCCGAGTCCCTTGTCAGCTTCTAGCTTAGCGATTCTACGTTGAGCTTCCGGATGCTGAGTGTCGAGTTGTATGTTCGCTTTGGCTGTTAATACGAGCGACGGATTATAAATTTGGCACTTGATTGAATCGAGAAAGATTTCGACTCGGGAAGTCACTTACTCTTAATCTTCATCGAAGCCGTGGTAACAGCTTCGCCCAATGGATTAGAAGCGCGACACATGTAGACGCCTTCGTCTTCGTCGCGCACGTGAGCGATGTCCAAGGATACGAATCCAAAGTCGTGCACTTTCGTAATTCGAGAACCTAAACGGATATCGCGGCGAATGACAGCTTTGCGCCAAGTACATAGTATTCGAGAAGTTGAAGTCGGTTTTTAACTTACTTGTCTCGAGAGGCACTTCGTTTCTAAACCACTCCACTTTGAGCATAGGATCGCCGACAGGTATGAGCCTGCACTCGAAGTGCGCGGTATGGCCCTCGGCGATGCCGTCGATGTTTTGCAAGGGTTGAGTGAAGACAGGTCGCTGTCGGGTCTGAGGCTCCGGCACATCCGGTCTCTTCCACGGTTGCTGTGCCTCGAGCTCTCGGATCTTGTCCATTCCTTCCGGCCGCTGTGAATCCAGGATAATGCTGTCTCGCGGGATTACCTTGAGTTCGATGGACGACACGCATTGTCCTAGTGCGTTGATCGCGCGCACTGAATATTGGCCTGCGTCTTCGGGCACGGCGTGGCCGATGTCTAAGGCAACGTATCCGAAATCGAAGGTTACATGGAAACGCGCTGCCGATGGTAACGGCTTGCCATTGTGGAAGAATTCGATTCGCAAATTGGCGTCGTGCAATGGCTCTACTTGGCACTCGAAGTGAGCGGTCTGACCCTCGTATATTTCCGTCGTGCCCTGAAAAGGAGTTTCTCGTTATGTGAGCTCTCTTCTTTTGTCGCAATAACCGTGATATCGTTGTTACTGTAGCTTACCCTGAGCTCAGTGATGAATCTCGGCGGTGTCACTGGTGGTTCCTCGATTTCCAATCGCGCGGGACGTCCTTGAGCCTCTAATTCTCGAATCTTTTCTAGACCGTCCGGATGTTGGGTGTCCAGGAGAATACTTCGACGAGCTGAAGTCACAAAATAAATCACAACTACTTCGTTTCTTCGGGAAATCGATTCGATTTCATTTCATTTCGATTTGATCTATTTTAACGCGTTTCACTTTAGCTTGCAAGAATTTACGGATTTTAAAAGAAACCCTTCTCTAAAGCAGCATTGTCCTCTTGGATGCCTTCTTCTACGATGAGTATTATCGTTGTCGGTAGGTATTTTCGAAATTTTCATGGGTAGGAAACTGGGCGGCGGATATTGGGTGTTTTTCGCTGACAATTATGCCAAATAATGTATATTAACGCTAAATCGATCGAATTCCACAAATATTCAGATTTAAACATGCGTCACAGGATTGAATACTCACAGCCAACTTTGATGGTGCAAGTGTTAACTGCTTCGCCGGCCAGATTGGTAGCTTTGCACATGTAGGTACCGGAATCTTCGGGATAGGTGTAAAGAATATCGAGAGCAACATAGCCAAAGTCATGTGTAGTACGGAAACGATGACCAGTTTTAATAGCAACTCCATTGACAAACCTATTAAATCAGAAGGCAAAATTCAGTCGATTTACCCGGCAATACATCGAAATTGTCATTACATTATTTGACATAAATTTGGAAGCCGGACAATTAATTTCTCTATCAGAGATACAGCATAAAGTAATGTTATCCGTAAGCGTACCATTCAATTTTCAAATTCGGATCATTGATCGGCTCGACGCGACATTCCAGATGAGCGTGTTCGCCTTCCTTGAGGTGATCCAGATTGTTCAGCGGCGTCAAGAACACAGGTTTCTGGTGAATAACCTCCTTCTCAATTTCTTTCTTTACTTCGACAGTTTCCAGTTGGCGAATCTTCTGCAAACGCTGGGCGTCCAACGTGTCGAGGTATAAGCCTTGCTTCGCTGTTTGCACGAATCAGAATAATTTATATATTTTAATTAATTCGTTCACACTTGTCAATTTGGTAAGATGCGAGAAGTTATTCACTTCTCGTTTAATCATCTCACTCTTTCAATTGTTTCGAAAAATTCGTAAGAAAAAATTTTACTCGACGGCTGATGTCGAAATAATATATTCTACTTGTAAAAGAACGACATTGAGTGAGAACACAAAATATCACTTACAATCCACGCTAATTACACAGGTAGTAACAGCCTCGCCAACGGCGTTCCTTGCTTTACACATATAGGTGCCAGAATCTTCAGGATAAGCGTAAAGGATGTCGAGAGCGACGTATCCGAAATCGTAGGTAGTTTTAAATTTATGTCCTTGAGGAATAGGACGCCCGTCTCTGTACCATTCGACTATCATGGTCGGATCGTTCACGGGTGTCAGCGTAGCTTCGAGATGGGCGCTTTTGCCTTCCGGCAGATGTTCGATGTTCTTCAACGGTCGGCCGAAAGCGGGCTTCTCGGCGATGATCTTGTCCTCCTCGGTCACACGCTTATATCGCGAATCATCCTCGAGGAATTGTATCTTCTTCAACGCGCTCTCGTGTTGCGTGTCGCGAATAATCGATGCTCGCGCTGAAAAGCGATTTTCATTGAATGTTCAGATCGCGCAATCACGCGTGAGAGGGAAAACTCAAGATAAGATACGACTTACGAAAAATTGTAAATCTAAGGGACGAAATTGATGCAACTCTTCTATTACTTACATTTCACATCGAGATTAATCGAGCTCTTGGCCGATCCCAATTTATTGGTGGCTTGGCAAGTATATGTGCCCGAATCCTCAGCATACACGGTCAACACGTCCAACGACGCGAATCCAAAGTCGCAGGTAGTTCTGTACCTGTGGCCGGTGGACAGTGGTTTGCCATTGTGGAACCACTCCACCTTCATATTAGGATCGGGATAAGGTTCTATGCGACACTCATAGTGTGCGCTTTGACCTTCGACTAGGCTGGTAGGCCCGTTCAGTTGGACCGTAAAGGATGGCTTTTCATTTACCACGATCTCATCCTCCTCACGACGCTGATATTTCGAGGTATCCTCCAGGGCTTGGAGTTTCGTCAAAGCACTCTCGTGTTGCGATTCAAATTGCAAGGCCGCCTTGGCTGTGTTTCAGAAGAATTTCTCGTCATAACGTAATTGTATTGTAATTGTGTAAGCCATTAACGGAACTTTATATTAACACACAGTCGACGAAAGGCTACGAGTAAAGGGTTCTAGCCAAAAGACTATAAGTCAGAAGGCAAAAGTTAAAAAACAAAAGACCAAGAGCAAAAAATTTCAGCCATGTATCGCATAAGCAGATATTGGTGGCTGCTGTGATAAATTCAGCAACAGAGCTACGCGATTCAGCGAGAAAATATATAAAGTTTAGCATCGACAGTTTGATAAAAAATCGATCTTCTAAACACTACGTGTTTTTAGTTTGATCGTAGCAAGCAATTATTAGTGTTGGATCTTCAACATGATTTGTTAAGAACAAATGTCGTCGATTCTATTTTATAAATTCGCTTGCGGATTATGCGAAAAGCATGTTCACGTGATAGCTGAATGGCGCGTCGACACAACGGCATACTTACATTGGACGAACAACGTTGCCGAAGTAACCGCTTCCCCGAGTTCGTTCGTCGCACGACACGTGTATGTGCCAGAGTCTTCGGGATTGACGTACTTCATGTTCAAGGCGACGTATCCGAAGTCGTGCATAGTCGTCACGCGATTTGCTTTGGAAAGATGAAGCGGTAATAAAACGAGTCTATGGAACATACGTAATTTCAAGTAGCGAACTTACAGGCAGAAATGGGAACGCCGTTTCGCAGCCATTCCACTTTGAGCTTCGGGTCTCCAACCGGGATGACACGCGCCTCGAAGTGCGCCGCTTGGTTCTCGGCGACGCGGAGATCCTTTATCGGCATCGTGAAGACAGGAGCCTGCGTGACGATTTCCTCGGTGGTGGTCTTGCGCTGATAACGAGACGTGTCCTCCAAAGTGCGGAGACGCTGAAGCGTTTCTTCGTTCTGCGTCTCGGTGTAGATCGATTTCTTGGCTGTTGATAAAAGTGAATGAATGCTCTACTGAGATTGATTGTAAAACGACTTTTTCTTTTTATTCGAGTAGAATCCACTTACAGTGAACGATAGCGGTTGCGGAAGTGATAGCTTCGCCGATGATATTCTTGGCTCTGCAGGTGTACGTTCCGGAGTCTTCGGGGTATGCGTACATGATGTCGAGCGCGACGAAGCCGAAGCTATTCGTCTCGACGAATCTCGAGCCGGCCTTCACCGGTACATTATTGTGGAACCATTCGACTTTCATGGTAGCGTCGGACACGGGAATCAATCGGCACTCGAAGTGCGCTCGTTGACCCTCTTTTATCTCGACGTTGTTCAGCGAAGTTGTGAAAATGGGCGCTTGAGTGGTGGTCTCTTCGATAACTTCTTCTCGTTGGTACTTGGATCTGTCCTCGAGGTAGTGAATCTGCTCGAGCCCGACCTCGTTTTGCGTGTCCGTCAGAATCTGAGCGGTCGAACGGCACGATAAGGTGCAGAACACCTCGTCGCTGCCTATCAGATTAACCGCACGACAGGTGTAAGTGCCGGAATCCTCGGCGATCAGGTCGATCACGTCTAATGCGACGTAACCGAAGTCGTGAATCGGACGGAATCGGTGTCCTGCAAAAATAGATTTGTTTCGAATCTAGTTTGATTTGATTATGAGTATGACATTTCGATTGAAAGTAAGCATGAAGAAGGAAGAATGGTAGTCAGGCGACGATGTCGTTATTACGGAAGAAACGGTGAGACGGATAAATTATTACCTATCGTTACTGGACGACCGTTTTTGAACCACTCGACTTTCAAATTCGGATCCGTCACCGGCTCCAGTTTGCACTCGAAGTGGGCGTGTTGCCCTTCACGGAGGTTCTCTTGACTCTTCGGCTTCGTGATGAATTTCGGTTTCACACGGACGACTTCGTCGATGAGCTCGTGCCTCTTGTATCGCGAAGCGTCCTCGAGATACTGTATTCTCTCCAGTCCTTCGGGATGTTGCGATTCCAGAAGTAGGTCCTTCTTCGCGTGTACTCTCACGGAGCACGAGGTAACTGCTTCGCCGAGCTGATTCCTCGCCTGGCAGGTGTACACGCCAGAGTCTTCGGGATAGACACCGAGAATGTCCAGAGCGACATAATCGAATTCGTAAGACGGTCTGAATCGGTGGCCGGTTTTCACCGGGCGTCCGTTGACGAACCAATCGACTTTCATGGTCGAGTCGCCGACTGGCTGAAGACGACACTCGAGGTGGACGTTGGTCAGCTCCACGGTCTCGATATTGTGCAACGGCCGGGTAAACTGCGGTGCTTGCATCACGGTGACCTCCTCTTGTTGAGTTTTGCGATATCTATAGAAGCGAATAGAAGAAGAAGTGAAATAAATCATCTTGAAATCACTTGGACGGATATCGTACGGGAGAGAACGAACCTGGACGAGTCCTCCAACATCTGTATCTGCTCGAGCGATTGCTCGTGCTGCGTTTCGGTGACGATGTCGGATCTCCCGATAACTCGCACGCAGGCGGAAGTGTGCGCGGTGCCCAAGTGATTGGTGGCTCTGACCGTGTATTCGCCCGAATCGTACACGGTAACGTGCACTATGTCGAGTGCGACGAATCCGAAATCGTAATAGGTCCTGAATCTGGAGCCAACCGTGACAGGACGTCCGTTCTGGAACCATTCGACCCTCATGGTCGGATCGCCCATCGGTTCCAGACGGCACTCCAAGTGAATATTCTTGCCCTCGCTAACTGGCTTAGGGTCGCTCAACGGCTGGATAAAAATTGGCTTCGACTTGGAGATCTCTTCGATGTGATATTGCGGTTCGATGAATTTCGACTCCTCCAAACGTTGAGTCTTCTCATAAGTTCCACGGTGCATACTGCTGGTGTCTACGCTGGAACGTGCTGAGGTAGAAAAAAATAACCACATAAATCGTGAAATTTTCATTATTAGAGTCTTATTGTTGTAATTCAAGCCTTACTTTCTACGACCATAGTGGCGGACAGTTGAGCTTCTCCGCGGGAGTTCCTGGCCACCACGGTGTACGTGCCGGCGTCCTCAGACCGGACCTGTAGAATATCGATGGCGACGTATCCGAAATCGTAGTACGTCTGGATTCTATTAGCCGCGGTAATGGGTTTGCCATTGTGATACCACTCGATCTTCATAGTGAGATCGCTCTGAGGCTCGACACGCGCTTCGAAGTGCGCTCGTTGGCCCTCCACGATCTTATTGGTGCCCTTGAGATTGCCCAGGAATCGCGGTGCCTGCGTAACCTGAGTCTCTTCCTGAACCTGCCGCGTGTATCTGCTCGAGTCTTCGAGGAATTGGATCTTCTGCAGGCCCATCGGGTGTTGGCTGTCGTAAATAACGTCGTTTTTACTTATCACGCTCAATTGAGCAGTGGTGCGAGCCTCGCCGGCTCGGTTGTAGGCTCGGCAGGTGTACACGCCGACGTCGTGTATCGTTACGTATTTGATGGTTAACGCCACGTAACCGAAATTAAAGAAGGTTGTAATCCGGGAACCTGATTGGAAAAATCAACGATAAGTATGCGACATGACAGAGTGTCTTGATCGTTATCGATCACTCACTAGCTTCTACAGGTCGTCCATCCTTGAGCCATTCGACACGGAGATCGGCATCGCCGACCGGTTCGAGGCGTGCCTCGAAATGGGCAAAGCCGCCCTCTCGTATGCTGCTCTGATCCTTAATAGGCGATTTAAATTCCGGCGGGCTGCTCGGTTCAGGCTGCTCATACACATACTTCTGGTGCATGGCCTGTTGATACGCTTCCAACTCCTCGGCAGCTTCGATGTACCTCAGTTGCTCGGGGATACCCAAGTCTGTAGTTACGCTCGTTCGCGCTGCGCAAGAGTAAAAAAGAGATCGGTCGGTCAGAATGTTGTGCGACCGCTCAAAGACGATCGGCCATTGTACGGCTCTCAGACTCACCGAAGACACGGAGAGTCGCGGAGCTGAGGGCCTCTCCTAAGCGGTTCACAGCTCGTACTGTGTAAGAACCCGCATCTTCAGCCCGTAGGTGCATTATATTAAGAGAGACGTATCCGAAATTGAAGATGCTAGTGATTCTTGAGCCTAGAAAGTGATTATTCGGCGTTCAGCGGAAGTGTCAGCGGAATCGTCGGACATTAATACTCACTGGCTGTGATTGGTTTTCCATCCTTGTACCACTCCACTTTCATGGTAGGGTCGCTAACAGGAGTCAACTGCGCCTCGAAATGGGCGTTTCGACCTTCCTGTAGCTCACCAAGATCCTGGAGCGGACGGATGAAAACCGGCCGCTGCGAAGAGGTCTCCTCCGCGCTCTCCTGCCTTTGGTACTTGCTGTAATCCTCGAGCTGTTGAATGTACTGGAGGCTGTCGGGGTGCTGGCTCGTTTGCTCAATCGTAGCGCGAGCTGGAAGATGCCAAGTTTTTCATCGCGAACGCGCGAACACGTAAAGTAATTTACTCACAAGTCACGCTAAGGGTGGCGCGAGACTCGGCGACTCCGGTCGAGCTTACGACGCGGCACAAGTACTCGCCGCTATCTTGAATGACGATGCTGATGAGATCGAGCGAGATAAAGCCAAAGCGGAAGATGGATGTTGCTCGGGAACCTGCAAAAGACAGACAAGTCAATCGTCATCGGTGCTTCATCGGCTGATCGAAGAGATGCATTACTCACTCGCGTCGAGTGCTCTGCCGTTGACGTACCACTCCACCCTCATAGTGGGGTCGCCCACCGGTTCGATTCTGGCCTCGAAGTGAATTCGTCCACCTTCGATCTGATGAACGTCCCTCAGGGGGATGATGAAACGTGGCGGCGGGTAAATTTTGTCTTCCTCAGGTGGCGGCAGGTAAGGTTTGGCGCGCTCCACGTGTCTCAGATAAATCACTTCGGGGCCAGGCGCTGGTCTGCAAACGTTATTTATTATTTCTCATCTGATTACACGGAAACCAAATTATTCGACTTACCGATAGACAAGACATTTTATTAGTTTCTTTTTTTGCACAAACAAACGCGACTCACTCTGGTTCGATGACTTTCGTCGGTCGGGGTAAATTCAGGCGTCTTGGTTCCGGGGCCGTTCCTTTCGGTGTCTCAACGAAGAGCCGCGCTCGGGTCGCGGTAGAACCGGCTACGTTTTGCGCGGTGCACTGGTACCAGGCCGCATCGGAGAATTTGGCGCGCGGGATGTCCAAAGTCGAGGCGCCGCTACCGTCGCTCGACATACGCACTTCGGGGCCGGGGGTTATCGGCACGCCGTCCTGAAGGAGCAGTCGGCGTTAGAAATTGCGAGACATCGCGATGTGACGAATTACCTTTTGCCACGAGATTCGCGGAACCGGCGTGCCAACTGCGCGCGCCATAAAGACCACGGGCTCTCCTTCCTTCACGCTCGTGGTGACGAAGCGCTCGACGAATTTCGGCGCGACCACTTGCTCCTTTTCGATCACGCTCAAATTGCACTGGCACGAGGTCTCGCCGGCCTTGTTTCGAGCGATGCACGTCACAACACCGGCATCGGCGCGACTCACATTCGTGATCATCAGCGAATTGTTGCCGGACTCGTTCACAAGGATCTTGTGTGTCATGTCATTGGCGACTTGTTGGCCGTTTATGTACCAGGTCACCTCGGGATACGGACGGCCGGTCACGCGACAGTCGAATCTGGAAATCATTTGTCTCGTTAATACCTCCTATTAACGTATATGCTGGACGTTATTATTGAAATCGTGGAAAGGGGAGAAGAAAAATATCGATAATAATAAGTCGAGACGCACCTTGTCATTTTGCCTTCGGTAGCTTCCCTATCCGTGCAGGTGCGGACGAAATTTGGCGGCAATACCTTGCCGGAATCGGTAGACTCGCTGGTCGATTCTACTTGTTGAGCCTGAATGAACTCCCTTTGATGCGCTTGATCTACCTGATCGCTGGCTTCAATCGCCAGGTAAGCGGAGCTGACGGTGCAGCCTTGGGGATTTTCGGACAGTAATGTGTAATGGCCACTGTCTTCCGGCAAGGCGACTCGGATTCGTAAGGTGGCCTGCTGATTCGAATAGCTCGTCTCCACGCGTTGGGAATCCTTGATTCTCTGGCCGTTCTTGAACCATGTTAACTGCGTCACGATATACGAGGAACAATTAGATTGGGATAACAATCAGCCGTCGAATGCCGGCAAAACGTTGTAAGATTAAATTCCATGTAACGTTCTACCACGAACTCACCCTCGGTTTAGGATTGCCGGTTATTTTCGCGGTGAAGACAGCGTCCGATCCTTCGATGAGTTTCGAGTTTCTGGGCTTCTGTGTGATCTGCGGAGGTGCGACCGGTCCTAAGGTGTGATCGACCGTCGTAGAGATCTGCGTGTCGGACTCACCGACGAAACGGCGAGTGATCGACTCGCGGAACTCCGTTTCGCGCAACAATCTATATTCGAAGGTGTCAACCTGCAGATTCGAAGAGGAAAGGGGAGATAAAGATCGTTCTGCAGGAGTGGTAAAGCGAATTACAATTACCTTAAAGTCCTCGATGCTTATCGATGTGCCATTCATGTAGCTTCGCTTGTCTATCGTTTGTTGGTAGCTTCGTTGCTGGAAGACTTGACTTCCGGTCTGCATCTTCTGTTCGCTCTGCGTAAATTCCTTCTTGTAACTGTCTGTCGCCGGGGGACCGAATCCCTCGGGTTGTATGTAAACGGAGCAGATCGCTTCGCCTGGAAAGTGTGAGAAGAAATGTTAGCCTCCTTCGTTTCGCCGCGATTTCCAAACTTTCGGAACTTTCTTCGCACGCAATCCTCACCGTATTGATTTTTAGCACTGCATGTGTACTCGCCCTCATCCCCTGGACCGATCTGATTAATTTGGAGCGTGACCACTCCGGTACCGTCGTCATAAGACATTCGAATCTTTCGTGATTCCAACAACGGCGCGCCTTTATGCGTCCAAGATACTGTCGGTTTGGGATTACCCCGGACGCAGCCTTCGAAAATTGCATTGCCGCCCTGCGCGAATCGCGCGTTTTTGAAGATTCGTTCGAAAATGGGCGGCGAGGGATCGCCAGGTTTACCGGTAAATCTACGTTGAGAAGATTTCATCAAGAGCATCGTTAACAACATCCGTTAATTTCTCACAAGAACTGTAGCAGATAAATGTCGCGTTACTTACACTGGTAACGTTGGCGTTGTTTGCATCACGATCTCCCCTTGAACTACAAAGAAAAATGAAAGTTAGTAGTTAAAGTACGATGAATAAGAGGAAAATTAATAGATATCGCATCAGCACGGATCATACGAAAAGTTTCGCCTAAATTCGCTCATCCCATGCAAAACTTTGTAAATTTGATCCGAAGAGAGCCGCTGGACCGTAAACCTTCATTTTCGCAATGGTCAATTCTGCCGGGTTAACGAGCAAATTGGTTTAAATTACAGCGCGTCCCGGCGTAGACATAACTTGATGAAAAAATGCGGCGTCGCCATCGCGCGTAACGGCGACAGGAAAAAAACGGCGTCAACGGTTCGCTTCCTCGATTCGTTCTACCCCAGTTGGGAAGTACGACAAGAGTAATATGAAGAAGCAACATGTATACTCATAAAGCAAACAAATGCGCGAAATAATTTATACATGGCGATTCGCACAGTTTTGTTTAATCAGCAGGCGATTTCTCTTCCGGGGACAACCAACGGTTACTTGGCTCTTCCGGGCGAAGGATTCGAAAAATTCGGAGCGCGAAATAGTAATTTGATATCGCAAGAAGGGAAAAATAATTCAACACTTCCGCGCACACGCGATCAGACATGGCCCTTTCTTCAGCCCTTCTCTTTATTTACATCATTTAATTAATATATTAGAGTTAACGGGCCAAAATTGACCTGCAATAAAATTCATCGTTTTTCTCGCATTTCGCGCCGGGCAACCGCGGCACGAGCGCTCGCGAACCGCGGAACCACGGAGCCGCGAAGGGGGCGAAGGACGTAACTACAAGCACGGGATCGTATTTTTGCATTCGGATGAGGATCACGTTACCGTGATCCATTTTAGGCGCAACTATCTTTGCCCGGCGCTGCGCGTCGCGACGCGCCGCGGCGCGTCTACGCCGTGCCCGGACCAATCGCGTTTCCCGTTACGCAAAGGTAGTCACTGACCAAAATAAAATCGAGTCTAACACTCCTCTCTCTCTCTCCTTCACGCGCGTGTACATACATTTTCGCGCGAGATTGACATATTTTATATCTTTTCGCGCTTTCCGATTTGCGAAAATTCACGGAGAGATTTTTCTCCCTCCCTTCGTGTTCTCCGCCTCTCGCGAATTCCCCCCTCCTTCCCTCTGCCCCGCTCGTCTGATCGTTTCCCTCTCGTCGCTCTCTTCTTCTGGCATCCTATTTCTTTGTACATCGATCATCGGTCATGTCTCATGCGGATGACGCCGAGATGCGCTCGATGCGATCAGCTGTTTGGGATCTCCGATGCGTCCAAAAAAATATTCTGCGAAACTGATTTTTCTCCGACAATAATACACGACTTTCGATGATTTGACAATGACATCGGTTAGAGAAACAATCCACGACAGAGTGGCGCTCGTCGCACACTTTCGTCGGGATTTCTCGCGGTAAATATTCAATCTTTTCGCGGATAAAAAGTAGGAAAGCTTAACGCCTTAACTGCTAGCGTAACGGCGCTGCTTACTGTATTTCATTGTCTCTTTTAGTTTTAATGCGCGTTGAAATATAATCCAACACGTTTCGATGCGCATCGATGGAACCAAGATTCATAAGTTCGCCGACGTTTATGTCACTTGGCAGTGTATGTAGTGTGTTGTACATCCATTTTCTTCGTTCCTTAACGTATTACGCATTTGGCAACGGTGCGGAACTATCTTCGATAATGGAGATCTAAATCTGCAACCGTTACTCTATCAAAAATTTGCGCGACGCGTCGTATTTGTGCACGAGCATCACGACGAGTACCGCGTCATTCCTCGGACTTTCTTCCGTTTCGAAGTTTGATTTCTGTTCTGAAATTTCGCTCAAAACTATTCGCATTTCGTCGGATTCACCGTAAAAGTCCGATTAATTAAGGTCTGTCGGTATTAAGGAAAATGAGCACAGAGAAAAACACGTTGATGAAAATAACATGCGATTTCGTTTCTCTTATTTCGTCTAGTGTGACTGATAGATAATTAAATTAAATTTATATCCCGAGACTAGCCCGCGTGAAACATCGCGGCGAATTAGAGGAAGCAACGCCAACGAGATCGTAACGAGGGACGTCTTTCTGAAACGAAGTTTCGCGAGTCACTTTGGAGATTTTCCAATATTCCATTTGTCAAAACGTTCAGCATGGCGGAATAATAAATTGCGCGTTGCACAATAGCAGACACTTCAACAGTATAATCGGATACACACAGACCCTCTTTCTCAACGTATTGCAAAATTTCTTCTTGTATTGCAAATAATTTGCAAATATTATTGAAGTTTCTACTTCAAGCTCTTCGCTCAGAGACGACACGAGTGCATTAGCTTCCTTGTGGTAATTAATAGATAAAATTCGAGTTGACAGCATTAACCTTAACGACACAATGCGTCAAGCTAAATATAGAACCCCGATTATTTCGACGTTCTGTAAAACAATAACGCATTTTAGATCGAAATGGAGGTCGTGTAACGCGACGCCATCCTCCTTGCGCCGAGGGCGCATGGAAGAATTTTTGAAACAGCCACGCCGAAGAGCGCGGAGAACGCTATCTTTAGAGCTCTCGCAGGGACCGTGCTCCTCGCACGAAAATAGAATGCGAGTAAGTGTTCGTTGACGGAATATTCGCCGAAAGAAATATACCCAACTCCTACTGATATTCTCCGTTTCCGTCGTGGCAATGAAACCGATGAAAGGATTCGATCGGTACGAAGAGATGACACGTCATTCGTATTCCCATCGAATCGGATCCAGAAATTGACCTGCGATAATCTCACAATTACGCAAATATGCCGACGCGAGATTTCGAATTTGTTCGCGCGGATTTTCCCGTAACGTTTCCCAAGCTCTCTCTATTTCATCCTTTCAAGTTTCTCCCTATTTCCGTCCTTTAAACACATCGCCACAACTGACCTCTCTGCTGACTGGTGATCTGTTGCCGCGTGACTTGTCTTTCTGTACGTTGCTGGACGTGTTGTTGTTGTTCCTGCATGACAGTCTGTTGCCGCTGCTGCAGCTGCCTCTGCTGTTCCTGGGACTGTTGTCGCTTCATCTTAGGCCGTGGAATCCAATAACTTCGCGGATCCTTCGAATGGCGGATCCGTCGCGAAACTTTATGGCTTAACTGCTAACTAATCTAAGGGGATCTGCGGATATCTCCGTTTTGCGTCTCTCTCCTCTTCGGCGCAGCGTTTCGTCACTCGGGATTCAACCAATTCCCGATGCACAACGACAAACCGGAGCGAATCACTCACGTTTATCCCGCTTTGCCCCGTGATATCGTTTCGTGTACCCTGCTGGTGTGGCCGCGGCTCAGTCCAGTCAGTCGGCAGAAGTCAAGTCATCATCAAAGGTCTTGTCCCCGAGATTCTTTAAACCAAGACGTCGGTCGAATGCGAATTGGATGGCTTACGACTTGAGGAGAACCGACCACGAGCCCTCGCGCGAGGAGATGGAGAGGGTGGCTGGCATGGCTGGGGTGGGGACGTCGAGCATCTCGATGCCCGGTGTCCACGGACGCCGAGCAGGAAGATGAAGAATAATATAGCGTGTCACAGCTACGACACGCGTGACGTTCGGGGATGAGGATGGTCGAAAACCTCGGTATTTGACATGAAATACATCTGCGAAATTACGTTTACGATATAAATCACAGCTGCGTCATCTCGCTGCGATTTGAATTTCAGGAGCCGCGCGTGCGTACGGGCGCGTGAGCGCGCCCGCCTTTGAATTTCCAGTGACGACGGTTTTAGGGGAGAGAAAAAAAAGGAATAAAAAAACGCCTGAAATTCACACTAGACGAACATCACGAGATCCAAAAATCCGGCTGCTATACGGAAAACTTCACGAGGAGGCTCAGTTTGTGCATCGCCGGAGCGGAGCGGTAAAAGTCTCACGCAGCGTTCTTGCGCTTACTGACAGCCGCCCACGCATCTCCACATTATTACCCCCTCCCTGTTCTTTCCCTCTATCTCTCTCTCTCTCTCTTTCTTTCGTCGTTCCCCTCCGAGCGCTCTAAGCTCTCTTAACCCTGGATGCACACCGTGGTACATTTCTCTGCTTTTCTCTTTTCTTTTCCTTTCTCATGCTTCTCAGCCATTTCTTCTCTTCGTCGAATACATCTATTAATCTTCAGATTTTCTCTCTCTCTTTGCAATATACTTGGCGCGTATGTTTATTTAGGCGCAGAGTCAGTCTGATATTTTGTTACTCTTCCTCTCTTTTTTTATTCGTCTTTTAGTTTCATGGTCGCTCCGTTCGGTCCTTTCCTCAGGTTTGTCCTCTCCTTCCCGGAGGAGTTTGGTGGTGAGGAAAACAGAAAAAACATATCGTTGTTGCACGTGCGTGGGCTCGGCCAAGTTTAGCTGCGGATGCAACCCCTACGACTCCGAGAGCGCACCGCGCTCATAAATTTGAGCCGCCCAGCCGTTGCGCACCACATTCTAAAAGCGTACATGCACTCCTATCAGTGAGTGAGGCTAACAACAACGCGGGGGATCATCTTGTAATAACTGACGACTCGCACTCTCTCTCTCTCTCTCTCTCTATCTATCTTCAAGAAACTCTCGATACCATTTGGCATACATTGTGAACTCAAGCGGAAAGCTCTCTTAGGAGGATTCGATCGGGACCGATCCGTCTCTTCTTCGGCGCGAGTACGCGTTTCACGTGGATCCCTCGGAAGTATTACTCCCAGAACAATCGCAATGTTCTGCATGCAGATTCAAATGGAAACGATTCTATCTAACCGTTAGCATTTTATACACCGACGAATCGGAGCGAAACACGCATCAATCGCGGGACTTGTATGCTGCCGAGCGTACTCGAGCAAGTTATGTGCGCACTAACGATACGTATCTTCAAACGTAATATACACCTGAGATCGTAATTAATTGATATGAATTAGTTTGGTGCGTGTGTGTGTGTGTGTGTGTGTGTTCTCGTCAGGTATCGTCGGTGAGAGTGTGTAAAACGATGAGAAGGCGCACGTGGAGAAGGAGGCACCCTCTTCGGCGGTGCTTGCGCTAAGAACATCGGTACGATCATCACGAAGAAGAAGGTGGGTCACGCGTGAATCACCGCGTTTCGTCCAAGATGCCGCATAGCGACGCATCTATTTTCAGATTCCCCGAGAAATAATCTCGGCTGAGAGATGACGAGGGGCCTTCGCGTCTCTATGATTCAAATAACGAACGCGCGAATGTTTCGTGCATGTCGCCGAGAACGAAGAGAGCTCTCGTAAACTTGCCGCTCGATTGCCAAATTCTATTTCGGGTGACTACAATGAACAATCGTCGTCATTAAGGTTCTTAGATTGAAGATCGCGTTATAGGCCTCGCCTGTAAAATTGCATGTACTATTCGAAGTGCACTTCCGTCCACGATCGATGGTTCAAAAAAGAAATAGCCACCGATTTCTGGTACTCACCGATTTCCTCATTAAGCAGCGTGCGAATGCGCGCTGGAGGTTCGACGTCCAAATGTAAATCACCGTTGTCACTGGGAAAACTTTCGTTTCTCGTGCCGGAGATACCTAATTCATGCCCAACGAAATTTGTCTTCTTTATCGTATCGAGCTCTGTCGTCGCGTTTTCGCGGTTGCTCCCCTCTATGAAACTGTCGTGTAATTCGATCACATAATTGGATAACGATGGATCGCTCACTCTTGAATGAATTACGAATGTAAGGGACAACTACCTGTGATCCATGGTCAATCCAAAATCATAAAAAGACTCGTGCGGTCGCTTGCAATTTGTCAGAGAGGCTTTAATGTCCTTGTCTTGCGACAGAAATAGGTCTTTTAAAGCTACATATTTTGGCGAATCCTCCGGAAACCGTTCGACTGCGCGCTCCTTTTTATCATGCTGAGCGCCGTGCGCTGGTGATGGTGCGGCGTCTGTAATTAAACGTAATGATAGCGATGCTGTTTGGAGAGAGAGAATGTAACTCAATAATCACCTCCGCGCGTTATTACGCGATTGGATCGCGAAGAAAATGGATTATCCCCTACAAATACGGTCGCTTGTTTTTCTTCCGTATATTTTTGGATCGCCGACTCACATTTTCCTTCACATTCCGCGAGATTACTTTGCAATCTATTTTCATACCGGATCATCCGTTCCTCATGCAAGAGATGAGTCGAGCTCGATAATTTCTAGAAACCGACGAATTCTTACGACACAAAACTCGCGTTTTTTTTTGCATTTCGAATACAACGTAAACGTTTTAATCGTTACTTTGTCTATATAATTAAACAGAAAGCGGAACGATTTTTCAATCTTCGCACGACAAAATTTATGCGAAATATTTATAGAAGATAAAATTTAATATGCTTTTACACTTGTAACTGCCGACGCTGGTTAAATTACGAATCATACTTACCTGAAATACCCGTTATCGACGACGCTGCTGTATCGCAATCTTGTAAACGCCAAAGAAAGCCAGTTACGAGAGGCAGAACAGAAAGGGAAAATGGAATACAGGCGAGAGAACACGAAATAATTCATTACACCATTGCCCATTGTTTATATTGTAGAGGAAGCACACGTTTATTTACATAGTATATAAGTATTGCTGACCATACATAAATAGCATTGATAAATAACAGTTAACTCCTTGCGATTTGAATAGACGTTATGAATGCGAAATGCGTTACGAACGTTTCTGTTACGAAAGATCTCGGTCGCTTTTTTCTGTTTCTTTTTTTAATATTGAAGATTAATCGTTTTACGTAACTTGCAGAATCTATGTGTAGTGGTTTTACAAAATTGCTCGAGAAATGCTGTTTATCTGTGGCTGTGCCACATTCAATTGTGCATCCAAATGCGCGGTTTATCTCCGATGGCTATCAGACACAAGGAGTTAATGGCACGACGATTTGTTGCGAAGCGATACATGCCCCACGATAAAATCCCACATTCCGTTTAGCCATAAAACACTGCTCCCTCGTGTTCTAAACGCAGATAATTAACGTGGAAATTTATCAAGCTACGAAGTAAGAAGCGTATCCGGGGCGATCGGGTATACTCCTATTGCCTCTGTTCGATACTTGTTAATAAATAATATTTTCATAGTTCATTTTTAAATAATATAACTAATACGTTCCAACACGATATAGTATGACGCGTAAGTAAAGTGATGTGAAGTAATATTCGTCTTTGGTTTTGAGGTACATAGGAGAACATTTCATTCGTTTCCTATTCTAACGGATGTTTTACGTTTTAATCATAGTCAGCCTCTCAATGGAGATTTAAAAAAAGGAGTATTGTAACTCTTGCCACCGGCAATTGCAGCAAGAAACATTTGATATATATATATATATATATATATATATATATATATATATATATACTTGGGGAGAAGTCTTGGATATATTTTAGTGAAGACAGAACAGAAGAATAGAGTTGGAACAGGCGAGAAAGACGTAGGCATAGATGAAAAGAGAGAGAAAGAGATAAAGCATAGTGTATGCGCGTAGAATCAGAAGCTTCTCTTAAAACTCCTCCAATAGGACAATAAAAGTACTCTATATGTTGTTTAATAAAGCGTTTTCTCTCAGCTCTCGCACTTTGCTCCTTCTTTGGCTGCTCGTTCGACTAGCTCGGTCCACCATTGTCGCAACATTACATCGTACATTTGTGTGAAATGCAAGAGAAACGATTATATTTGGACAGAGCTAGTCTGCTTTCGCTCTATCGATTAATAGCGCTACTGATTTTCATCCTTTCGTGTCGTGACAATATTTTGCCGTCCATCCTGAACCAGAAGCAATCTAGAGGAAGCCTTTTACCATCGAGTCACCATGTTCGTTCGTCGTCAAGTGTTCGCGAAAATAACTTGCCGCACGGAGAACATCTTGAGCATCGTTATTACCTTCACCGTATTAGTTTGCGGCCTGCTTAAATCATAATCAAGCGATACGAAACCACGGCACCGTTAGGCCGAGGTTAACAATCGAATTCTCCACCACCTTCGCGTTTATCCCGCTCGATCGTTTCTTCCTTCGCCCATTCGATCTTTTACGAAATAGGAGCGTATATGGATCGTCTGTTACCTGAAATTTCCAAACTGGCCGACGTTACGGTGGAACCCAGACTATTCGTTGCCGTACACGCATAAGTCCCGGCGTCATCTGTATAAAATGAAAAAGAAAATAATAAATCGCGCAAAGATGCAAAATGTAACTATTAAAGCTTGCAATAGCTGTTAATAGACGTTAAAAGGATCATGTGGAAAAGAGAGACAGAGAGAAAGAGAGATGAGCGATCGTTTACATTACGTACCTGGGAAAGTTCTTAATATAGTGAGACGACAAACACCATTCCTGTACTGGATGTCATGGCTCGCAGAATTTTCGACGATCCTACGGTCTTTCGACCAAAGGATATTAGGTTGTGGCTCAGCCTGTACGATACATTCGAATCTAGCCGGTTGCCCGCTTACCACCGCGATATCTTTCAGAGGCTGGAATTAATTGGTTAATTTTCCGATGCCGTCGATGAAAGAAATATTCTCGAAAAACTGTCGGCATTACCGTGATGAATGCAGGAGCCTTCTTCGGTAATACGTCGAGGTACGGCTGAATCACCTCCTTGCTTGACGACACGCCGTTGCTGGTCGGCCACGGTGAACCTGCGACGTTCGAAGAGGCAGCTGATATTACGATAGATGATTCGAACGAAAAATTACTCGTGCACAATCGGCGAGTGGCAAATTGTTAAGGGACTGAAAGGATACAGATTAGTACGCAGAGAAGTGACACCTCGAAAAGAATCCGAGCGGGAGAGTGCAATCTCGGGGTAAATAACTATCTATCTATCCGATATCAGCGAGAGAAAATATCAACGAGCAGAGAGGAACGAGTGACCGGAGCGATGAAAGCAAAGCGAGATACAAGAGCGATGCATGGAGCAACTGAACTAAACAACAACTACTGGAAGTAAAGGTAAAACGCGGCGGCAGGTGTATGTACCTGCGGATTCTACGTTGCTGGGTGGTCCAGTGGCACTACTATATCTCGGAGAGAGGCTCGGCAAGCTCGGACTGAGAGAAAGCGGACTGGGTGTAATGCGATCCCATTTGGAGGGTGAGCAAGGTATAAGGAGGCTCGGGGGAGTCATCGAGCTCTCTGCCACTTCGCCACCGGGGATTCGCTTCTTCTTGAAGTTCCTCGCGTCTTCGGCCTCGGAGAACTCGCTCTCCGACGCCGGCTCCCACTTGACGTTCTTCGTGCTCCCGAATTGATTCGCCGGCTTGCCTTGGCGGCTCGCGAACGTGCCTTTCTTCGCGATACCATTCGCTTTTCTCTCGGAACTCGTGAACTCGTGGACTATGGGCACTTCTATGTCGCTGGCGCGCCTCTGCCCCTGGATGCTCTTCTTGCTGCGCTCGACCGTTCTCTTGCCTTCGCCGGGTAAAACGATGCCGAATTCGTAGCCGAAGTCGTATTTGAAATATATGAGCCCGGTGTCCGGGTCGATATGCTTCGTTCCTGTTCACGCCGAGTGTGATTTACTTATTCATTCCTACGTTTAGAAGAAGGAAGGTAATGTATTGCCGTTACCGTGTTCGGAGACTCGCGACTCTTCTCTGTAAGTTCTCGGCTCGTCACTGTCGGTCGTTCTCGAATCGACGGGATGCTTCAGTATCGGCTTACCCTGCCTCAAGTCTGACTGGATATCGCTCACGAATTTCTCGGATTTCGATTTGAAGCTGCTCGTCATATCGCTCATGTGACGCGATGCAAGGTCTGCGGACGTACGAGATCTTTGTGTTATACGGGACGAAAGCCCGCTCGCTTCTTCAACAAACGAAGGAAAGAGAAGCTGCGAGAAAGAGAGTCGAAGAACAGCTCGTGGAACAGAAAACGTCGGAAGAGCATAGAAACACTGTCGATCAAGTAGAGAACAATCGAGATCAGCGAAAATCAATACAAAGAATAAATACAGAAATACAAAGCGACAATTGGTTTCATGCGACGGGAACTTCGCCGGAAGTCAAAAGCGTTGTTCTACTTGCGCAAAGGGCGGAATCGAAATTCCACGTTTTCTCATTAATTTCTAAAAATCAATTTCTAATTAATCTCTAATCAAATAACTTCTAAGGGACAAATTTTAGCAACTGAACTATCGCCAGCGAAACGAAAATTCTGACAAGCGTCAGTCGTGTTGCAACGTAGAGAATAAGCAGCGTAACGCTTTTATACATATTTGAGGCGTCTGCGAGTCGAAATTAATCGAACATAAAATTCGTCGAAGCGACAACAATTGTTCGCCCAGCGTTGTCGCGGATGAACAAAAAAGTACTTCCGCACCATGCAGCGTCTACTGTCGTCAATGCATTCCGCAAAGCATTACGAGACATGGATGTTCTTACGGTCCGCTGCCTTCTTCACGTCGCTCCTCGTGACGAATCCGTACTCGGGCGGCGAGCCGGGCTGCAGGATCTTCATCTCCGTCTGTGTGCTCAGCGACGTTGTCACAGGCCCGGTGTCGAATTCCATCGGCGACGCGACGTGCATCCGACTGACCGGTGCGCTCGACGACCTCGGGCTCCTCGTGCTGGGCGGTTGAACTCGTCGGTAGCATGGCTCCTCCGTGTCGCTGTCGGCCGGCGCCCACTTGGGCCGGATTCTGCTCGAGTCCACGTCGCTCTCGTAATCGGACTCGCGAAATTGCCCCTGCACGAACTTCTTCGGCGTCGGCACGCGGTAATGAGCTTTCTGACGAACGGTGTCGCCGAACTTGATGACGCGGCTGGTCTGCTCGACGGTGACGACCCTCCGCGCGTTCTCCGTCGACTCGTCCATCCTCACCGTCTTCTTCGTCTCGGTGCCGATCGCTTTGGTGTACGGCACGCTCGTGTGCGTCTCGTAATATTGTTGAGGCGGCGCGTACGCGAGCTCCGGCGGAGAGCCGGGTAGAAGGACGCTTTTCGGTTTGGCCGTGTATTGCTCGCGCTGCGAGTCCCGTTGCACGGAAGCTTTGCTTTCCCGTGACTCCTCGATCAGCGGAGCAACCGGCACGCTCGGCTCCGTCGGTTTCCCTACGTAGAAAACGTTCGTTCGGATGACGCGATCGATCCGACAGCTCGGGAAAAGACGCGGTGGTGGCGTCGAGAGAAGACGATGAAAGACACCGATGTCGCAACGAGAGAAGACATATGTAAAAAGCACCGCGTAGAAAGCAGATTGCGCAGAAAGAAATGTGTACATCGAATGAGAAACGGACGAAGCTAAATAATTATCTCGAGGATGTGACCGAGGGAAAGAAAGGGAGCACTCAAAGGCGGAAATGGAGAACTCGTATTAAATGTGAGACTTGCCGGAAAGATTACGCGCAATTAACTGGAAATAAAACAGAATTGGGAATTCGATCTTCAAAAGGTTACCTTCCACTTGGCTTTTTCTTTCACGAAATTAATAACGTAGCTGATTAATTATTGATTACTAACGTTAATCAATTAATGTTCTAATGATTGTGTGATGCACTCATAACGTATGCATGCATACGTTAGCACACAGGTTCCATTTCTCATATTATTGACATATTTACAAGAACGAGGAATAGTACTGGAAAATGCAAATTCAAGGGAGTAACGCACTACCTGAACCAGCCTGCAGCTTCAGCGACGCCGATCTAGCGTCATAGTCGCTCTCGTAGTCGCTCTCGCGGAAGTCACCCTTCGCAAATCTCGAAGGACTCGGGGAGGTTGACAGAATCTTCTCCGTTGGCTCCAGTTTTCTGTGCCCCGTTTCCTGCAAGCAACGTCTCGTTGAAATCTTCGTTATCGTGCGATGGCACGAAGAACACGGCATACAAAGTTTTCAGACTATTCATTCCAATGGTTAACGTATTGAAATCTACGGTCTACGATTGATGTCGGTTTTATCGGTACTTGCGATTCACATCGCATTGATTAGTTTCGCGGGCAAGCATGACGAAAGAAACGAAACACACTCGAAGCGGCACACGGACACGCAGAAAGCCTCGAACCTTCACGGACTCGAATTTGCGCAGGCCGGTGCTGGTCGATGATGCGTAGCTCCTCTCGAGCGAGCTGCGTTGCTGCTGCACGAGTTTGGGAGTCGTCGGCGTGCTACAAATCGGCGGTGATGTAAACTCTTTCTTGTGCACGTCACTCTTGTAACTGTGACTCTCGAAGAACTTGGTCCTACTGTCCGTACTCGAGGTGCGGCTCTCCGTATGGACCGTCATGCTGGAGCCGTCACGCTTCCCGAAACTCTTCTGCATCATCGTGGTGGAAACCTTCTGCTGGAACGGCTCGTCGGTGTCCGCCATGTAACCGCTCTCTTGCTGAAAGATCTTTGTCTTGAACTTCGGGGATTCCGGTTTCTTCGCGGGCGGAGATTTCGGCGCGGGACTCTTCACGCTCGGCTGCACGTAGATCGGCGGAGAACCAGGTCTCAGGGCTATCGGGCTTGGTTGCTGCTTGGAGGACTCCTTCTCGTATCGCTTGAACATCGTTTTCTTCGTAGTCTTCTCGACGGAGTCCGCGATCACGAGCGGTCGGGGCGGCCCGGCAAATTGCGTCCCCGGGGTCTCGAATTTCGACGGTGGAAGCGGCTCGGGCTCGGTGGATCTCGGCCTCGTCGGCTGTTTCGGAATGGGCGCTTTCACTTTCCGATAGTGCGGCTCCTCGTTATCGCTCTCGTAAGGCCTCCACTTCGCCCTCAGATGACCGTCGAAATCAGACTCGTAATCGCTCTCCTGGCCGAAAGTACCTTTAATGAATTTCGTCGGAGTCGGCGTCGGCGTTGAGATCTTGGCCGGCTTCTTAGACGGTATAGGAGGCGGCGTGATGCGCACGTCTTTCGGCGGGAGCACCGGCGGCTCCTCTCTCTTCGTTTGCACGATATGCTCCGGCACGACCTGCTCTTGTGCAACGGCCGGCGGGATGTAGCCGATCTCCGGCGGGGAGCCCGGCTCGAGGACGAGCGACGTTGACTCCGTGAAGTAACGCGACGTCGTGAACGGCTTCACGGCCGGCTCGATTTTCTTCACCAAGCTGGGCGCCTTCAGATCTTCACCATGCGTCCAATGTTTCGTACTGAATTCCTCAGATTTGCGCGTCGTCCCCGCTTTCTCCGCGTTACGCTCGCTCACGCGTTTCTCGAAGAAGGTCTTCTCCTGCATGGTGTTCACGGTGTGATCGACTTTGATGGTCTCGGCGTTATAGATGATCGGACCGAGTTTGGTGGCGGGCGGAGGTGCCTCCGATATCTTCTCCGTGAACTCTTCCTTGCTGCTCCACGAGCGTTTCTCCACACTGGCGGACGAGTCCATACTGGTTTTCTTTATCCCACCATGCGGTCTCTCCTCGACCTCCTGTTTGAACTCCCTCGTGGTGCTCTTGTACTCGTCCACGGGGATGTTCCATTCGCGCTTCTGAGCGGTCTCGACCTGAGGCGGCCACGATTTCCTATTCGAATCCGCGTATTTCTTCGCCCACGACTTCTCCATCGCCAGACCGTCCGCGGACGGCTTCGGCGACGTCGACCTCACCATCTCCTGGCTCGAGGCGGCCGATTGACACCTGTATTCCGACAAGTCCGTGGACACGTGCGACTTGGTCTCCACGTCCGACGACGAAGACCACGGTCTGATGGGAGAGGTGCTCAAAACGGACGTCGGCGCGTATCTCCACGGCTCCGTTTTCTCCTCCTTGAAGGATTTGCCGTCCTTCTTTTCATACGTATCCTTCCTCACGCATGTCTCCTCGAATGATTCTTTCTTCTCCAATTCGAACGGGGGTGGGATCGTAAATGCAGGGGTGGTAGTGATAACTTTGGCGGGTTCCGGTGCTTTGGGAGTGGGGAAGATCTTCACACCACCGATCGGGGCTTCTATCGGCGACAGCGTCTTATCAAAAGACTCCTGAAGCTGCTTCGCCTTGACGAACACCTCGGGACGTTTTTTTTTAGACTCTTCCGGCTTCGGCATGTAACAGATCTCGGGAGGCGGTTCCGGCACCAGGCTGAAACTCTTCATCATCGTCTCGCTGCTCTTCGTCTGAATCCGTAGCTGCGACGAGTCGGAAGCTAGCGTGGTGTCCTCGAAAGTCGTCTTCTTCACCTCCATCGGTGGCAGCTTTGGAGTCTCATACGGGAAATCGAACAGCTTGTTCTCCACACCGCGAGGCGACGGGCCCAACTCCAATTTCGTGAAAATATCCTGGACCGTCTTTTTCGTCGCTTGGAAGTCCGACGGTCTCGGCTCCGGTTTCTTCACTTCGTAAGAAGTTGCTACCCGCTCGTAACTCTTCATCAGTTCTCCGACTTTCGCTTCTTGAACCTGTCCGTCCTCCGTCAGCTTGATCATCCCTTTCGGTCCTTTCGGTGCTGCGTCGCTCTCCTTCGTAATGGATTCGAAATAACTCAGCGCATCTTTCTTTGCGATCGTCGAGGTCTCGATGTTTTCGTTCTCGGTCATTACTCTATCCTCCAACTTCGTGAAAGGCTCCGCGATATCCTTTACATCACGGTCGATTTCCTTCGTCGTGATCGTTTGCTCGATTCGAGTCTTCGATTCCACAATCGGTGGAGTTTTATGTTCCAGTTTCATGTGGAACTTCTGTTCCGACTTTGTCTCGGATTCGTGGGATTCGATTATGGATGATATCGTCTCTGATTTATTGCTCTTGATCTCCGGCTTGTCGATTTTCTGCACGGTGTCGATAGTGGTTGATGCCAATGTCGCAGTTGGCTTGAAAAACGCGCTCGGTTGGATCAATATCGTTGGTTCGCTCATCAAAGTGCTCGATAATATCTCGTCTTTCTTCCCCTCGGACTAAGCGCAAGTATATAATTTTACCAAAATTTATCATATCTAAATATATCGCCTTTAAACGTATAGTAGGGAGAAAAAACTACCTTAATTTTACGCTATAAATAATATTGTATGAATTTGCCTCGGAGAAAATAATTCGAAAATAGCATCTTTTCTCAACAACGGAAATTTGGTATTTTTTTTAAAAGAGAAGTGGTTAAAAGTACGATCGCTTACCTGAACGACGCCTTTATCATGGACGTTTTCGTAAACAACGGTCTTGTGCACCTCGACCATAGTGTCGGGCTTTGGCTCGAAAACTGCGACATCAGCGATGCTCTGCGCCTCTCCGCCGGCGTTTGTTGCTCGTACCATGTATTTGCCAGCATCTTCTTCGCCGACTGTAACGTAAATCGAAAGTAAGAAATTGAGCAAAATACCGGAAACTGCTGTCTGCGAAGAAAAAGAGAGAGAGAAATTGGAGGGTGTTCGAAGCCATTGAACAATTCATTGCACAAACCTTTTTCTATGAGCAACGTGTAGCAATTTCCTTGTTGAGTGATTCTCAGTTCCGGTGGTCGTTTATTGATCGGCACGTCGTTCTTGTACCAAGTAACCGTCGGCTCGGGTATACCGGTGATTTCGACTTCCATTATAACGCGATCTCCCTTCTTCACCACTTGAGCTTTGAGCCGCTTGCCGAAGACCGGCGGGAATATCGTTTCTAAAATTACACGCGAACGAGATGAACACTCGCGCGTCGCAAATCCCACGTCTGACATTCCTTTCGATCGATTCGTGTCACTTACTCTTGACTACGAGGTCGGCCGTGCTGCTGGCGCTCCCGACTTCGTTGCTCACCGTGCAGGTGTAACGTCCCGCGTCCTTCACGCTGACATTCTTCAGCTCCACTTTCACATGATTGTGAGCGTAACTGATCGTCGCACAGTCCTTCGACATCAGCTCTTGGCCGTTTTTCAACCACAAGATCGACGGTTGTGGGAAACCTAACGCGAATCGATCATTTTAACGTGCATCAACAATATGGCGGGAAATAAATGCGCTCCATGGGGAAAGTTTGTCGAATGACGTTGATAAAACAAAGCCACTCACCGTCGATAATGCCCTCGAGAACGACATCCGCGCCTTGATCGACGATCATCCCCGTGATCGGCGAGACGAATCTGGGCGCTATCGGCTTCCTGGACGGTTTCTGAATTTGGCTTGTCTTGACGTCGGACTTGAGGCCGCCCGTCCCCTCGGACACGACGACGGTCTTCTCCTGTCGCACCTCGCCGGGCTGCTCCTGCACGATCTTCTCATACTCCTCGATTTTGTGAGACTGGGGAAACGATATTTTCTTAATTGACGAGCGAAAACGTCGCCCCTGATGTTTATGCGCGGAGTATTTTAGTTAACGGTAAACGCGATAAAGTCGGAGCGAAGACCGCTACTTTTTGTCACGACGCGATAATACAGACGTATTCCGTGTACTTACCTGTACGACAGGTGGTGCATCGTTTTCCGAGACGGATTGTTCCGAACTTTGCACAGTTGTTTTCGTGCAAACGCTGCTGGGTTCTTGTCCAGACTGCGATAAACTGGAGGTCATGGTGGACGACACGAATTCTTTCTTCGTAGACGTCGTCGAGGAGTGCGTGACAGTCGATGACATCTTGGTTAGCACTTGACTCTCGGCGCCGCCCTCGTGATACGTCTTCTCGCTCGAGAAGTGTTTCTCGCTGCTGCTCGCGGGATGCATGATTTCCGCAGGAGGACTCGGAACCAGCTCGAGCACTCTCTCGACCTCGTTTGCACCTTGTTTCACCGATTCGGTATCTAAAAAAGTTCACCCGGCTGTAAAACTCGATGATGATGACGAGAAGCGATCACGTTTCTCGATGCGCGGCTGAAGAAAAATACGCGTAAACCTTTCGGCAAATGTGTGACAACGTGGCATCCCACGATCGATAAAAATAACGCATTTGTCCGCGTTAATATGATAATTCTTAAAATAATACTTTAAATTGATATTATCGTTAAAGTTATTATAATTATAATTTGCAAAAAATTCGCGCGCGCGTCTCTTTTTATTATTCATATTACTGCGATCATATTACAAAATCGGATTATTGGCGCAAAAACTCGTGTTAAATCAGATCTTATCTTAGACACTATATGACACGTGCTTAATTAATTTACGATCGAACGTTCTGGAGTGTACCAAATGTACGGCCGAAATGCTCTCAGCGAAGTAACGAAATACTTTGCCTACGATCCGCGACAGAAATAGTATCGTTCACCTAGTAATAAGTGAATCGAGCACTCGGCTGCAATATATAACCCAAGACCATCGTCCCAATTTATCGTTGTCATTTTACGCACTTTAACGTGATACGTGCGTAAATTACGCATAATACCTTCTTCGCACACCTGCTCTTTTGTTATCCCTTTAATTTCTCAATTAGAAAGAAATAGGTTAATCTCGAAGACGTTATCAAGGTCGAGCCGCGTGGCGAACTTTCGAAACATTTTCACGGATGTACGAATAAATATCAAAATCGTTCGAGTGAAATAATTTAATTCGGCATCAACAGCCCCGATATCTCTTGGCGTCTAATCGCTCGATTTACTTTACTGTCAGCAATCTGGCAAATTGTTGAGACGATTAAACATTGGACGTATTGAAAATTATACTCGCTGGAACGGATATCAGCAGAAGCGGTGCCGCCCCGACGAGAACGCACTTGTATTCGCCGAGTTAGCGACTCTGGACCCGACTATGCGACCGGGTATTCGTACCGACAAAAATAACACGGTTTCGCGCGTGTATGCGATGAGGGAAAGAGAGATAAGTAAAGAGAAGAATGACTCGCGGTCTTTGAAGTATTCTTAAATCTCTCCACAGCGAAATATGATTCCAGCTCCTATACCGCGCGTCGCTTTTAATGTTTTAACGTTTGCAAGAGCGAAGACCTCGCGATAGCCTTGCGTTACAAATCCGTGTATTCAGGTCACCCTCTAAACGTACGAAAGCAGTCGGCAACTATACATAATAATATCGGAGCGAAAATATTCGGGCTCGTAGCGAGCATCTCGTACGAAGTAAAAATGGTGCTATCGGATTTCAAGGCGTGCGGCAACCGTCAATGCAACCGTCTCCTTTTCATTTCCGTTTCCTTCATTAAACGGTTAATTTTATCTGTCGCTCGTACAACCGGGAATCTCGAATGAGCTGCATTCGATTGGGTAATGCGAGTATTAATAACTCGGACCAACGTTACGCTTCCCGATATTATTTCCCATCGAGGCGACAAATGTATCGCAAATGGACATCGTTAACAGCATTATCGATCAATCACGGCAGCGAAATCAATGAAAAGCGGAGTGAGGAAGGCAATATGAGACTCACCGATTTCCACCTGAGCGCTGCAAACCGCTCTGCCAGCCGCGTTCTCCGCTATACAGGTGATCGTGCCGATGTGCGCATCGCCGACCTCGGGAATCGTCAGAACCTGTCGATCGCCGCTAACGGACACCAGGAAGTCCTTCCCATGAACCGGCCGATCATTAAACAACCACTGAATCTACAAGGGAGAAATCCTGTTGATCAAATTCGCCGTCGATCGGCCGAGGAACATGCGAGCGCCGGTAACGTGTCGGCTCTCAGATTCCTCGAGCGTCGAGGACGAAGAAATTTGGCGAAGTGACCGCGCGATACCTGTGTGTGACGGCGCCGACTCACAGCGCGCCGAAAGTTCCACTTTATGCTCCGCGACGCGACTGCAATCGTGGCTTTTCACATGAGGTATATTGTTCGCGTTTAAATATAACTCGTCGGGCACGAAATTACTCTTGCCCCGTTACCTCCTGACAGGCCGGCCAACCTCCTCCCATCTAAACGTTGTTTACGTGGCCCACGCAAATTTTCGAAGCGTTACGAGACATCTACGCGCGACTCGGATGACTTTCTCACCCGATAGTTGCGCGATACTTTTTTTCGCCGCGACGACAAGAGCAAAAGTTGTTCGTGAATAATTCCAAAAGTTATAGCTCAACAAGAATTGCACAGTGATTTAAGGAAGAGAATTGTTTTTCATTGAAATGTCTCATTTTATGTGTGTATTTGATGTATGATTCACCTTAGGGGAAGGTTTTCCACTAACGATGCACTCGAATTTCGTGGATACACCCTCGGGCACTCTCCTGTCCTCAAATACTTCCTTGAACGTTGGCAAAATCAACTTCTCCTCCATCCGGACGAACTCTTCGTTCCTCTTAAAGTCACCGAGCGACCTCACAACCAATCTGGCGAAAGCTTTCGCCTCGCCATGGATGTTTACGGCCTTGGCCACATAATTGCCTTTATCTTCCGGCTTCGTCGACGAAATTTTCAAGATCCTCGTCCCATCCTCCTTCTCTTCGATCTGCAACAATATTAAAATATTAAATATTAAAATATTAAATATTAAAATATTGCATTATTTATTTAGCATCAAGTAACATTTTATGTGCATAATTTATGATACAAATAATATACTCACTATTATTCTCCCGTCGTGAATGACTTCACCATCGTCCGTCGAGTACCATCTCAAGTCAGGTTTAGGTTCTCCGGTTACGGCACACTCGAAAACCGCATCTTCGCCCTCGGCCACAAGCAAATCCGTCGGGAGTCTGACGAACTTCGGTGCGGAACCACTTACGAGAGTTTCCTCTCCTCCCTGTGTTCGATCAGTTACGTCCGGCTGAGATACCGCTGCAAACCGGGGAAAGAAAATATCATATAAATATAAAATGTGAAATTTCTTAATTTTTCACAATCATTTATCTCGAGAAAAGTAAGTTGTACATACGTGTAACTGTTAATGTGCACTGACTAGAAGCTTCGCCGCCAGAATTAATGGCGACTACTTTGTATGTACCGGCGTCGTCCAGGAAAGCCTCGTGGATGACTAAGGAGCACCTGTCACCTTGGAAGAGCAGCTGGAAGTCCGACGACTCTTTCACGGGTTGCTCGTCGTGATACCAGATTACCTGCGAAATTGCAAAATTAATCGAGAAAGGATGAAGAATTTAACGAAGTTTCAATTGACATTTACCTCCGGCTCAGGCTGGCCCACGATCACGCAATCCAACCTAGCCGACCGTCCTTCTTGGATCTTAAGATCGCGTAAGGGTAATTGAAACTTCGGAACTATTGGCTCCGTGTCGCTGCAGACTAAGTCGGAGTCGTTGGTTTCGTGAGGCAATCGTCCCTTTACGGAAACGGTGCACGATATGATGGCTTCTCCGGCGTCGTTCTTGGCGGTCACCGTATAACATCCGGCATCCTTCGGGAAAGCTTCCGTGATGATCAAGCTCGTTCGAGCCCCGTCCGTTTGAATCTGATAAAATGCCGAGTGATTATGCGTTACGCCGAATAAATCGATAAATTGTTCTTCTGGAATGAAATTTTACTCAAACCGAATGAAAGTTTATTCGAGGTATTAATCCTACTACTCAGAATCACGAGTGAGAATTGGGTGGAGTTTTACTAGAAAAAAATCTCAAAATTACCTTATAATATTTAGTATCCTCAATCGGCCTCCCATCGCGAGTCCAGCTTAACTCAGGCATCGGGTTCCCGTCGACTTCGCATTCCAGTTTCACCCTCTGCCCCGTTCTGGCCATAGCGTTTGACAGTGGTACCACGAAATACGGTTTCTTCGTGGTGATCTGCGCCGCTGAAATCGAAATCGATGTGAACGACGAGGAAAATGCATGGTTTTAGCTCATTGTTGACGACAAAGTATTGGTCTTACGTTGTACGTCGAGAGAAGCGGTAGTGGACGATTGGCCCAATCGATTCGTCGCTTTGCAGGTATAGAGAGCCTTGTCCTCCAAGAACAGTTCGTCGAACTTCAGGATAGCTTCCCCGTTGTTGAAAGTGATCACGTAGTCCGGCGAATTGTCGATGTTGACGTCGTTCTTGTACCACTGCACCGTTGGAAGAGGATTTCCCTCGACGGTGCACTCCAAACTGTGCGAACATCCCTCTCTCGCGGTGGAGGGTTGCAATTCCTTCACGAAAACGGGAGCTCTCAGCTGCTCTTCTGCGACGGTCTCTGAAAAATCGTTGAAAGAAGTTAGAAACCCGACCATCGCATCCAATGCACTCAAGACCGATTATCGAGTTACCTTTCACGGCGAGGGTGGCTGACGTTTCGGTCGAGCCGAGGATATTGAATGCGCGGCAAGTGTATTTAGCGGAGTCCTCGGCGAACGTCTCCTCTATCTTCAAAGTGCACACACCGTGGACGTAGGTCGTCAAGTAATCTGGATTATTCAGTATCGATATTCCGTCTTTGTACCAGACTATCTCCGGCACAGGATGACCGACCAAGTGGCACACGAAATTGAATTCCTTGCCTTCCTGAACCGTCGCGTCGTTCAGAGGAACCGTGAATTCCGGAGCCAACGAGGTTTCCTCCGCTGATACGCCTTTGCTATCATCGAGAGGTTCATCGTCCACGAGCACGAGCTTCCTCGGTGGACTGGCTTCCTTTTGAACAACCGGAACGCTCTTCTCAATCTCCATCTGTGAACGTAACGAACGTCAATTAGAAAATCACGTGATTACCGATCGGGTGGAATTTCACTCGAAGAAACTTCGAGAGCTGCACCTTCTGAAGTATGTGAATCTCCTTCGTTGTCACAGCGGAAGTGACGGTTTCCTCGACCACAGTCTCGTCGGTTTGAGCGGAGACGGAGTGAGAGACGGGGATGGCGATCTTCAGCGCTTCCAGCTCCTGCTCCTTCAATCTCTTCGCTTCTGTCGCGGCTTTGTCCAAAGTCTCGGCCGCCAGTTGTTCCGCGAGTCTCCTTGCATTTTCCGCCTCCACTTTGGCAGCTTCCGCCGCAGCCATCTCTATCTTGGCAGCTTGCAGCTTCTTGTCGGCCTCTAGCTTCTCGATTCTCAGCCTCTCTCGAAGATCCTCGGCGTTCTGCAAGTTCTGGCTCAGAGTGCGCAGCTCGGAAGAGACAACCGCGAAGGAATCTAGCACCTGCCGGTTCTCCACTACCACCTCGTTGAATTGCGGAAGTCTGTCGGTGCCTGAAATATCACATTGCGATTCTATGTGAGTGAAAAGTTGTTGCAAATTTTCATTACTCGGTTTTCACATCGCTTTGGAGTGAAATTTCATTCGGAAACGTTTAAAGAGTATGCGCTCATCTTTCCACATTTCTGAGGCATATACACTTCTTTTCTTAAGAATAATAGTGTCACCCACGAAAAACTATGGTGGATAGTTCCTTGAGCTTCTCGATCCGCTTCTCTTGCTGCTCCTCTCCCGGTTTTATGTAAGCATCGATCTCTCGCAATAACTCGGTAGCCTCTTCGGGCATTTTCACGGTCGTAGCCTTACGCGCGACGATCACCAGGAGTTTACTGCCTTCTCTGAACCATTGTTTCGCCTCCTCCAAGAGCAGGAAGTAGTCGATGCTCAGATTTATCCGCTTCTTGGTGTCTTTGACGCGCTTCCGCAAGAGGTCCCACCTGTTTCGCAGGGATGAGATATCGTCCATCACTTGTGGCGCCAACAGGACAATCGTCTCCTCCGTTTTCTTCACGAACGTTTCGATTCTCTCTTCCAAAATCTGCCACAAAGACGTGAGTTACCAACCTAACTTCCTCGAAGCCTCCTCGAGATCGCCTTACCGTTATAGTTTGCTCAAACTGCTCGAAAGCAGTCAACGTCGCTCTCGACGCCGACAAATTCTCGCCGATTCTCCCGTCTATAGTCTTCAATTGTTCGTTTAAGTCACGCAGGTCCGAGTCAATTCTCTCGACATCCTCCCTAAAGACACAAAGTCGTCGATGTTTCTCGAGACGGCTGAAGATCTCCGCTTGAAACGACTCGAGCTGGGCGTCTACAAAGTCCATCGCGTGCCTCAGCTTCTCGATATCCTGCACCGCTGATTCCACCGGCTCCTGCAGCCTAATGTTGCCAATCACTTCCTCAGATTTGGTGCGCACTCGCAGCAGAGATTCCGTAATAGATGTCTTGAGTGCGTCAAGTTCGTTTAATGCACTGTCCACGTCGATCAGCTTCGTGAAGCTCGACACGTGTTCGATTTCTTGCCTCGCTCGATCGATCTTATGTTCGATCTTAAAAAGCAGATTTATGTTTCAGAAAAGCAATCTATACGTATAAGAAATAGACAAGTCGGAAGATATTTAGAACGTCCGAGAATCATACCTCCTCGAGGCTCTTGAAGATGGAGATGAGAGATTCTAGCAGCATCTCGTAATCTTTGGCAGCATCGTTCACCTTGTCATACATTTGCACGAGTCTCCCTAAGACCTGCTCAGCTGCCTTGGTTTCTCCTGATTTCATTACTTTTATGAATAAATATAGGTCTTCTAAGATGCGACGCGTGACGTAAGGATGTTTTACTTACCTTTTTCAGCGAATACTTGAATACCTTTGATTCTAGTATCTAATTCCTGGGCCGCTTTGTTTAATTCAAGCAAGACTCGCACCCTCGCGCCCTTCAAATTATCCAGAATGTCGGTTACTCTGGAGGAGTATGATGTTATTACCGGATACAGTTTCATTTCGAATTTTGAAACCCACGCTAATGTCTGCAACAAGTCGGTAAATGGCAGAAGTGATTGGTGATGCAATGAGAGAAAAAACATCTCACTAAAATGACAATTATTTTTAGACGTCAACCATATACTTTTTACAAAGTGGAGAACGTACTTTCGTGCTTTCTTCGATTTTCCGCTCGTGCTCGATCCGCCTCTGCCTTGCGATTTCGATGGTGGTTTGCCATTTTTCCCACGACTCCGTCACGACCAATTGACGATTAGCGAACTTGTCCAAAATAGTCTGAACGCACAGACAAGCTCTCGATATATCGAGGTAAGAATCTTCAACCTGCGAAAGCAAAAAACAAGCGATCCTTACACATTTCTTTTTCCAATCAAATTAGATAAAGTCAGGCTCTTTTAATCCAAGAATGTATCATGAGCAACTTACGTTGTCTGCTTCGTCGTGAAACGTTTTGGCACGATTATTGAGTTTCTTATAAAGAGATTCCAGAGCCTCCCATTTTCTTTCCAGCTCGCCGATTCTCCCTTCGTTTGACGCGTTTTCGCTCATTTTCAACTCGTTGTCGACAGAATCCATTTCATTGGAAAGTTCTTCGGCGACCTCGTGAAACTGTATATAAGTCGTGCCCAGTTCGATTCTCTTCGCCACGGTGATTTTCGTTTTCGTCCACGCGTCCTCGAGTTCCTTGATTTTCGCTCGCACTTCGTACTTCTGTGCTTCTTCCAGGCGCTCTATTATCGGAAGGATCTCCAATTCCAAATGATCCACCTCGACGCTCTTGTCCTCCAAATCGGTCAACAGCTGGCAGTGAACTCGACGGAAATCGCACGCCATCGCCAGATCGCTGCCCATGTCCTGATGTCCCTGCAGGAAGCCTTTGGCAACGCTGTTCAGCCAGACCCGTAGCTCCTCGTGCTTGTCTAAAAATACAGCGAGCATCCTCGAGATCTCCAGATTCTCCTCTTTGTGGGCCGTGCATCGTTCCGTCAAGCGGATCTTGCGACTCTCCAGTTCCTCCACGGTATTTTTCACGCCCTAAACAACGACGAATCTCTTATTGACAACTAGACTCAACATGCGACAATTAACGCCTACAACGATTATTATTGCGATCAATCTCGCTCTCGATCTGACCTCGGCACCGGGCGCTCCTCTTCCCGTGATGTCCAGCAGCGCGTATCCTTCCGACAAAGGTTTCGAAGTCACATCCTCTGTCGTAGCCGCTGTCTGCGCGTGAAAACGCGCGAGTCGCGTGGAGTAAGGAGGATGCTCCGTCGTCATCAGTTGGATCTCCAACTGATCCAGTTTCGTGATAGCCTACGCGCATTGCGACGTTGAAATTCAGATTTGCTCGTAAACGCCCTTCAGTTAAGCTAGCTCGACGTTCAGCCGACGCTGCTCAAGGTCGATTAGTTTACACGAATGACTGGGAATTATGCTTGAGGATGCTTACTGATCGTGCAGACTCGAAAAATGACATCGCCTTGTTCAATAACGCGTTGTACTGATCCAAGTCGTTGACGTAATCGGCGGCGGCGCCAAGAATTGCGTACGCCTGTTCGGTCGCTTGTTCGCCAGCGAAGTGTCCCGATGACACCAATCGTTCGGTCGATTTAGTTATCTTGATGGACCGGTCTTGGAATTCCTGTGAAACATTAATGGTAGTGACGATATCACAATTGCGATCTAAAGCGTCCGGCAACATCGGCTCGGTCTTTATCGCGAATACCTTCGCCTCGTTTTGCAGCTTCTTCAATTCAAAGAGGAGCAATTCCACGCTAGACGCGGAATCTCCCAATTGATCGCAACTGCCGGCCAGAGCGGCGATCCGGTCGTTGAGGACCTCCTCGAGATCGCGAAGATCGGTCGCGAGCAACGCGAGAGCGAGACATTGCTCCAACTGGGTCTTTCTACTGCGAAAAGACGCCTCGATCAGCCGCCTCCTGTCGTGAAGTTCTTCCAACCACCTTTCGACTCGCACCACAGCTAACGGAACGTGAATAAGTATATTACTGTGTGAACGTCGACGTACTCTCTAAATTTTTTCGAGTGAAATTCCGTTCGAGAGGCTGAGCGACAGGCGAGTCACTCGAGTGATTTTTTACATACACACACGGAGTGAATTTTCCACTCTGAATCGTCGAATATCTTCGTTCAAAATGGAAGAATCCACTCTCAGTTTGTAATTGATGTGTACATTCGTCACAAATGTTTCCTACATATATTTCTACACAGGCATATTTATATGCAGAATCAGAGGTTATTTTATCGTCAATCGGTATTACTATTATTATTATCTTTTTATTATAATCACACAACACACCATGTTCTGCTTCCTCCTTGATTCTGTCCGGTCTGGAGTCCACAGTGCCTTCGTTCGCCAATTCCTTCAGTCCGTCCAACAGCATCTTGCCCTCTCTCAACGCGCCCATCAACGCTTCCAACATATCCTTGCGAAGATCCTGAATCTTCGACAGGAAATTTTTCACAGCTTCGATCTCGATCGGCAACAACGTGTCGTTGCACGCCATTTCCAACGCATCCATACTCTCCCTGCATTCCGCCGCTCGGCTGTGGAGCCAAAATTTGTCGATTTCGTCAGACGATCGATGTAATCGCGAAGTGGGACGCTAATTGCGCTTGGAACACGTTACGTCTTACCATTGAAATAACACATTTCGCTCGAGTATCTCCTTGCGACGTTCCAAAAGTTGATTCACATCACGCCACGCTTGACCCAGCGTCTCCGCCATAGCCGTGTACACTTCTGCTCTCGGTCGTTGGGTCGAAATCAACTGATCGGCCTGACGTAGCAATTCCTCCACCGGGCTCTGCTTGTTCTGATAATAAACGGCAAAGTTTTAATTAAAGGAGGCCGCCTCCACCTTTTTGCAATTTACGCGAACGAATTCAGCGTATGTTTATAAGTTCACCTGCAGTCGAAGCAACACTTGGTCGTGCGCGTTCGAGAGTTCCGTGGCTTCCTTGACAGAACCACCGAGCTTCGTTAGCTCTGGCTGCACCTCGAGTATTTTCAGCTTCAGCCATTCGCCGCTCTGGACAAACGAGATAGCGAAACGATGTAGTAACGAAACCGGAAGCTCGTGAAACACGGCGTGCAATCGCGTTCGTTGGAGTATATTCGACAGTCATTTTTGACAGTCTCGAGCCGAGTCAACTGAAGAATCCTTAATTAATCAGATGCGAGAAACATAAATTTGTAGAGAAACAGCTTGACTTTTATTTCGCGTCCATACGTTATTATTTATTGGCACAACCGGCTATCTATTGATTAATAGACCGCGATAAACGTTTACAGGCACTTTACGCATCCAGCGCAACAGACGTATCGCAAAGTATGTAATTAGAAGAGCGCTCGGTAATTGCAATGTACCGCGAATAATCTAATGAAAGTAGACACGCGAGACGCAACATCGTTTCCCATCTCTTCACGGATCACGTCGCGCGGTGAAATCGTTATTTTCGTCGAGCCGTCGAAGTCTGGTCGCGATCGATATTTCATTCGGTTGTGCAATGTGATAAACGGCGATGGAAATCTGAAAAAAGAAACGGCGGCGCCGGTATGAAAGAGAAAAATCGCTTTCCCCGGGATAAATTTCTGGATCATCCGGCAGCGGGTACGATCTCGTAAATCAAATAAAATTCAAAAGCGCGCGTTTCCCCCTCCCGGCATTGTTGAAGAGGAGAGACGGAAAAAAGGAAGCGCGCGAGAAAAGAGACGGCGGAGACTAGAGAGATCGGCCTCAGGTTCGTCGACCTCGTGTAGTTGGGCCACAGAAAGGCCAGATATGTTTCCATTTTCATCTTTGGCAAACTGCCGAATATCCACGTTTGGATTGACCAAATCTCTCCCTCTCTCTCTCTTTCTCTGTCTGCCTGTCTGTCTGTCTCTACCTCTCTCATATCATACCGCCATATGTCAAGAACGTTTCTTTTAACGCGCTGATACGGAGGTATCGCGTTTCAGTGACAATTTTTCTCAAAGGTATCGACGACGAATAGTCGGCGAGGTGGGCGCAATTGGCGAAGGTAGACACGCGACGTCGATCGCAAATGCGATTTGTGCGATGACGGTTAGGCTCTCTCAAAAGTCAGGGTTACGAGTGAAAGTGAATTTTACGGCGGCTCAAATTGAACGTAATTCTGTAAAGTCACGTGTGCACGCGAGACGTACGCAAGAACTTCGCGAGTAGTAAAACAACCGGTGTGACCAAACATGGCCACATTCGGACACGCTTGAAATTGGGCCAGACGGCTCGCGAGCAGGTAAACGACGGAATCTCAAATAGAGATGCCCGTCGACAAGTCAGTTTAATCAATCGTACCATCTGTTTTCTTTACTTGAACGTTGCTCGCAGAAAATCAAAAAGACAAGTAAAGAGAAACGTGAGATATCTTTAACGAAATCGAAAATTCGTGCAGAGAGGAGAAGCGGAGGAAAAAGAAATAAACAAACTTGAGACCAGATCTATCTAGCTATCTGTACACGTATTACGTTGCGAGCGTAGCATGAAAGAAAACAAAAGAAATTCGCGCGTTATATAGTCGTTGATAGTCAACAGATGACAATGCCGGGTCGTCTTCTCGACTGTCATCCGCAGACAATACATGTGACTGAGGTCAAAGGATGAATGATGTTTTGCACGATTCAGCGTGACAGATATCGCGCACGAAAACATCTATCCTACATAGTGGATACAAGCGAGTGGTTACAATAACACAGTGAGGGAGTTAAAAACAAGCCACAACACGGTTGGAATGTTGAACTAGAGCCACGTGCGAATTATAAGCGGGGAAGCGCGCGAAAACGATAAGAATACGTATTCCGATCGTTTAATTTTAGATACGATACCAAGATACTTGGCTCGTTTCGCACGGACAGACCCGGTGATATTACTTGGACGTGGGAATCAGACAGCCGCATTTGCGGCAGCGCGTTAAAGACATGCGATGAGAGAAGCGCGGACCTAAATCTCCGACTACTTAGCAGGTAGGAATCCTATGTGTGTCTAGATGCCTCCGCCTCTGTCGTTTTCTCTTTTTTTACCGGAGGTAAGAGCCAGTGTCGTTAGATCGGAGGTACGATATAGGCAAAGGTGCGGTAAAAGGAAGAATCACGATGCGCCGTCCGACACTGAGCCGGGCCGGGTTGGGCCGCCCCGAGCCGTCTCACATAATACCGGTTTGTTAGATTATACGTGAGTGCGCGGACCACGAGAGATCTCTCTTTCTCTCTCTCTCTCGCATGCTTCGATTCGGCCGCGCCGATCACTCAGTCTATTTATCGGCTTGTCCTGCGGATGGGTTCGGCAGTTTGACACAATTTGACTCGAGCGTCGCGAAGAGAGATTCACGCGTGGACCACGCGGTATACGCGTTTCAAATTGAAAAAAATTCAGATTCTCTCTTCTGTGCGAGCTGATACTCCGAGACAAAATTGCAAAATTGAGCGTGCAGCTTTAATATCACGAAAAGATCGCAATGCTTCGTCTTCGACTCGTCTTTGCGACGCATCTCTTATCCAATAGGAAAACGTATCTCCTGAGAATTACTGAAAAGTAATTTCTTCCGTTGAACTCGGGATGCGTCCCAAAACTTATTAAAAAAAAACACTGCAGCCTCTTTGTGACTAACCATACGCTATAGAAAAAAAAATCAGTCAACGGACGATCCGATCTTTCTTTCATTTCGCTCGATCGTAATTCACGCTGCGAGACTTGCTCGACCCTGAGACTCGCTTCTTTTTGCACGATGTTTTTTTTCCCCCAATAAATTTCGCATTCTCCGACAGCTTTCTCCCTAGAGTCCGAAAGACAGGCGTATAGACTGAAATGTGCAAGCAGCGGCCGAGGGACGCTCGAAATATAACTCTCGCGGATCTCGCGCGCGCGGTCGTGATCCTAAGGCTCTTCAAGATCCGACGTAACGTATGTAAGATGGGTGTAGGGTCCGATCATGGTGATGCGTGTAATGGGAGGTACCGTACCTAGCGGTTAAATTTATCCTTCGCGGAGTTTCGGGAGAGTTTCGTTTTGCTCGGGCGGATACCTAAAACGCTTACGGTTTCGAGAGGACTCGGAAATAGCTATAGACCGGAGCAACCGAATCCCGAAATATCTACACCATAGTGTTGTACGGGATGGGATCGCGGCGGAAGGTTATCCTTCACCGAGAACTATTTCGACGGGGAGCAGGTTCTCTCATATGCTCTTACCGGGAAAAAAGCACCGAGCAATTTATTACAAACCTCGATTCTCATTACACGACGAGCGATCGCTTGAGCGCTGAGGAATAACGGATCTCGCGACAACGAGCATATATATACAAATGACTATCGATTAAGCGGCGGCACGTAGTTCCTTACTTGAAGCAGAGCGATTACAACACGCGTCTCCCCGCTCTGCATCGCTATGGTGCTTATGGTGGTAGTCGGAGAGGTGATTTGCTGCGGCGTGTCCTCGTCCCTCATCGCCGTTTCTGAATTCATCTCGCCGGATCCTTCGGGATGCGCGTGCACCTCCATCGTGTCGGGACCGTCCACCATCATCATTCAGTTTTGTCTTTCGCGCGATCACGGATATACGGATATCGGAGGTGAACGTTGGCCGATTGCGTTCGATGCAGTTGCAGATCACATTCGGTCGAGGCGAAACGGTAAGGAAGGATGATCAAGCGGTGAAATTGACTGCGTGCTCATTGGGTGCCGGTCTGCTCTGCGGATTGAACGATCGATCGGACGAGTTGCCGAGAGAGTGTCTAGCGCGCGACACACGCTAATATCGCACGTTTCGTCCGAGCGGTGACTTTAATGCCTGGCGCTAAATATATCGCAGTGACGTATGTCGATCTGAAACGCGAGATAGAGTAAACATCCACGATATTTTTCTCATAGTTTCTGCCCTCATCGATATTATTCTCGCGGACTTTGCGCGATGAAAAATCGTATTCTCCAGTCGGCGCGGTCGCGCCTTCCCTGATTGACGTTATTTTTGGCGTTTCGCCAAAGGCGCGTCTCCGCTGTGAAAATTCCGCGACGAGGAGGCGATTCTACAGCGCGACGACAACTCGCGCGCGAGTTACTCCGCGAATGACATATTCTCGCGCACTTGTTCGTCCCGCACGATTCGCTACTGCGATTTCTGCAAGGTGTTATCGAGTCGCGCGAAATTGAAGAAAAAAATGGGGATTTATGTTCTCGCACGTGAGAGGACGCGCGAAATAAAAACTACATGATCCGGCTGATTTATGAATTCGCGACGTCGACCGATTAAAAATAAACATTGCGCGCGCGCGGGAAGATCCGCGTTTCCTTTTCGATTCGACATGTATACACTACACGTATCTAGATATCTTTATACGGTGACATCATCGGAGACGACCAAATGGTAGAATAAAACCGGACTAACTGGTAGCGTTCTCTCACTCTCGACGAGAAGTACATCACGGCGAAAACCACGGCCGAAGATGTACCGGTAAAAAAGCTCAGTCAACACCACATACTCGTCGCCGGAACTCGTGTCACGAAGAAACGTTTATATACTCGAAAGAGAACCTGCTAATTCTCGTGTTTCTCTGTTACATCGGAGGATTTCAATATTATTCAATGACTTCGCCAGGTAACCAATTAATTTCTATCGGAGAAACTACAGTGTCATCGAGTCATATTCCTCGATATTTATTTCATAAATCGGAATTATTCGTTCGCAGTTGAAATCGACGTAGATTTTCGTTTCTCTCTCAATCACGCGATTTAAGTCGGGAAAGGCGAGAAAAAGCTCGCTCTCGCGACTTCCGATTTCTCGTTTCTCTCAGCGTGACGCGAATTCGCAAGTGTCGTTAATTCGGCGAGCGATCTCTTCGCTGTGCGCCAAGTTACAGGAACGACCGCGCGGTCCACGAAAACTTCAATCTCGCTCCCCTCTGACGGCGTGATTTTTAATGAAACGGCAGTCACCTAAATCGACTCGCGTTCAGGCGACGTTAATAGCGATAATGACGACAACACCGGCAGAAACACTCGGGTGACACATGTCACGAGTGTGTGTCACGTCACCAGTCGATCGGTCGCCGTAACCAGCCGAACCAAGACTGAACCGGCATGGCGCGGCACGGCCTCCGGCCTCCGGCTGGCCTCCGGCAGCCTCCCGCTCACCTTCGTCGCGCTCGTCGAGCACGATCTACCGGAGCGGAGTCACCGAGGCGCAGCAGCGCCGAACGAAAGTGGAGCGGTCGCGGAGAAGCTGAGGAGGTGCGTCGCAAGAAACGGTCACCCGGTATACTTCGAGCGGGTACCTCTTGTTGGGTAACGCCGATTCTCTTCTCGGCGGACATCATTTATTTATAAAAATAACAAACATGTCATGCGATACACACAACGGGAAAAGATTCCTCGGGAGCTGGCAGCGTTACGTAAAACTTCGATTTGCTATACAGAATACACACAGCGAAGCGCAACGATAAATGTGCTGTTAACGATGTTATTCTTCCTTAATCCTTATGAGCCTGCCGTCTGTGCGATATTCTCTCTCGACGCGAATCCACGTGGTCCACGTCTTTCCTCCGACGGGCTAGAGAGGCTCGTTAGATCTACGTTAGTAACACTCATCTGATTCTTTTTATTGTTTGTCTTCAAAGCTGCAAATAATGTCAGATTGTCAATGTCAGCTGGATAATCATGGTTGCGCTTAATCGCGCTGATGGCCCGTGTTAATAGTCATTATTTGAAACTCCTCTCAAACGAGATGTTCAAATTTGCATCTGAAGTCAGTAAGAAACATTTTGTACTTGTGTTAGAATTGGTCCTTGTCAAACAATTTTCTGTTAAATTTTTAATATATACTCCTGTGTTAACTTAATATATTGTACTTATGTTATCTCAATATTTTGTGTTGAGTCGATATTCGACATATCTGTTAAAATAACACATCTGTTATTTTTCACATTATAAATACGTCAATTTAACATACAATTTGCTTCCAATATTTTATGTTAATTTTCACAGAAATTTGGGTGGATCATTTCAGACATGTGAAATGTGTTGAATTTAATGTAAAATTTTTTTTCTGTGAATGTTTCAATTTAATCGTGAATCAGATTGAACTCTAAATTGAACAATATTGCAAATAACGGCTATTAATACAGATTTAAGATACAAAGCTCCAGAATGTTAAAGCAAATGCAGATCACACTGCGAGCGCATTCGTGCGTTGCGTTAAAAGATGACAAACAACGAGTTCGTTCGGCCGACCGATTGCTCCCGTGAAGTTCGAGACGGGAGAATCCGGTCGGGTACCGGTCGAGAGGCACGTGACCGCAACTGCGACCGGCCGACGAACTTTCCCCGTGAAGCATCGAAAAACTCGATCGGCTCGATCGCACTCACCTTCCTCGCTCTCTCGAGGAAATCCTCGCCTTCCGAATTGTCGTCCTTCTTCATCGGCGACATCTCGATGCCGCTGTCCTCGTGATGTCGCAGGAGGTCCTGCGTGGACAATGCTACGTCTTCGTATTCCCTCAAACCCGTAGCTGAACGCGAGCTCTCATTCAACGCGTGTTCCCGAACTTTCGCGAATTTCGTCGCAATATTTTGGTCCGATTGAACCTTCTTCGGGCATTTCTCGACATACTTGTCGGAGTCTTCTGCAGAGAAATCAATAACAAAGTAGCGAATTTAATAATAATGAATTTCTATCACCGTGGTGTGCGCGAGGAATCATGCGAATGCTGTACTGACTGATCAAAGACAGGCCGAGATCCAAATCGTGAATGCCGTTCGTTTTCTCACGACATTCCACTGGCAGCACGCGTTCCAAGTTTTGAATCTCTCTCGCGTCAGTGTGTTGCCGATGGTCCTGCATCGTATTTGACGTCAATTTGTAAGAGGCTACGTTTAATCGAATGTCGTGCGACACGCGCAAAACAGTCGTCTCGGTAACTTCCTTCACAATTCTGCCGAACCTCTCCTGCGGGAAATGATTGATCAAAATCAAATCAACTGAGAGCTGACAAGATGCTCCGAAAATATTCTTTCGGAAGTGTCTAACTATATGAATCGTGCAAAAGGGGTCAAGAAGTGAAAGCCGATAAAAGTAACTTCCGAGAGTGACATTTTCGTTCGTCTTGCATTGTACGACGTACGTCTGTGATCTTCTCCATCGTTTCGACTCGTGCCGTTGGCTTCATTCCGTTGATGGTGGAAACGCTCGATGTTGTTTCCGCCACTTTCAGCGTCTGGTTTTCGTTGCTCGCGGCGGAAGCAACGGGCGCGGTTGTAGTAACCAGCTTGGGCGTTTCGGTGGTCCACCTGTAAGATGTTAGAACGTTTCAAATCGATCAAACAGACGCCGCCGATGACTCATTCGATCGGGAATTTGAAGCGATAGATATTCTCGCGCGAACATACCAAGTGAAACCAGAACACGAAGGCGTCGCGGATGCCGTGACAGGGAGATCTTCGTACTCCGGCGACGTCACGAATGATTCGCTTCTGGAGCGCAGCATAGTCGGAGTCGAGCACTCGGTCGCCGTCGCATAATTTTCCACATTGTATTCCTCCACTGCACTTTCGCTGCAAAGATTCTCGGCAGGTTCCTATCAAAATGAAAGCATTTTGATAATATGATATAATAATTTAATAATAATAAGAAGAAGAATGAAATAATAATAGGGAGGCAAATTCGGAAGCCAAAACAAGTAAATGAAATAATAAATAATAAATTAACAATAATAATATTATATCTCCGAATATTTTTAAGTAATACATTCTTTTATTTATTATTTCTTATTTCATCATTTCTTCAATCAAGGAAATAGTAGATCACGAGATGATAAAAAAAATAATTATTAAAAAAGAAAGTGATTATTATTTCTTATTTTATTATTTCTCAACTCTGATTGTACCTTAATGCTGGAATCTTTCGGCGCTTGAACATCCTCCGTGGAATGCGAGGCGACACCATGTGAACTCTCGTCGGGTTTTTCCATTACAGAAGCAACTGGCTTAGCTGCATCGGTGGACATCGCGCAAGTGGAAGCTGTGCGTTCGTGCGTAGACGACCCTGCTTGTAACTGCCTATGCGTCGTCGTTGTCGACGTCGCTGACGAAGACGCGATAATCGCCGACGTGGTTTTCGAAGACGTCGGGTGAACTGGAGTCGTCACAGACGCCGAAGCATCGGCCGACACCGGTGCAATCGCAGTCGAAGTCGTGTGGCTGGGCGTGACTGGCGACGACATGGCCGATATCGAGAGCAAGGACGACGCGGAGGACGTCACGGCGGTAGGAATAGACATCGGCCGAGTTCTCGCTCCAGCCTCGCATAGTCTCGCGTCCAGTTTTTCCGCGAGACGCGTCACCTCCGCCAATTTCGCCGAGATAGCCTCCACCGCTGTCAGGTTACTGCCGAGGATCGAGGCATCCTCGGCTTCGGACATCCTAGCGAGGGAAGCAAATCCGTCAAACGTATATTAATATACTATTAATAGACGCTTTCTGGAGCGGAAACCTTGAAGTGACCACAGTCTCAGTGGGTTTCGCGAGCTCCGCGCGGTAACGTTACTCCGTGCGTCTCGACAATGACCGAATTCAATATTCACTTCGTGCTCGATTGCAGCAATTTTGAATGAAAAATGTTCAATAGTTACGAGCAAACCACTTGGTCAGATTGCACGTGCGTGTCATTTTCAAAATATTGACTTTATCTTCTCTATTTTCACGCAGTCTCTCTCGCAATATTCGTTCTCTATTCCCTCCATTTCTCCGTTGCAGTTAGACGCAATTTGAAGCGGCTCGGGGATGATCGAACGGAATTAGAACTACGCCTAGCACCGTTAGGAAAACGTCAGACTCCTACGTGGATTACGCAATCGACGGTTGACAGTGCAGTGACAGCACTTTACGCAGACGACCACGTGGTTCCGAAATTTAGGACAAGGTTCTAATTTCGATATTCGTAAGACATTCTCGCTTCACCGAGAGCCGCGATCGAACGTCATCTTCAATTTGTGACGCGTCGAAAGTCCCCGGGAATTTCCGAAGACAATTTTTCACCCGGCTTTTTTGCAAAATATTGCGCAACTTCGGTGCGCCCCGCGTTTGCTTTACCATCACTCTGGTAGATATTCGGAAATAATTCGCGTGACGTAACACGATGGGTGATTCTTCACCGTAGTAAACAAGTGCGCCGAGATATATTATCGCGTTTTACCAGTCGAGTTTTAAGTTACGACTAGACGATGGAACGGCGCCAACGAATTGTAGAACGCGACATTTTATTATCTATGGGCGTTCTAGCGATTTACATTGATATCTCTGTTGAGTGCTAAAAGGATTAAGAATCGGGATGGCGTGCGTGAAACGATTTCTATGTACAGTTTAAGCGGAAAAAATTATTCTTTTTTTATCAAGCGAGAGAGTGTCTGCGGATCTTCGTTTGTTTACTAGGCGCAGGTGTGTCACATCTGCCGTTATTACGACTGTCGATCCAGGCCACGACTGCAAACTAAACTAAACACATAACTGACGAAATCAAAATACAATCAGCCTCACAAAGTCAAAGGAGTGAAAAAGAGCGGTGAGCAAAAAATTCGTGAGTAAGCGTGGTCGAGCGAGAAAGCGTCATAAAACTCGAATTACTCCACTGTGACGGACTTACATGCACCGGTTTTAGACTATAGGAGCTATCTCGGCGACAGTCGGCCATGGACTGACACACCGTCCCTGTTGGACACGTAGGCGTATTACCGCTCTCACTAGCCGCTACATACTTGCGCCTTTCCTCTAGTTATAGTTTATGATAAAAAAAGGCAAGCGCGATTTTATGCAATTTTAATTCCGGTTTATGTATCTCAGATCTTCATGGAATCTGTTACGTCCACTCGTCTGCGGTTTATCCCCTGGAAAAAGTCAACTCAAACCGCTAACACGACCCAGTTCCTTCAGTCTTCAGATTAGATGCAGAAATTTATTAAAATCGTAATTCTCTTAATGACTTCTCTCGTCGTACTTACCGTTGATGATAAAGCGGTTCCTTCAATCTGGTTTTAAGAAGGCGGCCCAACCTCACCATTCGTCCGACCTCCAACAAAAGCTTCTCTCGATTGTCAAGGATGTCTCTCATGCCCGTCCTGATACGAGATTCCGCGGTCGCGTCTTCGTCCTTCGATGCGCGATGCAGAACTGTCACCGTTTCTATTATGTTTCTCAATCTGGTACAGTGCTTTAAACAAATCCATAAGCAAATGTAGAAGACTCACTCTAAGAAATTTAGAGAGTCCGCGATGCGCGAAATCATTATTTCCTCTCCAGGATAGTAAATTAGGCTGAACCATAAGTATATTTATATATATGTAATATAATAAAAAATAAATCCGTACATCTTCGACGTTTCTGTGAAAAACGGCGCATACTCGCAGCCTGGTTAGCTGCTCTTGGCTGACAGAGCGAAGCTGCCGCCAAGCTTGCCGCAATCTCGAAAAGAGACTGGCGTTGCTCTCCAACGATATCCTGCAGGATAGTCTCAGCACGCGAGCGCCGTTCACCAATTGACCGCCGTACTCGTAAGTCCCCTATAAATGTGTCATTATATTGTACTCAAATATTCCGTCATTTTTTTCGCTCTATCTCATTCGCGCCGTCTTTACCTTCGCGGTTTCTTGAAAGGATTGGTGATCCTCCTTCTGCGATTGTATTTCCTTCGCGTTGCAACCGACCTCCATATGATTCCGCAGCAGAACGTTGAATAAATCGTTCAGCCACTTGACAGCCTGGAAAACGAAACTTTTCTTGTGTCTGTTACGTCGCTAGGTTTGATTTTCTTTCAAGCTCACCTGCTCGGCGTCGCTCTCGTACATATGTATCAGAGCTATCTGCTTCAACGACAGCTTCTGCAGTTCCACGCTGTCGTTGAAGATGTTCTTCCGGGCGTTCGTCGCGTCCAATATGTCCTTCACGTTGACGATATCCTCGTCGTAATTCACGCAAACTTCTCGGCCAAGTGCGTCCTTCACGGGCATGGAGAGAATGTCCGACAGTTTCTCGCCCTCCTTCACGAGCTCGCGCTCTAAGCCGTCTGCAAAATTCGATTCAATCGTAAAATTGAGAGAACATTAACGTAACGATATCGCTAATGATATCTCTCTGTTCGCTTTTACCCAGAACCGTTTGACTCTTTTCCAGTGTTAGGAGTTTGACGCTCGCCTGGGAAAAATTGTAACTCCTGCTGCCCATGACTAACTGATCGAACACTTCGCTCGTCCGATCGAAGTACTGTAAACAATAATAAAGACTCGAAAAGGACTCTCCTTAACGAACATTCCCTCGATCGATCGTTTTACCTCGGAGACGAGCCTGAAGAATCTCTGCGAAGTGATTAGTACGTTCCTGCGTCTTTCGAGTCGCGAAGCGAAGCTGCGGCAAACGAAATCCATGAAGTCTCTCTGAGACTTTAAGTCTTCCGGTAGTCGGCTTTTAGGAAAACTGTCAATCCTGTGAAGCAACTCTGCGTATCGGCCATAGGTTTCCTGTGAATTTATTTATTTTTTATTTATTAAATTTCTTTATTATTTATTTGTCCACACAACTCTCTGTTTCTTCAGGCAAAAAGGAAATTTTGCACATTCCGCCTCATATTTACCCGGCATTGAAGCTCCAGTTTTTCGTGCTGCCTTCGCAATTCCTCGGACGAAGAAACGTCGAAGCCAACCTGCCAACAGGAGTTCAGCATCGTGTCAGCCGGACCCAGAATCCAATCGGTAACGCTCGACACACCCTGCTCGAGATCCTCGATCACTCTAGCGGTATCCAGATTCCGTTCCATCTCTGTCCACGAATTTTCAATGTCCATCTTAGGGAAAAGACGATGCCAAATGTTAAATTAATCAGAAATAAATTAAACTCGAATATCAATCGAGAACTTTATTAAATACCTGCTTCAGTTCGATGGAATCGAGCAGCTTGTGAATTCCTTTTACAGTGTCCAAGGTATCCTTAGAGGATTCTCTGCTCATAGAGCTTACTAGATTTCTACCTAACGAGCAAACATAATTTATTTGCTTTATTGCATAATTTACACACAAATTATTGAAGTTGTAGAAAATGTCGCTGCGTGAAACAAATCGCCCGATTCATCGGTTGCTTAATATTCAAATAATACGGTCTCGAGTTTGAGAGATTCGATAGGTGAAAAGGATTGATTTATAGACCTGATTGGAGTATATGACCGGCCGCTGACAACAATTCTGTACCGATCTCCCAATAGGATTCTACGTCATCGTCTGACTGCGTCATGCGAATACCATCAAGGGTATTCAACCTTTGATGCAGATTCGTCATCTTCGACACAAGTTCCAACGCGTCTCTCGAGTAATCTTCTATTTTCTACAAAACGGCAAATCAATTTATCATCGGGATATCAATGCATCATATAATCTTGATTTACAATCATCGCCGTGAATGTTCACTTTACCATACGCTTTTTGATCCATTCGACGTGATTGTACGCTTTGTTGCCCGCAAGTTCATAAGGTAACTGGGAGAAATCGATACAAACGTGGAGCCTCGTCAAGGTAACGTATGTCGGCTGAAAACCGGCGGGTTTATTACAATAAACATTCATATAGTATATCTCGTCTATAAAATATTACTGAAAAGTGAAAAAGTCGAAACTTCACAAACCACACTAATATTACTGATTTTATCAATGTCGATTAAATTTTAACCAGAATTTCCGTCTCTTTTTGAAGAGAATTTAAACTCTGGTGCAGTCGACGTTGATGAAATCGGGCATAAGCCGAATAAAAAATGTCAATAAAGGTGCGCGGATCAATCACTTCAAAGTAAACAGCGTGGTATCAAGACGATCAAGTTTTCCGAGCCATCTTTCAAGGGAAGAAAGCCTGTACAACTTTCGAAGCTAGAGTCGAAATATCGTTCCTGAGTTGATTCACTAACTTCGCCTTCCTTGTGCGACTTTGTACAGCTGTCGACACGTTTGTCCCAGAAACCATCCGGTCGCACCACGATTACGGAGACCACCTTGGACCCCATCAGACTCGTGGATAGTCTGATACAGGACCTAGCCACGCGCCATGCACCGCGACGCGCGTCCACGATCAAAACCAAGCCGTTTTCCATCGTCTCCTCGCTACAAAGAGATCGTCGAAAAACGTTTAATCGTTACTCGACAGTAAATAAAAACGATATATTTGAGCGTTGGCGCGAAATGCGTAACGTTAGCGAGATATCGTAGCGTACCTGAAAATCGACAAGAAATATAAAACGAGCGATTCCAGTTTCGGCTTCGTCGTTGGGTCGAGTTCGGGCGGGACGCTAATTACGATCAAAGGTCGGCCGTCACGATCGCGACCACCTGGAATATATGCGAGCCTCGATTCTAGAGCATCCAGGATATCTAACGCTTTCAAATTTTTCGTAGGCATTTCTGCGATCGCTCGTTAAAGTACGTCTCATTTCAGGCGATCTTCTACAAGCATCCACGGCCGATCTGAAAAGGATCGCGTTTTAAGTATGGAAGACTTTACAATTACTTAAGTAGTTCGTGAACAATATTAGCAATAATCATTTCGACAAAATAGTATCTACGCGGCGTAGAAGATTCAGTCGGAATCAGCGAGACAGACGATTCCGACCGAGCGAAGAATTTTACGCGCAAGCTACGTCAGAATCCCGCGGGAAAATGTACTCGTAAATATATCTCGTTCTCGAGACTCCGGGAGTGGATTTTCCAATTTTCCAACGTTCGATTACAAACTGTACATGAACGGCACTCACCGATTTGAGAATGACGATCCTCGCGGGTCGAGCCGCACCCGCAACTTCGGGGCACTCGCGAAGTGTCACGGCGAAACATTACATGGGTGCAGCGCACCGCATAATATGCGGTTCGAACGCATCGCGGAAACGTGGAATGTCAGGCAGCAGCTGTTCCGCGACTCCAGAAGTTACACCCACGTATCCACGTGAGCAGCAGCGCGGCGCGCGAACTGTCGCGTTCGACTGTCCGTCGCACGTGTGCCCGCGGTTAGCAGCGAGAGAGAAGGCGAAATTGTCACGTGCAAGTAGGCGCGTGCACGTGTATTTATGTGAAACCTGCACGGGCGGAACAACGCGCGATAGGTGCAGCGACGAGATCGCTGCTGCCTGCAGCTGCGACGGAGGCTGCAGGAAAACCGAAAGCCATCTCTGGTTCATTCAGATACAACGGTACTTTGGCACCGATTAACCGTGTGTTCCCCCTCCTTACGCACGTCTCCTCCTTTCCCCTCGTCTCTCTCTCTCTCGGTCTCTTTGGAGAACCGCATTTTTTTCTACTCCTTATCTCGCACGGCGGCAGAGGTGTGCGGAAGTGTTTCAGGTAGGGAGTGACACTAATCGGGGATTATACTGAAGGCACCGGCGATATCTCGCTGGTATCGATCATGATTGCGCGGATAATACGCGGATGGCAAAATCACGGGTAGCTCAAGTTATTTAATGTGAATTCAAATATCGGGATTAACGAGATAAAGGCTACTCAGAGTAAACACTAACTAACATTACATCAATGCTACAATTTCTTACTTAATAACCTAAGTGCAATATAACATGCGTTGTATGTATATTTTTGTTTCTTTGCGTTCTTGTAATTTATACATTTGTATATTTCTTGCTCTCGTAATTTATTTTTCAACATTATGTACTAAAGGAATAATCTCCCGTTAATGAAATGAATAATAATAATAACAGTTACATTCTCATAATGTTACTTGTTAGTTGGTGTTTACCGGAGATAACGATCTTGAAAGCTTTTAATCACGAGAAATATTAAGACCCAATGAATGTGTTGCCTCAGCCGGGGGGCAATATTTTTACAAGGAAATCGAGGAGTACAGGTATCGGTGGCCTAGATACTCCACATGTATCATAATATACGAAATTGCGAGGAACACAGAGAGAACGAATCGCTCCCGAGATTGGCCGTGCTAATGCGAGAAAACAGGAGTCTGTGAAAAATTGCGGTATGATTTCACAACGTTACATTGCACTTCTTCGTGAAAGTCCTTTGATCGACCTCGATAAGAAAGGCCGATAGGACAAGCAAAACAGATTTTACATGAAATCGCTCAATTATCTAGGCACGTTACAAGCAAGATCGGCGAAGCTAGGTGGAAGAACAAGTATTTGCATTTTACAGTGAAAGACGACCGGATGACAGTACCGCTTTCTGCGCGCGAGCTTACGAGTATCGGTACATCGTACCACGTGGTTCCATTCTGAGACGCGATTACGAAAGGCACGGAGATCGGCACGCGTGCCCGCACAAAAGCTATAAGCGACATTCAAATGCAAATCGCGATACGACATTCGGATATCTCACATATTAGACATCGCATGATGTTTCCTGCTGAACCAAGCCTGCGCTCAATCAATTCGTTGATCATTCACCATAATTTTTTGCAACTCATTCCGTATCGATTTGCATCGATACACACATTGATCGGAAAATATTCAATGGAGTATATCGGAAGAGGAGAATATAGGTAAAGAGTAGGAACACACCAGTGGGTCAAAGATAGACGTCGAGAGAACCTGAAGAGACTTGGCGTCGCTACAGTCGTCGACCACGAAGAAGTTCGCCAGTGCTGCACCGAGCCTCGCGCTATATCGAGCACACTCGCTGTCTCTTTCTCTCTTTCACTCCCCGTCTCTCTTCTTTTCCCCCCTTTAGTCTCACTCTTTTTCTCTTTCTCGTCTCCCCTGTGGCTTCTTCCCTCTCGCTCCCCCTCTTTCACCCAAGTTGGTCATCATTGAAGATCAGCATCGTTTCGCTCTTCGATCATCCTTCGGATAGTACTGTCAATGTGAGACTTTTGTCACTTCGACGTGCGGGAACGAACGGAAAACTGGCCAGGGGCGGAGTGATCGTCGAGCCAGGCTCGACGAGGAGGAGGAAGAGGAGGCACGATAATGGGCAACGCCACCACGAAAGATTACTCAAGGAACATCACCGTCGCCACCAGCTCGAAAAAGGCGCGATGGGATGGTCCAGGTAGATCGGTGCATTGTTATCATCATGTACTTTCGCGATTCTTTGAGATCGATTTACTTGTATTGATTTCGCCTCGACCTGTATCGAGAACGAGATGATACGTAAATGCCATTATTTCATATTTTAGTCTTTAGTTCGATGTCTACATAAACTCTAATAAATTCTGAAATTATTCGCACGATCACACTTTTTCATTTACGTTCTATTTACTTCTGGAGCATTGTCGCTTTTGTCCGTTTTCTGGAACATAGTCGTCCAATGTTTGTCGTCACAGCTATCCGAACAATCGTGCGATAGCAAAAATGTAAAAAAAAATTGAACGAGTTATTGAGCCGCGTTCGATTAGGTGGTGCCGACAGCGGGATGACATCTAAAATTAGACAGCTACTAACTACCGATCTGTTTAGTTTGAGAGAACGCTTCTCGAATCGCGTCTTGATTCAGCCTCGTGGATCAAGCACACGAAAATTCTTATATCACACGATGCCCACTTATGATGACCAATGCAGCGTCAATGCGTGTCGGGAAAAAGAGTAGCTGCGAAGCAACAGTATATACCGAATGTTCAACCCGTAGACCTGTAAACGGCGAGCCGAACGCACCACCGTGCCGCCAAATGCTACGCTTTTATTTTGGGAGCGCCACTTACGTACCGATGTTGAAAATTATCTGCTCTATATACACGCGCGAGCATCGTTCAAGCGCTCTTCATGACATTAGCGGCGTGTCACCTGTTCCGAGTCAAATATTTTCATGAACATCAATACACAGCAACTACATACTCTCTTGCAAATTTTCGCGCACACGTGACGTCGAGCCCTCGTGAGGATCGGCGAGTCACGCGTGTATAACGCGCGCTACCGAACGTGTTAATCCGCAAGCTGTAAGCTTGAAGAAGGAAAATACCATTTCGTTGATGTAATTAAATTTTCCGTTGACTGGGGAACCAAATGAAAGATTCCTGCAGGAAGTTTCTACTCGGTCAATTGCTCTCGGTTGTCTCAACGTTTAAAGTAGCCGACATGTTCACGCGTTCTCAGTCGCGTTAACGGAGGTTACTTCTTGTTTTCATCAATAACTGAGCTTTTTACCGTGTGAATGTCTATTCGAAAGCTCGACCGTCCTTCAGGTCTTCCGGCACCACCAGGCAAACCGATTTTGATATCGGGCACGGACGACGCGCAGCCGGACATTGTGGCGATACGATGGGACAGATCGCCAAGTAACGGTGGCTCGGCGATCGTTGGCTACTTGGTCGAACATCGACGACTGGGCTCTCCTCACTGGTTACGAAGCAGCTCCGGCCTTTGCACCTTTCCGGAGCTGACTCTGAGCGGTCTCGAGCCGGGATGGCGTTATCAATTCCGCGTCAGAGCGCAAAACGCTGTCGGGCTTTCGCGGCCGAGCGAGGTCTCCGAGCCTCTCACAGTCACCTTGCAAAGGGCCACCATCGCCGCCTGCCCACCCCGTTTCGATCTTGAACTTAAGGACACGGTCGCCCTCGAGAACGAACAGGTAAGCTTGTTAAACGCCGAAAATTCGGTGAAATGAATCAAATCTCAGGGAATTATTGCTATTATTATCATGATTATCCATTTATTTAAGTAGGAACAGAAAGTCAAGAAAATTTGGACGATTTTTGAAGGACGTTAGACCTAATTTAACGAAAATAGATTAATATTGTCATATACGTATAGATATTCTCTCGATATTGAGAGTGAAATAAAATCCCCGGAAGTGTTTATGAGACTCTCTCAACGCAGGCCGAGTTCGTCGTACAATTCATCGGTATTCCGTTACCGAAGATCTCGTGGTTCAAGGATGGCTTCGAAATCTTCAGCAGTAGACGCACCAGGATTCTCACGGACAACGGAAAGAGCGTGCTTTTAATTCATCAGACCGCCCTCAACGACGAGGGCGAGATCAAGTGTACCGCCACCAACAGAGCGGGTCATATTTCCACCAGAGCTAAATTAATTCTCGAAGGTTAGTTTGACGTTAACGACTAAGTGTGTCAACGAAATCCCTCGTAATGGTCGATTATTGATCCTGTCATTGATGCGTTCAGCTCCACCGCGGATACGGTTGCCTCGTCAATACGAGGATGGTCTGCTTTTCGAGCAAGACGAGACGATCAGACTGAAGGTATCCTTAGCGGGCCGACCATCGCCTGTGATCACCTGGTACCACGACGGCGAGTTGATATCGAAGGATGCTAGGCACGTCTTTGAGACGATGGACGGCGAGTCGGTTCTGAAGATACCGGACGCCAAACGAGGCGATCGGGGAGAATACTCAGTCAAGGCAACGAACAGACTGGGCGAGGACGCAGCGTCTTTCCTCGTCACAGTGACAGGTCGTGGAAAACATGTTATTTTGACGAGAACATTATCATGTCGGCCTGTTTTACAGTTTAAAATTCAAAGTGTTTCTCGCGTTATCAGTAGTCTCTTCATCCACAGATCGACCCGCTGCCCCCGGCAAAGTGTCGGTCGCGATGACCTTGGGTAGATCGGTGTCGTTATCGTGGAAAGAGCCGGAGGACGACGGCGGCTGTAAAATCGGGACTTACATTGTCGAGTATTACAGGGTACGTAATAACAGAAAAGACGATTCTCTCGAGTAGCGTTTGAATTTCCTCGACGACGATCGCTTCAGATCGGCTGGGAGGTGTGGCTCAAAGCGACCACGAGCAGGCGCACCTCGGCGACGTTAACGGAACTGATCGAGGGCTCCGAGTACAAGTTTCGCGTGAAAGCGGAGAACCCTTACGGAGTCAGCGATCCCAGCGAAGAGAGCGACGTTATCTTCATTCCAGACCTCAAACGAAAGTACCTTGACGAACATTTCACATTTCTCACCTCTCGTGCTTTCTTTCGCGCGACGAATAAACTGACAGCGTCGCGTCTTGCAGCATCACGTCTCCGTCATTGAGCGAAAAGTCGCAGAGTCATCGCGAAATCAGCAGATCCCGTGGCGAGAAGCGAGAAGTAAGTTTCAACACACAAAGAACCAGAAGTTTAACGAGGGAGGAAGCGGGGACGCGAGACGACGAAAGTGGCCGCTTTGGATACAACGATCGATCGGCGTCCACGCAACGACTGGTCACTCCGCCGGAACGACCGTCCAGAGCCGATAGTAGGGTGACATTCGCGCCGGATACTCTAGAAAAAGAAGACCTGCAACCTCCGATTCCTCCGGCCAGATCGAGAGATCACGCGAGATCAGAAGTTTCTTCTAGAACTCACGCAAATCGATCTAATTCCGCGGCAGAAGCGAAAGACAAGGTGAGAAGTCAATAAGTTTCTACGAAATTTAGTAAGTAAGAAAGTAAGAGGAACAAACGAAATCATTTTCTTTTTATATATATTTTGAACCGCAATATTAATAATTCATTATATTGCCATCATCACTTATATACTAATTCATTATCTGTCTATCTACGATATTTAATTATGTGTACAAAAAGGTGCTCCTTTAATAATAATAATTATTATTATTTCATTCTAATTTAGAAAGAACAAACGAATGCTTCGTTCTCTCGAACGCAGCCAGATATCGTTGCAAGGAGAGAAAGGACGATGTCGCCGAAACCAGTCGCAGCCGTGACGGTCACTCCTGCGGTCGCCGGAAAGGATCTCCAGACGCGTTCGGCGGCCGTGAGAGAAAGAAGAAGCCTCTCCCCGCTATCGGTATCGAGAACTCAAGAGTACCCGAGAGACGAAGACCGTATCTCGACCAGCCAACATTTTCTGCCGTCCACGAACTCAATCCTGAAGAGACAGGCGGCTGTAGCAAACGAATCCACGGTGTCCTTACCGAGTAACCCGCAGTCTATGCATATGATGAACGAACACGACGAGAACGCGTTGCACGGCAGCTCGGAGTTCATGCTAGTCCTGTATCCGGAGGACGAGACGCAAGAGAAAGACGTGATCGACATAACGAACGAAATCCGAATAGGAAGAGACATGAGTAAGCGCGAATGAGAAATCTCGCTTCTTCCCGCCCGATTTGTTGCCTCAGCCTTACTTCGACCCTGTAATCTTTCTTTCAGACGGCGAACAGAATATCACCGAGTTGATGGAAGACGAGGACGACCTGATAGCTCCGCCAATATCATTGTCTCTGCCGGAATTATTCAGCGAACAGCACCAGGTGGTGGAGGTGATGCGAGAAGCGGTCAGCTCCACCGAGCTACTTCACGAGCGAGCCATGGAACGCTTCTATCGCGCGGTCGCCGCCGAAGAAGCGTCCGAAGACGCGAAACGGAAGACGCAGCTCGAGAGGCAGACCGGCGAACTGGCGGACGCCGAGAACGCTCAGCTGACGTCGCTTCGAAGACGCCTGTCCAATTCCGGCCTCACCACGCAGAATCTGATCGCTTCGTGGCAAGCGAAGAAGAATCGCCGAAGATCGAGCGAAGGACAAGCCGACTCGAGCCGCAAGACGATGAAGATTCTTTCACCGGTTCTGCTGTCGGACGTCGAGGCCAGGTCGGACCCGAACCTCCCGTCCGATACGACGGTGATGAGTCCGTGGAGGAGGAGCAATGACGAAGACTCCGTGGAACGCCTGCGTAGATGGCACGAGACGAACTTGCCATTGCTGGAGGAGGTGCAGTCGGAAAAATCAATGCAGACGACCGACGACGAGGAGACCACCACGGCCGCAGCCGCGATGAATGGAGCGGCGACGAAGGAAGAGAAGATGGAGGGGACTTACAGTGTGGAGACTTCCGAGGAGTCGTCGGGAGAGATCAGCAGCGCGGACAGTGAGGACTTGAGGTCACTGAAATCGAGGATCCTGTCGAGGTCGATCATTGACGAGGAGGACACTTACCATCCCCGTGGAAGGCCGATTCCGCACGTCGAGCCGGAAATACCGTTGACACCGTACGATAGAATACCGACCTTGGAGATTTCGCCTTCTCCGGCCATCAGAATGATCACCGCCGTCTCGCCGAGCACCGTAGTGCCTAAGTCGATCCTGAAGAAGCCCAGGGAGGAATCGAATGTGCAGGACGACAGGTCGATTCCTCCGGAGAAACCGATTAGAAAGATATTGCCGCAGCAGTATCATCAAGAAGAAGATGTTGAGGACAATACCCAAGGTTTTAATACCCAAGAGGAACTTCCGGACCTCCCAAAGATGTCCGAGATCCTAAAGACGCCCACGATGTCGGAATCCGACACGGACAGCATCGTGTCGGCGGCGGAAGCGGCGAAGAGTCGCAGGATACTATCGAAAATGCGATCCATGACGTCCGAGGAGGAGGCGGCCGAGGCGGAGGCTAGAATGGCGGTCGTGAATCAATACACCGAGATAGTACGGGAGCATTCGAGTCACTCGAGGGGTTACGATAGCGCGGCCAGCTCCCGAAGGTCCTCCTTTTCCGAGGATCAGGATCAGAAGCACAGAATACAAGAGAAACTCGCATCGAAGCCGACGACGACGAAGAAACAGGAGCAGGACGATGCGTCGAGATCGAGTGTCAAGAGCAAGAATGAGCCCCCAAAGAAGATCAACCAAACGACAGCTTCCCGAAAAGGGAGCTCCGATTCCAGAGGCACGACTCCCGCGAGGGGGAGCAAACCGAGCTCCAGGGACCAATCCCCAGCCGCGAGGAAAAGAGACCTGCCGGTGGAACGAGCGAGAGGCTCCTCTTCGAGGTCGTCTTCGAAAACGCGGAATCGCACGCCTTCTCAGGACAGGAGCAAGCGGTCGAGAAACGACGAGTCCCACGTTATCGGCGAAAGATCGCTGGAGCAGGGTACACGCAGGTCCAAGGTACCCTCCAGACCTTCCTCACGCTCCTCGTCGAGATCGAATTCTAAGGAACGCCTCGGAAAGACGGTGGAGTCGAAGGTCGAGAAACTTCAGAAAGCGCTCGAGAGTAACAAGTACCGAGCGGTGAGGAGAGAATCCGAAGTCGCCAAGCAGAACGCCGAGGAGGAACGCACTCCTGACCGAACAGACGGCGAGAAGTTGGTCTTGGAAGCTAAGAAGAAGGTCAGGTCGACGGTGAGCTACGTGACCGACTTGACGCTGCTGATGGCGGCGATGTACGTGTACTTCTTCAAGAAGGAGACCTTCGCCATACCGTTCATCGCGCTTCTTCTGTACCGAAGAGTCCAGGAGGAGGTGCACAGCTGGATACCGCGCCGCTGGTGGCGGCGGTCCACGAAGAAACCCTGACTCGGGGCCGATGCAGCTCAGGGATGGCTGCTGCTTCGCCCATACCTTCCATGTCCTGCTCATTTAATCGAAACACGCTAAACGATCGCCGGAGGCGAATAGTATATCATACGCTTAAACACGATATGTATAATGTATTGAAACGCAAGCATATTTATTATACGACATTCTCGACCAAGCCTTCAAAACCGTTATTGTTAATCGCTTTATTTATAATAAACGTTAAGTCCTCGCCATCCTTAATGAATAAATCGTATACATGTTTCCACCGAAACAAGTACGTTATTTCTACGACGGGGTGGATTTCGCGCCGTCACCCGCGCAGACAAACGTCCCAAGCCGAAGAGACGAGCTGCACAATAGATACTTCTTCTTTTTTCCTTCTCTTCGTCTTTCACGAAACCTCCCGTATCTACCTCTAAGTCCACCTGAAATCCCGTGCGAGCCGCAAATACCCGGGCGCGCGCACGTACGAGGGCAAAACGACATTTCAGTTTCGCGCGCCGAACGGCAAAAGGAGAACCGTGAAAATAGGAACGCCGCCGCTGGCGGTTACATCAGCGGCGAGGAGACAACGTGGAAAAGAGGGTACGTAGATCCCCGAACGGCGCATGTGCTTCTTTCGTTAAAACGACGAAGCCGAGAGTCGGGACGATTTTAGAACGGAGCAGGGCCTCCTGCCGTCAGACGTCGTAGCGTAGGGTGTGCTGTATCAATATAGGGTCAGGACAGGAACAAGTTGGCGGATGGTGGTGGCGGTAGACGGTGCAGCTCTTCTTGAGTAATTCACGCGTACGCACGTATCGATCCTTGGCGAGTGATGTCAATGCACCGTGGGAACGTTCTTCGTATCATCTGACGAGATGACCTTAACAGGTAAGACCCACGTAGCGTGCACGCCAGTGTAACCGGCGCACCGACGAAACCGGGGCTTTCGATCGGCGCGGCGCCGGTACGTGAGATCATCGGACGCATGCGAAATCGAAATTTCATCGATCACACGCGCGATCGCCGGTGGGGAAAAGACGGCCTGTCAATCGTACGAGCGAGGGATGCGATACCGTCCTCAAATCTGTTGTCAATGCGAACGAGCTGCTCTCTATTTGTCTCGGACGCGTGTGGGCGCGCGTTAGAACGCAAACGGTAAACAGCGACTTGGCATGGAAATTTATTAGCGAGGAGAGTTAAGATAAAAAAAGATGTAAGTGAGTCGCGACGACGCAGTGCGCGGCACGCTCATTGAACATTCGCCGTCGAAATTTAATTCGCCACGCAAAGCGTGCGTTACTATTTATATATACATGTGTGAGCGTACAATTTATTGGAGAACAACCGGTCAAGTTTCGTTGTTAATAGGCGTTGTTAATTCGGTATCGACGCGAAAACGCCTTAGATTCTCAGGAGGGAGAGAGAGAGAGAGATCTCGCGGTATTTTACGGCTGATATAAAGCGCACGATCGGCGGTGCGGTTTAAAATACACTTAATGAGCTCGTAATTGATCTCTTCGTAGAATCGACGCCGCGATTCAACGTAAATATCGACAGAGTTATTTGCCAAAATTTTTGTCAGATAAACGTGAAAATATTTATTTATGTTAATGGTGCAATCTCTGTGCGTGGGTGCATCCGATCGGGATTTCGCGAGCGCGCTTTACGTCGCGAGATTTACGTGAGAGGCGAGGCAACGGAGGATGACACGATCGTAAAGACCGAGAGATTGGCTATGTTTGATTTTCCTTGAGTGGTCTCACCTCACACGCATTCCCTATAGCCGTCTATATCTGTGCTACAATTTTGCATGTATGTACGCCAGTCCCGTAGCCATTTTGCAGAGCACGTGAGTCTCGAAATAGCAGGTAGCTCTCTCCTCAACAGTAAATTTCCTACCAACATCGCGGATCGATAAAGAGCGTTCCTTCGATACGTGAGAACTCCGAAGAGAACGACGTTTGTGTTATCAAGAAGAAACGTTCTCTCCCGCGTTCCTGATATCTGCTGTTTAAATATTTTAACGGTGCAATGCATATATTTGCAGATTATGCGTCGAGGAGTAAAGGACCGCCAGAATGGATCGAAGAGGAGCAGATCGTGTCGGTTCAAGGATACGTGGGCGAGGACATCGTCGCTGAGCTGAAGCTGGCTCCATCCGATCATTATGATGACCTACGATTCGAGCTGTGAGTTCGATACACCGCAATGCGAGCGAGACGATTAACATGGGTTCGCCTGTGTACAACACCTGCCTCCGCGTAACGCGATCCGAAGACAATGTCCGTGCAATTTGCGCGCGTTATCGTTCATTCGCAAACATTGGCCTTAATTTTAAGTAGGACCTTGGAACGTGCCAAGGATCAAACGCAAGTTATTTTCGGCACTGTCGCGCACTTAATTTCGGGGAACCGAATTACACTTGTCGCGTGTAATTTCGCTCGGTATTCTTGCATATATATCGTGATATTCTGCCAATGCCAGGAGCTCTGTGCACATTCGATCTCTCGGGGAAAATCGGCGATATCGCGCAATGATTCTGATCTGACATCGGTCTAACAGCCATCGATAATCCTTGATTCCGAAATGCGTATCACATTTCGAATCTATTTCGAGAGCAGCAAGGATCCCAGCCTTGTACTTAAAGTAAGAGAAAAAAACCGCCAGATAAACTTTGATGACGATTTCTATCGTCATTTAGCGACTCGACGTTTAAGAAAGACGAAGCTCATCGAGCTGCGATCTTCAAAATCATTCGAGAATCTTCGACATTTCTCGTGATGCGACGTAATTTTCAACGGCCGACAGATTAACAGCCGTGCGGACATGTTCCGTCCAACACACACTTGACACGGTGCACGAGATGAAGATATTCGTCCGACGCTTGCATACCGAGATAACCATCGAATTGCATTTCCACCTCTCGGCGCTCGGCGCCGAAGATATGCGTCAAACTTCCGCAGCCCCGGGATATTTCAATCTCCGCTGCGGCCCGAGCAAACGTCACGACGGCGCGATGGCGATATACGAGTGAATTACGAAGATTTCAAACTCTTCGCGCCTCGTGCTCGTCCCCACTCGCGCTTACGTCGCTTTACGTAAGCTAATTCCGACGCGCGGGATTTTCGCGAAAAAACGAGAGAGGCGCCCATGCCGGTCCGGCTACTCCTCGGTTGGCTCTAGCCAGCTTCTCTATGAAATAGTCCGTTGCTTACAGTTCCTTGAAACTATACACGAAACTGATGATGGAGGTGGAAAATTGGGAGGGGACGACCTGACGTTGGCGTCTCCCTATCAGTCTGACGCTGGGAGAGCGTCGCGACGACCGACGAACCCCTAATAAAGGGTTCGATTCCGTTCGATTTCAGTGTATCGATATCGCGGCCCTTTCCCGCGCGTAAAGTCTCGTGAAAGCGGGTTGCTTCCGTTCCTCGGGATCACCTCCTCGTCGAGCTTCCTCCGAGCGTTCTCGAACGCTCGAGGATCAGATCGATCGGAAACGAAATCGCTTCGCTACCGCAGATTCTGGCTTTAAGTCAAAAAGTCTCTCTTCGGAACGGCTGATGAGTACGATCTTTTCAAGTAAAGATCATGGCGTCGTGGAGAAACGAGGGAAGAAGAGCAAAGCTCGGGCGTTATCGGCAAGCCGAGTCGTCTTGATCGTCGTGACGCAGTTTGACAAACACGGGCTGACGCGTCGATGTCTCCGATAAATATAAGATGCGCATACCGATGCCTTAATGAAACGTGCTTGCAAAGCGCAAACGCGCTGCCAAAATTGTCGATCGCGAATCGATGTGTGTATCTTGCTAATCCTGTCGCTCACGCGATGCCCGCGGTGTCACGAACAAAGATTCGGATGAGTACCGCGAAGACTGGAGGATCGTCGATAACTCCCGCGTGAAAAGTACAGGGACGAAATCGCATTTTATTCAAGAATGTCTAAAGATGGATCTCGCGCGTTTGCCGGGACGTTAGTTTTTTATGGCAATTACCTCATCGCTGGTGTACGCTGACGTAGAGCGACGGAGCGCGTCTTCCTCTTCGTCGCCGATCCAACGCCATGGGAAGCGATTGCTGCAAATGCACTAATGGTAAAAAGAAGGCCGTCACTGGATCCTCCTCCGAAGGATCGGAATATCGGTAGGGTGGTAAAACTAGAAATGTCTTTGATTCTCGATATCAATTTATTATCACCTTCATTACCACGCTTTTACATTTCTTCACGTTTCTTCCGATCAACGTATCGACTGCGCCGATGGGCCCGATTAGCGTTGAATCATCGGAATAGTGATGGAGCTTCTCGTGGAAAAGTAATCATTATTTTTAACATTACGTATACTAAATCGCGTATCTGACGAATGTGTCGTCGCATAATAGGTGTGAGAGAAGTGAAGTGACAAAAAAGAAAAGGTACGCGATGCCGCGTCGGTATATTCGTCAGCTGCGATGCGGTCGAATTGATATTCCACGACATTTCGCAGTCGTATGTTGCTGTCGTTTCTTCGGTGGATAACACCGTCCCTCGTGAACGCGAAGCGATCGAGCCGTAGTATATATGCTTTTTTCTCGCTTCTAACTCCGAGTCGGTCACGCCGCGAAAAAGATGACAAAAATAGGGCAGTAGAGCAATGCCAAGAGACACGTTGGGAGACTCTAGATCATTCTGTTGCTCGAAATATGCCAGGCCGGCGGTAACATATTTTTACGTAGACGTGAAGAATGTGATCGCCGGTTAACGGATTGCCGTCGTGACACAGTGTCGACAAAGCGGAATCATAATCACGTCTCTTCCCCTCTTCTGAGATTGGACTTCAGGCGTTACGTATAGCGCCTGATGTCGTTTCGCGGCTTGCGACATACGACGATACGTAACACGTGTGGGAGATTAACAGAACGATCGAAACTACACGCGGCCATTTTTCTCTCAACATATGTATATATATAAAGTCTCAGTGTGACTTGAATGAAATCAACTTAAGTACGAGTTCGCGTAACGTGATCTTAATCGATCTTCCGGACGATCCGAATCGCGTGAGTCGGAACGTCAGTAGACAAAACGGTAAATAGACTCTCGAGGGTAGCGGCCGATCTGATTGGACACCAGCCATAACCCCAAGGGGAAGCGCAAATGGCCGCGTTCGGTAAATTAAACTGCCCGGTCTCGTAGCATTTGAATCCACCTAATGGATCCACCCCAGCTTTGCTTGAACCGTTTCATCCGTTTCGATCCGTTCGTGTGCGTCACGTTTCCGCGTTGCGAAATCACGCTGCGATTCATCTCCCGTTGACTTGAGCTCTCCCTTCCCGTTTTCTTCGGCTTCGCTCCCGGAATTGATCGGTTTCGCCAAATTCGCAGAATACGAGATGGATTGCCAATCTCATCGGACCGTTATCGATTGTCGATGCGAGGCAACGTCGTGCAACTGGCTCTGAAACAATCGCAGAAGAACGACGCGGGCTACTACTCGCTGGTGGCGACGAGACTCGGGCAAGATAAAGGAGCTTCGAAGAAGATTCACATGAGCATCGACGAGACGAGCTACGAAGAGGGCGACCCCCCGATCTTCTTGAGAAGATTGAGCGACCTCGCGGTGAAGGTCGGCACCCGCACCAGATTTCTCGTAGAAATCCGAAGCGTGACGACTCCGAAGGTACGACTGCAGCGCGAATAATTTCTTCCTCGAACGATTAATTCCGCTAAGTAACGCGCGTATTAACAAGACGAGAGAAAGAGAGAGATTTGGCAAGTATTTAGTCCGCGACGCGTGTCCTGGTGAGACGTCTCTTAAGACGTTCGCACCTAAGACAGACGGGGAATATATCGCGCCAAGCACCGCGCGATCAACCCGGAAGATGGGACTCTGATGGTACCGGCGGTGACTTATTGTCCCGCATTTCTCCCCCGTTCTTCTATCCCAGACGAAACGGGAAAGGCGAACCGAGATAGTAGGCACCGGGAGGTCCATGACCCGAGCTCGCGGCGAAAGACGGCGAAGAGTAAAGGAAGCTCGTTACGCGTTCTTGTGCGTCGTATTAATACTATTATTACGCATGCCCGCATACTATGCCAAAGACTATATGCTCCGATATTCCTTCCCGTGTGTCTCTTCCGACGTTCCGTTAACGGAGCGACTTTTTTCAATTCGCAAAATATGATGAAAAATCGGCTGATTTCAGATAACGTGGTATAAAAATGACGCGGCCATCCACGAGGGGCCGAGATTTTCCCTCGTTCACGAGGGCAATTTTCATTGCGTCGACGTCGTCCCCGTCACAGTGGAGGATCAAGGACGCTGGACCTGCATGGCGGAGAACCGCAGCGGGCGATCCTCGTGCACGTCCACTCTCACAGTCGTTGGTAATTCGTCGCTCGTGCTTTGCCGACGTCTCGCGATTTTCCCGCGTATATAAGCGCGATTTTCGTGAAATCCTTGCAGTTCCCAAGGCTTACAAGAAGCCGGAATTCATCGAAGAACTCCGCGCGCTACTCACCGAGACCGGCACCGTGTCGTTGGAATGCAAAGTAGTCGGTGTGCCCACGCCAGTGTTGAGGTGGTTCAAAGACAACAAGGAAATCAAAGCTGGCGATGTTTTCGCTCTCACCGCCAATCCCGACGATCCCACGTCTCTCGGGGTTTACACCTGCGAGGCGGTCAACTGCATGGGAACGGCTTATTCCTCCTCGAAGGTGAATATGTTCGCCACACTGAAATAAAAGTCAGGTAAAAATATTTTGCCGAACGGGATATATAAACATGCCGTTATTCTATTTCTTCAGGTTCACGTAGTCGGAAGGGGAAGTCGAGAAGGTTCACTGAAGCCGGCGGATGCTCTGTCACCGTCCGGGCCACTTCCGATCTTCAAACAGATATTGCAAGACGAATGCTGCCGCATCGGGGACACTCTCGTGTTATCTTGCCGAGGTTGATCAATGAGAAAACAATCTTGAAATTGTTCACTCACGTGTCTCACATATGGAACGTCTGCCAACAGTTCAAGTACCACCATGGCCGCGGGCGATCTCCTGGTACAACAAAGGAGGGCGCGTCGAGCCGAGCGAGAAGTACCACGTGATGGAGGACGGTATCGGCGGGTACTCGATCGAGGTAAAGCAGGTGGAAGCCGTGGACGAGGGTGAGTGGAAGTGCGTCGCCACCAGCGAGGAGAACATGAAGCAATTCACGAGCTGCTACGTGGCAATGTCCAGTGAGTATCGAAAGCGTCATCGAAAAGCTAAAAAATCAGCACAGCCGTCGTATCAACGTTTGCATGATTTTCCGCAAGTCCCAAGGAACTATAGGAAGCCGCGCTTCATGGAGAATCTGAAGGCCGTCCTGACGGAAGAAGGTCTGGTCTCGTTCGAATGCAAAGTCGTGGGTTTCCCGACGCCGTTGCTGAGATGGTTCAAGGACGGTCAAGAACTCAAGCCGGGAGACGTCTACCAGCTGACCGGGACTAATTCGTTAGGTGCGTGAAATAATTACTTACTTTTGTCTCTGTCCTCCACACATTAATCAGCCGACATTTAGGTTCTTATTGCTGCATCGCGAGAAACTGCATGGGCGAGGCCAAAAGCACAGCCGAATTAACTATCGAGGATATCCAGAATCAGCTGAACGAAGAGGAACGCTTCCAGCTGATGAGCACCAATCAGCCGCCGAAGTTCATCAAAGGACTCAGAAGCTGCGAGGCCAGGATAAACGAAGATTTTCAGTTTACAGTACAAGGTGTGTGGAATTGTAACTTTAAGTTATTAAGTTCGTTTTTGCTTATAGAAATAACATTGTGAAACGATACGTTTTCTCAGTGAGCGTCGCGCCAGAACCGAGTCTCTCTTGGTACCGAGACGATGCGGCGGTGGACGAAAACGACAAGTATCGTTTAGCGAAGGAGACTCTGGGCACGTGCCATCTCGAAGTGCGAAAGCTCGAATTCGTCGATCAGGTGAGTGCTCGTGAAAGACGCTTACTGCGACGCGAGTATCTCGATGACGTGTTTCTTCAGGCCGAGTGGAAGTGCGTGGCGGCGAACGATTTCGGCCACAGCGTCACTTCTTGCTTCTTGAAGCTGATCATCCCCAAGCATTACAAGAAACCGAAATTTCTCGAGAGCCTGCGCGCGATCCTGTCGGAGGAAGGCGCCGTGAACTTAGAGTGTAAAGTTATCGGCGTGCCGCAGCCGGTATTGAAATGGTACAAGGACAACGTGGAGCTCAAACCCGGCGACATTCATCGAATCATTTCCGGACAGGACGGCACCTGCTGCTTGGGAACGTATACTTGCGAGGCTGCGAATTGCATGGGAACAGTCAGCAGCTCCGCGTCATTGTTAGGATTCGAAGGTGATTATTCGCGCTGTAATTTTTAACTAAGTTTAATGAAGTTGCATTTAATTTCGCAGACAAGAAACCTCCTACGAAAGAGATTCAGTCGCCGAACGGCCACGAGCTCGCGCGAAATCTGTCGTTGTCTACGATACACGAGGAACGAACGTCGCAATTATACGATACACCGCAAACGGATCACTCGGTCACCTTAGATGAGCGAGGCGAGGTGTCGTTCAGTTTTGACGGTAAGGAAGTGTCGGTCAGCCTGTACGAGACGCCCGATCTCACCGAGGAGGAAGCATTGCAGATCGTCGAGATGTACGCCGATCAACTATCCGAGCATGTGACAGGTGAAGCATTTATTTCTCCCTTACGAACGTCGTTAAAAAATATTTACAAGTGACAAATTTGCCATTTCATGTCGCTACAGCAGCCTTCAAGTGCAACATATCTATTTGTTCGATCACACGTTAAACAACAACTCTGATTTTAGAGCACAATGTGATCGAGCTACCGCCGATGAGGTTCGTGAAAGAAACGTCCACGTCGGGTAACCTGCTGATGGAAGCCGTGGTGATCGACGTGTCGCCCGATTACTTCGTCAGCGCGGAGGACGGCGACGATCTGCGAACGGAAGCCGACTTCGAGGATGTTTCCATCATGGACGACGTGACGCACGTTCTCTCGTCGCCCGAGCGCGACTCCCGGGGTTCCCTGAAGAGATCAGCTCGATACAACGGCGAAGAGGACGAGAAGGCTCCCAGTAGGCCACCCCGCAAGAAATCGACGAGCATCTCGTCGTCGAAGAGCCAGCGTTTCGAATCCGAGAGCTTCCACAGCGCCCAGAAGGACGAGCCGCCGTTGTCTCCTCTCTCGTCTATGAAGCAAGACGACAGCGATACCTTCGCGGACGCTTTGTCCTCCGCGCACCTCTCCATCACGGAGAGCAGCGCCGCCGACAACAGGAAACGCAGCCTGAGCGCCGAAAGAACGGCCGGTTCCAGCCTGGACGACGGGATCGGCGGCGATTCCTCCTTCGACTCGGTGACCGGCGCGCCGAAGAAGAAGAAGCAACGCGGGAAGAAGTACGACAATTCCGAGGAATACTCAGGCCCCAGTGACTACGAGGAAGAGAGAGAGAGCGAATCGGGAGGCGGAGTTGGCACGAATACGGGACAACATCCAGCTATAGAATCGGCGGACAAAATAGAAACGGACATTGGGAGCAGCGTCGAGCAAAAGACGGTGAAGAAGATGGAGGAAAATACGCTGGATGATTCAAGAGGCGCGAAGAAAGCCACTGTTCTGCTCGGCGCCAAGGGAGAGATCCCGGAACCGACAGAGGACATTCTCGTGGAGCCGAGACTGACGTTACGCGAAGCTACGCAGGCGTTTGAGAAGATATCCGACAGTTTGTCACCGCGACTGTCAAACGTTCGTCAACGAATCGACGAGATATATCACCGACTGGAGGCCCCAGTCTGTCGAGGTAAGAGCCTGGACATCGAGCTGGCCTATCTCGAGGCGCCGCTGCGCGCGTTGCTGAAGACGATCGGCGAAATCAAGTTGGCGGAGGACGTGGAGATCGTTCGCAACATTCTGGAGCCGTCCGTCGTTCAGTTATCGCGCGTCATCGCGAGTCTCCAGTCGGCACCCTTGCAGCCCACGCTGGCGGTCTTGGGGAGGATCAACGAGAGCATTCGCGCCATCCCCAACGGGACGTCGATCTCCGACGAGTCCCGAAATATATCCAGAGAGATCGTGGATCCTCTGATCAACGTCCAAGCGGCCTTCGGCACGATCTTGGACTGCATTGAGCAGTCGAGGCACACGAACGGCAGTCTGCAGCAAGCACTCGGCACCTCGGGCTTCGCAGCGTGTCTGATAGAACTGCGAGAATGCGCGTCCCACGCGGCGCACACCGCGATGACGTTCAGGGAGAACGAGACGCTGAACAGCCTGACGGAGTTCGCGGAGCCTCTGCTGGATCTTCAGATGGTCTTGGCGTCGGAGGAGTACACTCCCCGGGAACTCCCGGTCATTCGAGATACGATCGTCGCCATCGAGAACTTGAAGAGCGTCGTTGCGACGGTGGCGAAAAGCTCCGGGCATTCCGAGCCGACTTGCCGAGTAGGAACGATCCTGAAAACCTTAGAGGACACCGGCAAGCAGATGTCGAAATTGGCGGGGCGATTGTCGGAGGCGAGCGACGTCCGCGCGAAACACGCGCTGAAGTATTTGAATCTTGACGAAAGTCTGAGCGGCGTGCATTTCGCCTTGTCCTCAGTCTTAGAGAAGCAAGATCAACTCGCAGCTTCGTCCCACCTGCTCGGCTGCATCGAGGCGTTGCGTCAGACCGTCGGCTCTTCGGCGGTCGCGATCGCCAACTTGAAGAACCCGATGGACGATGAGATAACGCGGGAAATCAGCGGAATTAACCGGTCCTTGTTGGATCTGCGGAGGAATTTGTTGACGGAGCAGCATGAGCCGCAGGAAGAAGCGGTTCTGTACAATTTGATCACTCCCGTTGACACGCTGAAAAAGATACTTCACAGCGTAATCGAGAGAGGCTCCTCGGTCGAGCCGATAGTGCCGATGTTGCAGTTACTGGAGGAGATAGAGAAGGATGCTCCTCTAGTAGCGAAAGAAGTATCCAAGAGGAGGAAGGAACAAGCTGCTACGAAGTCCGAGCGGAAAAACGGGGAGAAGACGGACTCGAGGTCTGCTCTGGCTGGCCAAATCGGACGTTCCTTGGATCCCATGAAAAACTGGTTATCCACCGCGTCCGAGGACAGCACGAAAGACGAGATGGAGTCGGTACTGAGCTCGACGATCGCGGAACTGAAGAGAAACGTGAGCAAGATCGCCGTTCAAACGTCGTATTCTGAGTCGCCGAGCGACAAGAGCTTGATAGAAGCGCTGATCGATCTTCGGGAACCGTTGACGAGGCTTCAAAACGCCATCTCCATATATCACAAGCCGGAAGATCTTTCGACTCTGGAAGGCTTAGATCGGCCTATGAAGCATCTGCTGCAAGCCATCATGGACGTTCTTCGCGAACACCAGGAAGAAGAGTCCCTGCGGCCGATAGTGAGCATCGTCGAGCGGATTGAGAATCAAATATCGCTCTCGATCAGGGAAACTCTTTACCAGCAGGAACTCAAACAGTTCGCCGCGGAAACGGAAGAGGAGGTCGTAACGGCCTCTCGGGAGACGATTCCGGGCACTCTTACAGAAATCCCCACTCCGTTCGAAGCCTCCTCCACCACGTTGCCCACCGAACAGACGGAGGATGGCTCCAAGAAGACAGCCGACGACGTCGCTCTGCGGATCGCGAAGGACGAGAAGCGCAGGAAAGAAGAGAACGCGTGCAAACTGATCGCGGTCTTGTCGGAAACGCTGGAGAAGCTCCAGCTTGAGATGACCGGCATCTTGGAAGACTTCGAGGAATCGACTACGAGAACAACCGCGATGCCCCAGTCAAAACTGGCGAACTCCTTGGAGGAGCTGAGAAGGACTATTTCTACGATACGCGTGATGACCACCGTCTACGGCGAAGAGATCGGCTCGTTCGAGGAGAAGGTCAACCAGGCTACGTTGGTGCTGACCAATTTACTGCAGCCGCTGACGAATATCCGCACGGTTCTCTCGAGAACGCACGAGCACGACGTTCTGGAACTCATGATACTGAATCGGCTGAGCCCGCTATTGGACACGATAGAAAACGACGTGATTAGGCAGACGACCGAGTTCGTCGGCAAAGGCGAGGAGACGGAAAGGGAGTTCGAGGGTCTCCTGTGCGTACTGGGGGAAATCAAAGCGGAAGTGCCGATCGTGGTACAGGAGATATCGTCGAGGCGAAAGATCCTGGAGCACCTGTGGGACATCTCGAGACCCTTGGAGAGCATTCTGGAGCGTATGAGCGATCTGAAGAAAGCGGCGGAGGAGATCCTCGAAACGGACGTGGCGCGAATCTTGAGCAAGGCGACGGCTCTTCTTCTCAGGGACATCAAGACCGCCGCCCAAGAGTCGGGCGTGTTGGATCAACGGGGACCGGTGATCCTCGAGTTACACAATCTTCTGGAGCCCCTCTTGGAATTCCACAGTTGCCTCTCGATGGTGCAGAGCAGCCGACGAAGTTTGGCTCCCGAGGCTTCTCTGTTGGACGAGAGAAGAAGCGTCATTCTGCGAGCGGTCGAGGGTTTACGAAAGCAAGTTTGCGACACCGTCGAAGCGATCGCGAGCATGCCGGAGGGCCCCTTGTTCGAGGAGTCTCTGACGCAGCTGAACTCCGCGATCCTGCAGGTGCAAAAGCAGGTAGGCAAGACCGATTACTCGCGGCGCTCCAGCAGCATCAAGATTCCTCTTCAGCATCGACTGACCGGCGCGTTGGCGAGCTTGGCGAGCGACATAACATCTCTGGAAGAACGTACCGATCGGGACACGCGCGGAATAGTGTCCAAGTGCTTGGAAGCGTTGCAGAAACAGATCTCTCTCGCGCAGACGCAGCTTATTCAGACCGAGAGTCAACTGATCGACGAAGAGGCGGTCATAGAGGGCTTCCTTTATCCGACTAACCAACTTCTGTCGGCGTTGAACGTCATCAAAGAGAATGCGCAGCAGGGAGTGGCGACGGCGATTCCGCCGAATTTCACGAACCAGCTTCTGCAATTAGCAGGCTCCATCTCGGAAATGAGCTCCTCTCTGTCGGCGCACAAGACGGAGCTGATTCGAGAAGGCGCTTCGAAAGGCGCGCCCATTGTCGAGACCTTCTCCGCCGTTATAGATGTCTTGGACCACGTGAAGGACGCTATAATGACGATAGAGGAGATAGCGGAGGTCGAGAGGAAAGCGAGCGTGGTTATCACGAAGGTGGAGAGCGTCACCGACGAAGTTGTCGAAGTGTCGCGGGAAGAAATCGAGAGCGTGACAATGCTCACGGAAATACCGCCGACCAAAGCGGTGGCTGAGGAAAATGCTCAATTGAGGATCGAGGATGAGCCAATTGCGACGCGAGCACCCGAATCAGGTGATCGGGAAACGGTAATCCGCGCCGATGCGAAAGCGGAAGATTTGAGTGAGGAGGATCGAGAGGAAATCGAAAGACGCCTCTATCAAACTCAATTGTCAAAATTCAGCTCTTCGATCGGGAATCTGGAACAGCCGTTGAGGGAACTCGTGGATTTTGTCAAATCTGCGATGCAAGGCTCGTTGGCTTCGAAGTCCGAAGAGGACAAGCGGAAGGTGCGCGAACTGACGGTCTTGATACAGAATCTTTATGATCTGCAAGCGACGAGCACTTCCGTCAAGGCGACTCTGTCTTCCACATCCGTTACGCCGTTAGAGAGCCAATTTCGCCGTATGGAAGAGATCTTCGTTGACTTTGAGCGAGCTGTCGATGCGGTCATTTCTCTGACTCACGGAGAAGTGCATCCGGAATTAAAAGAGAACATAATGATATCATTGCAGTCTTTCGCCGAGCCCTTGGCTGCTCTCGAAAGTACGCTGCTGTCGATATGCGAAACGATTGACGAAGGCAAACGCGCCGAGGGAGAGCCGTCGACTGCGATTCCGAGAGCTTTAATATCGTGCATCAACGATACTCGGAAATCTCTAAGTGAGATTCAAGTATTGAGGCACGTTAGGATCGCCGACGAGAAAGAAACGGAGATGAGCGCGAAAGTAAAGGAGGAAACGAAGGACATCGAGGAGACGACCGCCCGACCGCTCGAGGAACTCATAGAAGCCATCATGGATTCTCAGGAACGGGTGAAAGGCGACAAAACGTTAGAATCCATCTCGCCTTCCACGGATCCGATCGAGTCGAAAAGCATCGACGATCTGAATTCGATGGAGGTAGGGGCGAAATTGAGCAAAGCGATCGCTGTAGAAGCGGATAATTCAGTAACGCAGGTTGCAACGTCTGTCGCGGGTGCGGCAGAGACGCCAGCATTGCCGTCCAGCCAAGTCGAAGAACTACCCGCTGAAGAGAGAGCATTAACACCGAAATCGTTGACGGAGTCTCCGGAGGAGGTCGAAGAGCTGAAGCTGACAACGGTTGCTCGGCAAAAGGCGGAGTTAAGTCTATTACCCGAGGGCGGTGTGACGCAGGAAGGACAGGTGAAAGTTGAGACTTTGCGAGCGATCATCTGTCCTCTTCAAGAAATGTGCAAGACGATCGACGAGATCGGAGAAACGGAAGTGCCAAGGTCGCCCGACGACGAGCGAGCAGTCGCGTTATCGACTCTCGTAGAGCCGTTACTGAATCTGGAGCTCATGTTAAACAGGGAATCGCAGCGAACAGAGTCCATTTCGCGCGAAGGTACCGAGGAGATCGAGCAGGATACGACGCGGAAGTTATCGGTCACGACGGTTTTGGAGGAACTGCAGAAGTCGATCGCCACGGTTCAAGAGCAAGTACAGCTCAGCACCGTGGCCGAAGGCGGCTCGAGCGAGAAGGCGCGTTTAATGCGAGCTGTCGAGAAGCCGTTAGAAGACCTGAGGACGTCAATCGCCTGTATCCAGTCCGACCCGATGACTTGTCAGCAAGAGCCGGAATTATCGAGCGCCGAACACATCACGGTGCTGCAAGCCGTTGCCAAAACGGTGGAGGAATTCGGGCATAAATGTATGTCTATTATTGGCCAACCGAAAATAGAATCGCCCGTGCCGCTGGCGCAAGTCGTCAAGCGAGAGGACCGAAAGATGGACCCGGAAATCTTGCACAAGATCGTTGACCCGATCCACGTTCTGCGCGAGACGCTCTCCCAGCTCGAGGATCTCCAAGATCACGAGGCCGAGTTGTCGTTGGAAATATCGGAGAAGAAGAGAGAGGAGGCTGTTCAATTGAGCGCAGTGATGCACCCTCTGGAGAAACTGGAGCAATCGCTGAAGGCGAGTATCGCAGTAACGCAGGAGCACGTTGCGGAGGAGCTCGGCGCAACTCGAGTTTCCTTGGAAAACGCGAACCTGAAACCCGTGCTGGAGGAGCTGAGGAACTCGATTATCGTAGTTCAGCAACAGGCAGCCGTTAGCGAGAACGTCCTCGTAGTAAAGACGATAAGGGAGGCCCTGGAAGGCTTGAAAATGTCGCTGGCATCCGTCGAGGAGATCGTCGATCAGACCGAGGCGGTCTCGACTCTCCTGACGTTCGCGGAGGAAACGGCGAGCCAGCTAGAAACCGCGGCCAGTCGGCAGCGAGAAATTCGAGAGTCTCCTCTGCTGAAGACGATAGCCATGCCGATCGAGGGGCTGCAGAGCGCGATACTGCGGCTGGAGGACCGGATGTGCCAAGCGCTGGAGACGCTGGAGAAGCCGACGGTCGCTTTAGAATGCATGCTGCAGCCGCTGCAACAGCTGCAGCGGACGTTCCTGACCGCGCCTCACGAAGAGACCGGGCTGCAACGGCTGCCGATCAAGCCGGCGTTGGACGATCTGAGCAGATTCGTGCCAGTGATCCAAGATCAAGTCGCGAGCGTGCTAGATAAGATACTCGCTGAGAACGACTCGGCGGCGCTGAAGGACTTCGCGAGGTCGCTCGGCAACTTGAGAACGTCCACGGTGGTGTTGCAGCAACTGAACGCGATAGAGAACGCGGGCCGGCAGATCATCGAGGTGGAAAACGCGTCCGCGTTGCAGGCGTTCGCGAAATCCATCGAGGAGTTCCGAAGATGCTGCCACGCGGTGGCCGAGCGGCCGAGGATCGTCGAGGCTTTCGCGAGGAGCGCCGAGCAGCCGGCCAAGGTGGAGGCGCATCTGCTCGAGAACATCATCGCGCCTCTGCGTGTACTGCAGGAGCAGATCTTGACGATCGAGGAGATCAAGATGCACCAGTCCGAGACGCTGGACGTCAGGGACGAGAGGAAACCGGCCACCGTGTTGAGCAGCTTGGTCGGCCCCCTGCAGGAGCTCGAAAAGTCCTTCGTCGCCACGGTGCAGAAGGAGCACGTGATCGAAGCGCACCGCTTGACAGCCGAGCTGCCCTCCGTGAGCTTGGAGAATCTGCAGCCCATCCTCGAGGAGGTGCAGAAGTCCATCGCGAGCGTTCAAGAGCACGTGGTACTGGAGGCGGGAAGCCACGTGCCGTCGGAAGCGGAAGTGTTGAAGTCGATCGCGCAACCCCTGGTGGATCTGAGAGCCTCCGTCGCGTCTGTGCAGCAGGTGACCGCGCTCGCCCCCGATTCCCTGAGCGAGCTCGGGCAAGAGCAGAACGTCTCCGCTTTGGAGACCTTCGCCGAGACCCTTCATAACTTGGCGGAGTGCATAGCGATGTGCAATCATCAGCAGATAGTGATGGAGCCCGCCGCGGACACCATCTCCGAGGTGGACGCTTCGTCCTTGAACACGTGGGCGGACATAATCGAGGAGCCCGTCTCGCGAGTCACGCGGCCGATGGTGATCGATCAGGGCACGGTGGAGTCCCCGGCCTCGATCGCCGCCTCCATCTCGGACGACGAGGCATCCGTGCTGAAGATCTTGGCGAAGCCTCTGACCGAACTGCGGGAGTGTCTGGCCCTGATCGTCGAAGAGCGCAAGGTGATCGCGCCGAGCGAGAACGCGTCCTCCTTGTCGGAAAACCTTTCCTTACTGAAGACGATGATAAAGCCCTTGCTGGAACTGAAGGACGCTGCCGCGATAGCCATTCAAGAGCAGACCGCGATCGAGCGGGCGAGCGAGCATTCGTTCGTCGTCGAGGCCGAAAGTGAATTCGCTCTTCATCCTTTGGTGGAGCCGTTGGAAGAGCTGAGACACTCGATCGCGGTGATACAGGATCAAATGCTGATCGAAACGTCGACGGATCGACCGGGGGAAGTCGTCGCGTTGAACGCGTTAGCGGAACCCCTCCTTGACCTCCAACGCGCTATCTCGGTGTTAGAGGCGCGAGTGGTCTCACCGGACGTTGAGTCGATGCCCGACGACACGAGCAACTGGATCACCGAGTGCTTGGCGACCCCTTTGCACGAGATAGAAAGATCGATAGCCGATATTCGACAGTGCACCGTGATGGAACCGGCAACCGCGCTCGTGCGGGAACAAGGAAGGACTTTAACGCCAGACTGGTCGATCGTGGAAAAATTGATGAAGCCGATAACAGGGATTAGAGCAGTCATATTGCTCATGGAAGGCGATTCTGTTAGAACCGAAGCCATCAAAACGATGATGAAGCCACTGGTGAGTATGCAGGAGAACTTGACGTTGCTGAGAAACAAGTCTGATATGGGCAGAGTGGAAGATGAAGGCAACGCGGACGCCATCGTCGAGTCCCTTTCCAAACTGGAGAAATGCATTTCGTTCATCGAGAGGAGAAACATCGACAAATCATCGGTTGAACAATCGAGCACGACGGAGGTGGATACCGCCATATCGTCTGTACTTAGTTCATTGAGTGAGCTGAAACGTTCCATTGTCACTGTGGAGGAGTCGCCGAGCGAGTATCTGAGCAACCTGGAGAAACCGTTGGAGCTCGTGCAAAATGCGCTCGAGACAGTTGTATCCGTGCAACGACGTAAAAAGCTGTCGAGTCTGTCGGCGAAAATGCAAAGCAGCGTTTCGGATATCAACGACGCGATTGAGACTATTGGACGCAGGTTGGAGGAGCGACAAGCACCGGTCGCCGTCGAAGTTCACATCGAATGTGAGGCACTCGGTACGTTGGCGAAACCGTTGCGCGGTATCAAACAATGTATCGCACAAATACCGGAGGAACCGAACACTGCCGAATCAATGATTAGTGCACTCCAGAATCTGGAGAAATCCATGTCACTGATACGAGAGCAGTCGGCCGATAAACCGTTGGCGGAGTCTCAGGATACGCATTTCGCTGATACGATAGGACTCTCGAGAAATTTAGTACCGTGCTTGCACGAGATGCAAGAATCGATAGAGACAACGAAGACATTGTGGCATGAGAAAACAGTACTGGAAGGATTGACGATTCTTGAAGAACCGCTTTACAAACTGCAAACTCTGATAAACATTATGTGTGAGCAATTTTTAATAGGAGACACGATTTGGATAATGGATGAGAAAGAAGAAGCACCTAAAAAGAAACTCGCAAAGAAGGAGGACAAAGAACCGGATACGGAAAACCAGGAGAGATTCGAGAAAAGAGAAGAGGAAGAAGATAAAAAGTCGGTAAAAGAGAAACCAGAGCAACGAGAAATTGATAAATCTGAAAGAAACAAAGAAAAAGATGAGAAACAAAGAAAAGAGGAAGCAGCGGCAAAAGTGGACCAGACGAAAAAAGAAGTTGACGAAGTAAAGAAGGAAGAAGATGAACAAAAAGAAAAGAAAGAAACTGTGCAACTAAAAGAAAAGAAACAGGCCGAGGAAGAAGTAAAAAAGAAAGAGAAAGATCAGAAAAAAGAGAAGATAATAGAAAAAGCAAAAGAGGACAAAGATGAGAAAGCAAAAAATGAAAAGGAGGAAAAGGGAAAGATATCAAAAAAAAAAGAAGAGGAGTCTAGTAAAAAAGATGAGACAGCACAAATAAAAACAGAAGTGGAGAAACCAAAGAAAGAGGATGAAGCGGACAATACGAAAAAGGAAGAAGCGATGGAAAAAGGAAAAGTGGAGGAAAGTGAAAAACCAAAAGACAAGGTTACAGAAAAGAAAAAAGAGGAGTCTAGTAAAAAAGAAGAAACTGCACAAATAAAGATAAAAGAAGAGGAAAAGAAGAAGGATGAAACCGAAAAATCCAAGAAAGACGAAGCAATAGAAAAACCAAAAGAGAAAGAAGTTGCAAAGGCAAAGAGCGATAAAGTTGAAGAAATGGAAAATAAAAAAGAGGAGACTAGTGAAAAAGAAGAAACTGCACAAATAAAGATAAAAGAAGAGGAAAAGAAGAAGGATGAAACCGAAAAATCCAAGAAAGACGAAGCAATAGAAGAACCAAAAGAGAAAGAAGTTGCAAAGGCAAAGAGCGATAAAGTTGAAGAAATGGAAAAGAAAAAAGAGGAGACTAGTGAAAAAGAAGAAACTGCACAAATAAAGATAAAAGAAGAGGAAAAGAAGAAGGATGAAACCGAAAAATCCAAGAAAGACGAAGCAATAGAAGAACCAAAAGAGAAAGAAGTTGCAAAGGCAAAGAGCGATAAAGTTGAAGAAATGGAAAAGAAAAAAGAGGAGACTAGTGAAAAAGAAGAAACTGCACAAATAAAGATAAAAGAAGAGGAAAAGAAGAAGGATGAAACCGAAAAATCCAAGAAAGACGAAGCAATAGAAGAACCAAAAGAGAAAGAAGTTGCAAAGGCAAAGAGCGATAAGGTTGAAAAAATGGAAAAGAAAAAAGAGGAGACTAGTGAAAAAGAAGAAACTGCACAAATAAAGATAAAAGAAGAGGAAAAGGAGAAGGATGAAACCGAAAAATCCAAGAAAGACGAAGCAATAGAAGAACCAAAAGAGAAAGAAGTTGCAAAGGCAAAGAGCGATAAAGTTGAAAAAATGGAAAAGAAAAAAGAGGAGACTAGTGAAAAAGAAGAAACTGCACAAATAAAGATAAAAGAAGAGGAAAAGAAGAAGGATGAAACCGAAAAATCCAAGAAAGACGAAGCAATAGAAGAACCAAAAGAGAAAGAAGTTGCAAAGGCAAAGAGCGATAAAGTTGAAGAAATGGAAAAGAAAAAAGAGGAGACTAGTGAAAAAGAAGAAACTGCACAAATAAAGATAAAAGAAGAGGAAAAGAAGAAGGATGAAACCGAAAAATCCAAGAAAGACGAAGCAATAGAAGAACCAAAAGAAGAAAAATTTGAAAAACCGAAGAGTGAGAAAGTTGAAGATCTGGAAAAGAAGAAAGAGGAGTCTGATAAAAAAGAAGAAACTGCACAAATAAAGATAAAAGAAGAGGAAAAGAAGAAGGATGAAACTGAAAAGTCCAAGAAAGACGAAGCAATAGAAAAACCAAAAGAAAAAGTTGAAAAACCAAAGAGTGAGAAAGTTGAAGATCTGGAAAAGAAGAAGAAAGAGTCTGATAAAAAAGAAGAAACCGCGCAAATAAAAGTGAAAGAAGAAGAACAGATGAAGAAGAAAAATAAAACTAAAAAACCAAAGAAAGACGAACCAATAGAAAAGCCGAAAGAGGAAAAAGTAGAAAAACCAAAGAGTGAGAAAGTTGAAGATCTGGAAAAGAAAAAAGAGGAGTCTGGTAAAAAAGAAGAAACCGCACAAATTAAAGTGAAAGAAGAAGAACAGACAAAGAAGAAAGACAAAGCTAAGAAACCAAAGAATGACGAAGCAATAGAAAAGCCGAAAGAGGAAAAAGGTGAAAAGACAAAGAGCGAGAAAGTTGAAGATCTGGAAAAGAAAAAAGAGGAATCTAGCAAAAAAGAAGAAACCGCACAAATGAAAGTGAAAGAAGAGGAACAGAAGAAGGATGAAACTGAAAAACCAAGGAAAAACGAAGCAATAGAAAAACCGAAAGAAGTAGTTGAAAAGACAAAGAGCGAGAAAGTTGAAGATCTGGAGAAGAAAAAAGAGGACTCTGGTAAAAAAGAAGAAATCGCACAAGTAAAAGTGAAAGAAGAACAGAAGAAGAAGGAGGAAGCTAAAAAACTAAAGGAAGGCGAAGTAATAGAAAAGCCTAAAGAAGAGAAAGTTGAAAAGGCGAAGAGCGAGAAGGTTGATGATCTAGAAAAGAAGAAAAACGAAACTAAAAAATCGAAAAAAGAAGAGTCAATAGAAAAAGTGAAAGAGGTAAAAGTCGAAAAGACAGAAAGCGAGAATGTTGAACAGCTAGAAAAGAAAAAAGCAGAGTCTACTAAAAAAGAAGAAGCCGCACAAGTAAAAATAAGAGAAGAGGAACAGAAAGAAAAAGTCGAAGCTGAAAAACCGAAAAAAGAAGATGAGAAACAAAAACAGCCAACTGCAGTTGAAGAAGCGAAGGTAACTCCAGAGGAACAGATGAAAGTAACGGATACACAAGAGAGTATACAAAGGAAAAGTAAGAGGGAAAGTAAGAAAGCAGAGAAAGCGAGTGATGAGCATATAGAAAAGAAAAAAGAAGAAATTCCTAAGATGGACGAGAAAATATCTGAAACACAGAGTGAATACATGAATGATGTAACGAAAGAAAACGATATGAATGAAAGCGAACGGCAATATAAGAAATCAAACGAAGATTGGGAAAGAGAAGGGAGACCACGTATAAAACAGAAACAAGAAGAGGAATTCAGCGAGAAAATTCCACAGTTACAGGCAAGAGAAGATAAAGACTTACACTTAAGAGTAAACGAAGACAAAGAAATGAAAGTGACGAAAAGAGAAGAAGAACGGATGCAGCGATGGCCTCAGGACATCAGAAGCGATGAGTCCAGGATACGTAAGGAGAGAAACGATCGTCCAAGAAAAGATGACGGCGAAAGGCTACACCAAATAGAAATAGAACGCGTGGAAAAGAAAAGAGACGTGAGCCGATTCAAAAAAGAACAGACCGACTCTGCTTTAGGAGCAAACGAGGAGAAACCGCAGAGGTGGAGCGACGAAAAATGGCTCAGGAGAGAAGAGAACGCGAGATTATTACGGGAAGAGGAACAAAGATTGCGAAAAAGACGAGATGAGGAAATAACGAGGAGCAAGCAGAGAAGAGAAGAGCAGATAAGAGAAATCGAGTGGTCCAGGAAACGTCAAAGCGAGTCCGATCGCTTCCTCAGAGACCTGCTAGAACCTAGATACAAGCCCGAAAAGTCAACTTCGATGTTCTTCGACGTGGATTATCCGCGGGAGCATACATCTCGGCTCGATTATGGAGTTCCGATGATGTTTTCCAGCTCGTCCAGATCATACAGCTGGAGGGACTCGTTGACGTCGTTAAATCGCCGAAGAATCGACGATTACTGGAATTATAAATTACGCCATTTCTCCATGAGTAAATATTACATGGACGCGGGCTCGTCTTACAGAAGACGCAGGAGAAGAGAGAACCGCATGATTCGAGCAAGATCGACCAGTTTGCTGAAATACGAAGACTATTCGACCGGGGATAGTGACGCGACTCTCGTACCCAGCACACGTATTCGGCTTACTCGACGGGCAAAAACGGAGACCTTGCCACGTATCAGTCTCGACAGCTACGATTCCGGCTCCTCGAGCTACCTCGGGCTCAGCCAAGAGGTAGTTCTTCAAGATGAAAAAATTCTCCAATGTCTCACAAACATACACGAGATGTTTCATACATTGCATTACTTGTTACAGAGTCTTCCGACCTGGGACAAACCGAAGAAGCCGTCGTTCTGCACGAGACTGACGAACAGAGTCGTAGGAGTCGGCATGAGAACAAGACTGACCTGCACCGTCATTGGTAATCCGGAGCCGCGAGTATACTGGACGAAAGACGGCGAAAAATTGGACGCGTCTTCCAGTCGCTACAAGACGCGGTACGAAAACGGCATGGCGTATCTGGAGTTGCATGACGTCCTTCCCGAGGACGCCGGAGTGTACACGTGCGTAGCCGAGAATATGCATTGCAGCTCAACCAGCGAGTCGACTCTGAAGGTTTACTCCGACTATAAACCCACGTATTCGCCCCCGACTTTCGTCAGGTCGATCAAAGGTGTGCACATGCATACGTTAAATTTTTAAGGGGAACTGTAATTCAGCCTTCACTGATTTTTCGTGAGATTTCATTCAAGAAATTCAGAGAGTACATATCTGTAATTTAAATGTGGTTGAAGTTTAGAGCGATCTTTGAACGAAAATTAAAAAATTTTTTCTCAATAAAATTATGCAAAATGTGTCAATATTAACATAAATAAACGAGGAAAACAGAAAAGATTGCCCGCGTACGAACATTCACACGAATTAAAATTTCTCCCGATTGAGCTTGTGCAAACAAATGACAGTAGTTTTGCATTCCATGGAACGATATACGTTAGAAAAAAAAAAAAGAATTAATCTCTGCACGAAGATCGCTCCAAACTTCAACCATTAATTTAAATCACTTTGTTTTAGACATATATCGATACTCTGATCACAAGCTCGTTCTGGAGTGTCGCGTACGAGCATATCCAGTTCCTACGGTTTCCTGGTTGAAAGACGGGGAGCTTCTTCAAGGCCAGCGTTATAGACAGAATTACCTGGATGACGACGTCTATCGTCTAGAGATAGCAAATCCTGATGCTTCAGATAACGGACAGTATACGTGTCGTGCGGTGAATGAGCTGCGAACCGAAGAAATATCTCACATGATTCGTCTCGAAGGTAATCCAGATATTAATATTTCGTCAATTGACGCACTCTTAATTGATCGAATAGATCTACGATTTTCACAATGATCGTGAATCGTTCTATTTAAATTTTGGATGGTTCTTTTGAGAAAAATTATTATTTTTACTCTTTTAGATTTTATTGCATTGATTTCCATTGACGTAATAATCGTAAAAGTTTAGGTCAAGATGTGCTACCGCTTAATGTTTACGAAATGTATGGTTTTCAAAGCCTGCTTTTTAAAGTAAGGCGCAATTCGCTCGGTTGGCAATGTTAACATAAAGTGTATTCAGATATAAACAACGGTGCGACTCTAGATCGGCAACGACGGTCTGCCGGCCGAAGCGATCGAAGTCTGAGCGACGAAACCAGCCTGGAAATTCCTCGATTCTCCAATCGACCGCGATTCTCCAATCTGCTGAGAGATTACAGCGTGCCGGTTGGCGGAACCATCGCCCTGCAAGTGGAAGTCAAAGGTAAGCAGTGCGGTTGAACTTTGAGGTGCAACGGTCTCTCCATCGACCTGTCGCAGGTGAACCAACCCCGGAGGTGAGATGGTTCCGGGGTGACCGGAAGGAGCCGATCTCGATACCGAAAGCGAGGACCTTCGTCGAACACGGGCTGCACACGTTGATCGTGCCCGAAGCGACTGAATCGGAGAAGGGTACGTATTTCTGCAGGGCGATCAACGCTTACGGACAAGTGGACACAAGCGCGACGGTGGATGTGATATCGTCGAGCACGATCGACGGAGGGAAGCCGGCGGTGTTCGTCTCGAGACTGACGAGAAAATCGATCGATGTGATAGTCGGCGAAGACGTCAGCGTGTCCTTCCGGGCCAGCGGGGTCCCGAAGCCGCGAGGTAAGAGCCGGCCATGCGATGCGCCGGAAAAAATTATTCAATTCGATTCAATTGAATTTCATCAGTTTTCTCCCGAGGAAGAATAATCCCTTTGATACTTGCAAAGTGCAAGATATATAATTTAATTGCGTTTTCGGACTCCAGTAACGTGGATGAAGGGATTAAAGGATATCACGGACGGGCCGAGATCGTACAAGGAAAGTATCGACGATTACGTGAGGCTGACGTTGAAGAGAGCTCTACCTTCCGACGAAGGTACCTACTGCGTTCTGGTTAAGAACAGATACGGTTGTGACAGATGCTTCTTCTCGATCAAGGTGAGAATATTCGTGTGAATCTAACTACTGCCGCGAAGGGAAGATGTAATCGCTGATGTATCCGAGTAGGTGAAGCAACGCGCCAGGTCGTTGACTCCATCGCCGGATTGGAGTTCTGTTACCGAACGCGACGCGGAAGAACTGGACGACGACATGTCCTATGTGAAAAGTAAGTGGCGTCGCAATAACACCTCGCAACATACCGGCCGGAAATGATACATCGGTATTCCGTGATTTATCATAGAAAAACTTCAAATGAAGTCATTAAGTATCGCGAATAACAATAGACTCGAACTAAATGTCAAGTACGCGCGGATATTTGTTAACTCGAGTCATTAAAATTAGAATGACAAACGGCGCGCCAAATGCAACAACGTACGCCTGGCTTGAGTTTTCATGGCTGGACGCCAGTTGGTATCTGAGCTGAGCATCCGCGCGAAATGTCGTCAATATTTAGCCTGGCCACTCATCCGGCTGAATATGTTGATCGGAGATCCCCTTAAGCATACGGAAATCGAGCGGCCATACGAAAAGATACCAGACTGCCTGCGTCGTGTCCTTCTCGCGCAGTGGGCGGCGAAAGGAGGAATATTTCTCTTTTCGATGTGTTTTGGAAGGGACGAGAAAATCAGTCAGAACGATCGGAGCTGCCCCGATCGCTCCGATTTCCCTCTAAATATACGCACAAAACGTTCGAACGATCGAGGCGTAACTTCTCAATCGGATCCGAAATTAGAGCGTTCGCGGGATATTACAAGGTAGCACTCGTAACGTAAGATAAACCGCCACACGAAAAGTTCTTTCAGTTGGGGAAACATCTCACGCCGGTTTATTTTAGATTTGCCTTCGTTACTCATCTCCCACCAACACCTCGCGCACTCCACAAATTTGAAATTCAGTCGTCGTCGGAACGCGAATCATTTCGTGTGCCCCACTTAAAAAAATCTCGAGCTACAACGTACGCAAGAGAGACACGTCCCCGCGTGGTGAAGAACAATTTTTCCATTTCTCTTTCTCTTGTCTTTTCTCCCTTGATCGTTTAAGCAAAATTTCGCCATGAAGCCGCACGATCACGGAATCGTCGTCGACGACGAGAACGGAGAAATTACTATCTCGCGTCTGCGACGTTCGTGGGCGAATAAAAACTGTTTGATCACTGACTTCTTAGAATATTTATACGGACACCGAGGTTAGCCGGAGAATCAATTCCGAATAATTCAATCTATGCATTCGCCTTAACGATCGATTTTTATGCGAACGACGTGATGATGAATATTTGCAATTAATCTCGCGAAGTAGCTGCGTAATTGAACGATTTGTTTATCAGACGTGCCCGGTCCAATCGGTAGCGAGCCCGTCGTTGTTGACGGCGGCAAGAATTGGCTCTCGTTGACTTGGGGTAAAGCGGAAAGAAGAGGGCCAGCACCAGTGATCGCTTACAAGGTCGAGGCTTGGCTCTTAGGCGGCGAAGGTGGCGCGCGATGGGCCGAAGTAAGGAGAGGCGGAGGCGCTGCTTTTGATTTAATCATTCCCAATTTGATGTAACTCGTCGAGCCTGCATTAATGAATTTCCTCAGTTGGGCGTCACGCCAATCAACGCGTTCGACGCGTTCAATTTGCGGCCAGGCGGAGAATACAAGTTCCGCGTGACGCCGCGAAATCGCTACGGATGGGGCGAACCGGTCACCATGGTAAGTTCGGCGTACGTCAGCGAGAGCACCGATCTTCCGGAGTTCTCGAAAATCCTACCGGGCCAGCTGAAGGCTCTCGAGGGGACGCCGGTGAAACTGAAATGCGAGGTGAGCGAGAATTCGGCAATATTCAACTCTCATTTCTAACGATATTCACTTTTTAATATCTTCCACCGATTTTTCCCAGATTCGTGGAGATCCGAAGATGGAAGTGCGATGGTATCGCGAAACGACGGAGTTAGACCCGCGCAATGATTCGAGATTCGCGATACAATACGACGCTGCCAAGTGTTCGCTGACGATCGCGAACGTTAAGGAGGCCGATTCCGGGAGGTACGTTTGCGAAGCGAGCAACAGGATCGGCAAGGTGTCGTCGTTCGCCAGAGTCCTCGTCGTCACCGATCCGAGGATCATCGAGGCCGACGCGAAACTGAGATCGAGGTAATTAGATGTGCCGTACACGTATCGAGGTTAACGATAACGCGTTTTCATGGGAAGCCTGAGCATCGAGCCGGAGGACAGGCCGCCGCAATTTACCATGAGGATACGGGACAGGCGAGTGCAGACGACTTACCCGGTCCGGCTCACCTGCCAGGTCATCGGACACCCCGTTCCGGAGATCACGTGGCACAAGAACGGAGCAGAGATCTCCCAAGACGGTAAACGTCTCGTTCGGTGAAAACCGAATTGTCCTGAAAAAGAAAATACCAAAATTCTAAAAGATCCTCCTTTAATTTTACATTTCATTGATTTTGATTAGTGAAACTAAGATTTCACGGCAAAATTTATAATATTCCGCTGGCTACTATTAATGAAATTTTCTCTGCGAGACTTATCGTTATATTTACAATTGATTTCTTTGTGATTTAGCGATGACATTCCGCTTTAGAAACTTTCGACTTTCCGTGTCTGCCGAACGTTAATTCGTGAAAATGTTTAGCACTATCGATTTCCCGTCTCAAGTATTTCCTTCCTTAGACCGCCACATTTTCTGGGACGACGACTCGAACTTTCACACCCTGGAGATCATCCATTCCACCCTCGAGGACTCCGGATGCTTTATGGTGACGGCCAGAAACATAAACGGTTCGGTGTCCTGCCGATGCACCCTCGTCGTGGACAAGGGTATCCGTGCTTACGTCGCTCCGGAATTCCTGCGCGATCTCGACGCCGCTTACACGATACACCTGGGCGGGGAACTGCGGATGTCCGCGCAGCTCGAGGCGTACCCGAGTGTCGGCGTGGTCTGGTGAGCCATCTGCTCGCTCTTTTTCTACGGCGATGTCATCCGGATCTTTTTTATCGTCATTTCGTCACAGGCATCGCGATGGTATTCGCTTACGGCCCAGCAGAAGGGCCGCGATGACTTTGAGTCACGACGGCACCGTCCAATTCTCTCTGGCTAACGTCACCGATCGCGACTCCGGAGTTTACAGCTGCACCGCGACGAACGCGGTAGGTCACACCGAGACGACCACCAGGGTGGCTGTGGTGACAGCCACCAGCCGAGATCAGTCCACCCTCGATGGATTATCGAGCATCGCGAGCGCAACTCCGGACATACCGTAAGTCGAAGCATCATTTCCGCCGAGTTTTATTCTCTAATGACTTTTAGTTAAGTTCAATCAAGCTAATCGACGATTCAAAGTTACCGTCAAGTGTTATTTGCTCTATCTTGCTATCGCAGATAGAGATTGTTCACTGAAAGAAATTTAGGGAGTAACAAACATGAGTTCCTCTAGATATTCGAAAGAGCCCCTTTTCGTCACGAAACCGTTATCGACGGAAGCGGTGGAAGGTGACACAGTCATCATATTGTGCGAGGTTGTCGGGGATCCCAAACCAGAGGTAATATGGCTGCGCGACTTCCTCAAGGTAAGCTGTTTAATTTTGCGAACACTTCGCACGTCTCTTAACACGCCGACCGTCGTGTTGAATCTGCGTGTTGAAATCGCGAATAATTGCAGAAAAAAACAAGCGAATATTGTGTGAATGATAAACGACACGTGTGCAATCTACATGCCTCGGTTCTCTTTTGTGGGTTTGAGTCAGCTGCGAAATAATGGCCGGCGGAGCGTATTTATGGCTGCGAGCGAGCGGACGTATTGTATGCGCCGAGAGAGTGGCATTGACATTGATCGAATGGTAACGATGCGTTGCGTCACCTTGCGTTTTTAATACGGACGGAAGAAACGCAAACACAAACGGTCGGGAAGGGGCTCGCGCCGACGACGGGCGAACGGAAGTGATGGCGTTGACCGACGAAACGCACGTTCACGGGCGTTCCCGCACGTCACCCCGTCGAATATCTGCATTAATCGCGAAATATACGTGCGGAACGTTGTCCCCACTTGTCGTCGGCCAGGTCGGCTCTCTTCTCGTCGATGGATCGGTGCTGTTACGTACGCGCGGCAAAACAGTCGCCGCGTAACTTTAGCGAACGAACAGCCGCTCCGACTTTTGATCGTCCACGCTGCAGGTCGCGCTGCGTGTGATACGCGAATTTCTTTTTTTTCTATCGTGCGAGCGCCCCATGACCTTTGATCCTCGAATTCCTAACGACCCACGCATAAACGATCGATCTGAATGAAAGGGTCGTCGAGGAAATTAGATTCAACTCGATGTGGAATACGTCAGTGTAAGTGCACCGTCGAATTGTCAATTGAAGTGATCGCTCACCCGAGTTGAAATTCGGATGCTACTTTGATGCTCTTAAGGACAGCTTGCGCCTACTTACGCGGCCTGTAGACTGCCGAAAGTTTCCTTAGACGATACTACACTCTTGTTAATTTCCCTCTCGAACCTTCATTTCTACAAATTTCATTTTAACGCTACACAGAAAAAATAGCGCTAGAAGGAAAGTGTTACATTCAAATAATATCTATTTAATCCAAGTAAAAATTTGCTAAGTAGTATTGCAGTAATTATCTATTCAAATCGAACACTTTTTCCGTATGCCTTGAAGGTACAAATGTTGTCGATATTTCGATTATTAAATTTGTATTCCAAACAACTTAATTTAACGCTGAAAAAGTTTGAGACATCATAATGATCAAAGCAGAAGCGCATTATATCGTTAGAATCGAATCTATTTCGATATCTTAGCTCCTACTATGCTGTGGAATTAAAGGTTTAACACAGGGCCAAAATTTCGACTCGGGCACGTGGGTGAAATCGAGCGAAACCAAGAAATTCTACGGGCAGCGAGTCACGAGAATTACTCACGAGTGAGATCGCTGGTCGAGCTGATGAATTATTAAACGCTCGTGTTAGAAGTTATATTCATCGGGAGGTCGTCCGCGTGAATCCCTTCTTCCATCGTTCGCAGAGACGCGGCGTGAATGCAAATGCAGCGAATGCTCGCTCGCCTAAATGATTTTATAAGCCAAATATGTCCAGCGTTAATTTCGAGCGTGTTGATGGGGTCGACAGGAGCACAGATGAAAAATTGTCTCTCACGCGACGAAACATCGCCTGTAATTGAGTCGGCATTTATTACTGAATTGAGTCAACGTGCCTGCACCGAGAGACGAACATAAATATCGAGTTCCGTTGGTACACTGATATATATAAATGGCATCTCGCCGTGCGAGTCCTTCGCCGCTTGTCTTCGGCGGCGATTTATGGCGCTTGTCTTTCGCAACCGGGAAGTGTTCCGCGCATAAATTCGAGCGCGGGCGAACGGAAGCGCGATGTGACAGCTTCCAGATAGACACATCTCGACAACTTCATTATGTCACGCATCTCCCCGGCCTCTGGACGGCTATTAATCCAAATCGATTCTCGGCGATTGCTCGAGCGACCGGGGTGGGATGAGTAGCGTGTACGCAGGTTGCCGCTCGTGTATCACGCGCAACCAGATCAGACTGCAGCGATCGACTTTCGCTCCCTATATGGGCTAGAGCTGCTGACGAAGACATCTCTCGTTTCTCGCTTCTCTCTCGCTGTCCACTCCGCGCGCACTCGTTGTCTCCGGTAACCTGGGCTTGAACCCCGCGTAATCTTGCGTAACGCGCCGCCAAAATCCGTCACGACACGATGATAGGCACGATCGAGCGCGCAGCACGCTAAAGGACCTGAGCGAGCATTATCGCGCGATAGTCGCGATCGAGGACACGTCGAAGCGTGTAACGTTCACGCAACGCGATGCATCCTCGGTGTTTATTATGGTTTCGTCTAGGTCCGACGCACCGTCAGTGAATGATGTCGCGCTCCTCCAAGCTGATCGGAAGCTCAATTCTTCTTCCTGCGTACTTCCTCGAAAGTCTGCGACATCGCGCGCGTGTTATCGTTGTCGGCGGTCAAATTCGCGCGTGAAGTAAACCCGTCGATAAGAAGTTGCATTCCGTGCAACCGGATCCTCCAGGTCGATTGTGGTCTCACGCGATTTCCGTCTTGCAGCCCGACTATTACAGGGACGCGCCTCACTTCCGGCTGGTGGGCGCTGGGCCGCAGTATCGGCTGGAGATACCTTACGCCAAACTCGACTTCACCGGAACGTACTCCGTGATAGCCCGCAACTGCCATGGGGAAGCTAAAGCTGTAATTTCCCTGCAAATCTACGCCAAAGGTAAGAGACGCGAGCGAGATGGTTTAGAGTCGTGCAGAGTCTAATCCGGCGACTTCTCTTCAGGTCAAGGCAAAGAGGACCAGACGCAAAAGTCTTTTCACGGGTGAGTTCTCGCAACTGTTCTTATTCAATTTTACTGCAATTTTACGCACTCTGTGCGAAAGGATTACGCTGAATGAGAAAAAGAATCTCAATCTGCAACAGAACTAGATGAAAACTCGGTAACAAGAAAATTCGGTGAACGAGAAACGATATATCTCCGTTACCGCGACTGGGAACATTCGGCTGAGACAACTGAGAGCAATTGACCGAGAGTAGAAATCTCCTAAAGGAATCTTTCTGTTCCTACAGCCGAGTTGTCGTCCGGTTCTCGGGCAATGGGGACTTCAGTTACGCCAACGGAATTGTCCGACTGTAAATACACTTGCTCTCGTTGATGAAGCATCAAACTTTGCAGGAAAGTGTTGACCTTGCCGATCATAAAGAGGGAACTGCGAGATCTGAGGTGTTGCGACGGTGACGCCGTCTCCCTCGAGTGCAAGGTTTACGCCACGCCGGAGCCGCCTTTGATTCGCTGGGAACGAGGCGGCAAAGTGAGAAAAAAATAATTAATGTCGCCTCGATGTAGTGTAGCCGATGACTCGCCATGTAAAAATATCTCCCGTCGCAGATTATCGCTATGGTGGGCGACTTCGCCGCCGAATTCGACGGCGAGACGGCGCGATTGAGCATCCAACACGTCTATCCCGAGGACGAGGGGGAGTACACGTGTGTGGCTTACAACGACCTCGGGAAAGCGTACACGTCAGCCTGCCTAGTCGTGGACGGTAATTTTGTATAACTCGCGCGGCTGCTTTTGACGAAAGCGCTGAACGAAGACGCGTCGCGAATCGCGACATTCTCGTTTGACGTCTCCGAGTCACGTTCGTATTTATTATGCTAACTATCGGCTGCCCTCAAAGCCTGCGCCGCAAGCAGTGACCGATGAGCTCCGGTTAATCATAATTTTGCGCAACTTGGAACACTTTCACGACAAATTAGGATTTATAACAAGGGCAACCTTCGCTCCCTCGTTTGTTAAGGATAACTGTCTTCGTGTTTCGCGTTTCTTATTATTTTGTTTTTTCAGAAAGACACTCGCATCATTGTCATGAGAAACGAAACACGTGTGTTGTAGTACCTGAAGGAAAAGAAAATACTTTGAGCCAGAGACTGACGAGGCCGATAGGTCTGCTGTCAGCGGGGTCGACGCCGAGGTCGACGCCGCGATCGACGCCTATCCGAAGCCTGTCGCCGGCGGTCTCACGTAAGCAGAAAATAAACACGAAAAGCTCATTCTCTCCCGCGGACATTCTCCTGAAGAATAATACACACGTGGAAGAAAAAAATGTAGAATTAATAACATTTCCAACGGCGCGTGTAATTGGAATAAAAATGTCTCGACTCAATTGCGATATGTATCGTTGAAATTATATTGGAGAAAAATCTTTGGTATTTGTAACTATAATCGAATTCGCTAATTACCCTTCAGATGGACGCGAATTCAGATCGCCACAGCAGATGCTACCGAGGAGGGGCATGTCGAAGCGCGCGAAGGTATGCCCACCGAAATTCTACGCGGTGCCGCACAACCGCCTGGTCCAGGAGGGTGAGACGGTGCGGTTCCAGTGCGCGGTGGTCGGCCATCCGGCGCCCTGGGTAAGATGGGACAAGAACGGCACCATCGTGACACCGAGCGCACGGATTTCCATCAAGGAGCGGGACGACGTGAAGATACTCGAGATCGTCGATGTGATGCGAGAGGACGCCGCTCTTTACAGAGTGACGGCGGAGAACGATTTCGGTCGGATCGAGGCCAGCGCTCGCCTCGAAGTGATAAGTACGTATTGTGTACTAGCGAATGCTACATTCCCACGTCACTCCGTATATTTCACGAAGTGGAATCTCACTCAATACGAGTGAAAAGTGGCAGTATTTTCGTTTGGAGCGATAATGACAATATTATCGCTCGAGATCGCGAGAGCGAATGTTTCATTTAAAATCTTCATTTAAAGAGTATCTCAAATTAATGGCTTCACCATTCGCTCATTTTAAGTGATACTTCACTCCGGGAAATTTGGAGAGTAAATTTAGGATTAATTGGGTTTAGAAATATCGGATCTTGCGTGTATTCTTGTCTTATATTGTCAAATGAATTAATCGGACAAAGGTCGATACGAAACGACAAGTCGGACCATTAGGACTAGAAGCGCCTCGCCTAGGACCTATCCCACGTTCGACCGGAGCCTTTTGCCTACTACCAGCAGGATAAACAGCCGTTTGCAGTTGGAGTGTCGCGTGAGAGGATCGCCGAGCGTGACGCCGACGTGGTACAGGTAAAACTGCAGAGACTTTAACGCGTGGTGAGTCCGCGAGCAGAGTCTCACCGCCGGATCTCTCTCTCTCTCTCTCTCTCTCTCACTCTCTTTCTCTCTGCCTAGGAACGGACGGCCACTCGAACGATCCGCCAGGATAAAAAGATATTTCGACGGTGCGACAGCTAAAATCGAAATATCGAAAGTGAAAGCTAGTGACGCGGGTGAATATACGTGTGTGGCGACCAACGTCCTTGGGTCGACGAGGAACAGTTGCCAGGTGAATGGGTGTTAGCCATCGGCTAATAATCAGTCGTCATTTTCGCCCTTTACTCTGAAAAATGAGTTTGATTGGGTCTGACAATAAAGCAACAACCAAGTCTGTTTAAATTAAGGGAGACATAATTTCTGGAATTTCCGTAAAAATCAAATTTGCTTCACGGGAACTGGAAATTTTTCTTTCAACGTGTTTAGTTGTTCATTGTCAAGTGGATCTAACCAAACTTAATTTACAATACACGTTACATTATTTCCTGAACCTGTGATATTTGCAGGTAACCGTGTTACACTCGCACGACTCATCCACCGCGGACAAGAACGCGCCACAGTTTCTACAACCGTTGCCGGAGGAGACAATCGTGATGGAAAGTCATCCCCACGAATTCCAGACTGGAATTACAGGTGGAAATCCACTTAATTAGTCTTCCATCTTATCTATTTTATCTGTCCCATTTATTTATTCTTTCTTCAAATATATGCTCAGTGTTAACTTGTATTCAATTCCCGGGAAAGAGAGGAGGAATAATAATCAAGTGTATTAGCGGGGCGCTTTTGTTTCTTTACTCTCATTTCTTCATCATGTTTCAGGTACACCTCCGTTCACGGTTACTTGGTCCAGGGATGGTCGCGAGTTACCCGACAACGATCATTACAAATCCGTGATATACGGGGACGGTGGCGTTGCTTTGAGATTGCCGGAGGTCTGTTCGCGGGATGCCGGCGAGTACACCTGCGTGGTGCGGAACAATTTCGGCGTTGCGTCCTGCAGCAGTCTCTTCGCTGTGCAAGGTACGCTCCGGCGCCACATGATTATTCTTCCACTTCAATATACTCTCTTCATGTCGCTCGATGCTCCAGACTACAAAGACGCTCCCAAATTGGCGCCCCAGTTCACGAAGACTCCGCTGTCAGTTATCGCCGCTAAGGGCTCCACAGCTTGTTTCTGCGCCCGGGTGCAATGCGGAAGAGCCGCTGACATCGTTTGGATGATCAACGGAAGAGACGCCCGAGAGAATGTAAAGTGTAAGGTACGTAAAAAAAAAAAAAGAAAACACGAGAGTCCACAGACCGTCGTGAATGTTACGAGCGTCGCTCACGCATTTGCATAAGTCGCGATCGTTATTATTTGCGTTCTCGCAGATCGAGAGAGACGGCGGCGCGAGTATCTTGAGAATACGCGACGTAACGTCACGCGAGACTGGTGAAATTCGGTGTACAGCCAGCGGAAAGGGTCCGTCCGTCGCTTGCGTCGCGAGGCTGCGATTGCGACATTCGTCGAACGATCTCGCTAATTCCGCACTGAGAGCCGAAAGTAGCCAGTCATGCACCAAGCTGTCACCGACCAGCACCGGTCTCACGCCGGCGGGAATCGCATTGTTGAAACGTCGGCAACGATACGAGAAGTCGCCGACGCGCGTCAGGTCGTCCTCGTTCCCCAGGCGAGCCGCGTCGCCGTGGGCCAAGTGCGTTTCTCCGTTGCTGACGAGGAAGCACACCGCTGACGGCGCGCCGATGAACACCCGAAGATCGCGACTTGACAGCGATCTCCTGACGCGAGGGATCGAAAAGCAAAATTCTGACGATAAAAAGATGACGCCGAGCGATCGGAGATCGTCGGAGGAGATCAGTGCAGCGGAGAATCCCACGGAGCTATTATCGTCGACGGGAACGGAACAGTCTCGCGATCGGGATACCGACGATACCGAAAGCTGTATAAAGAACCGAATAATTGCAGCCTCGCGGTCAGAGCCACCGAGAGAATCCGATGGACCTGAGGACAAACAGGAAACGACCTGTTGTCGAAAAGATCGGGGCGAAAGGAATGCGGAAACGCGCACGGACGAGCCGATGAGAGCTACGATCGTTAAAGAGCCAAGTGATGTCACCGTGTTCAAAGGAAACAGGGCGATACTGCGAGTCACTTATCAAGGACGACCCGAGCCGACGGTCAAGTGGCTTCGAGTGGTACGTTCGATTTTCCTGCTCGTAATATCGATCTGACCAATCGCGCGTCGAACGAGATAAAAACGAGATAAAAAAACATTCGTTTTTTCGCCTATGACAGTTCTATAAATTCTCCAATTAAAATCCCGTTTAGGTTCGACGACATCTATTAATGATCGCAATTTCCGAAGCGAGCGAGCGAGCGAGCGAGCGGATTTCGTATATCGCGGGCAATTACATCGGATATAAAAAGGAGTATATATGAAACAAAGGGAGCCACTGTTCTCCGCAGCAATGAGCGCTCTGTTTCGCAATTATAACATAAGCTACTTCGATATAAATCAGCGCGATCGTCTAAACACGCTCCACCGTTCTATATCGCGAGCGCGTACAGAGAAGTGAAGTTATCAACGATCCAAGACAGTTGTAGACGATCAGCGAGAAACGCTATTATCGTTAACGATCTCTCGCTATGGCAAATGCCTTCAATGCCCGTTCAAAAGCCGACGGTCAGTAGTAATTATATTAACGTAAACCAATATGATTTTTTTATTTGGTAATCTTACATCCTTCAAAAGCTCCGGTGTAAGATCTCTGTCAAAAATTTGTCATGAATCCTACTTTTCCGTCTTATGAGCATATTTTACTTAAAAAATGATTCCAGTTGCATTTTTTTTTTATAATTAGCAGATCAAAATTGAACATCTTCCCTTCTCCACAAATTATTTCAGTACGCGTTCCTTGAACCCTCATTGAGTATAAAGAGAGCCCTTCATCTCATCATGAATTGTTGGCGTTGGGTCAGAAAACAATGTTTCCACTAATTCTGCAAGCTCTTCGACTGTGTCTTTCCTATCTCCGTCCAAAGCGGGAAATATAGATTAATGAGTAATACAGACGTTGTAGGTGCAAATTTTTCAATTTTCTGTGATAAATGAAATTCGTGTAATAAAAGTCGTCCACTCGTGTTCGCTGTATTCTGTATAAAGGATCATCTATCCTTGTCTATTTGCAAGTGATTTGAGGTGAAAATCAGTCTCCCGATTCCAGGTGCGCCAGAAGCAACAATATCACTGTTACTCGTGTCAACTTGACGCAATTCAATCGGTGTTGGTACACACAAGATCGGTCGTATCGTTCGTTCGTTCGCTCGCTCGCCCGTCTCACTTCTCGTTCGCCGGCCAACCAAGCACGCAGCTGCCGATTAATCAACATTATCCACGATGTTGCGTCAATTTCGGCGCCAATAGCGCGGAAAGCAATATCGCACGGCGCAAATAATGTTAATTAACGCCAGCTGCGCGAGCGCGCCACCGGAATTTTTCGGGGAGATCGCGCGGAGCGTTCCGAGCGTACTCTACACTCGCGCAGGTAAACGCAGGTAAAGTACCAACGATTTCGATTTAAGAATCGGCAACTGCTCCCGGGCGAGAAGATCAGTATCACCAACGGGGCCGGCGTGTCCTGTCTGACATTGGACGACGTAACATACGACCACGCCGGGAAGTACGAGGTCTCGGTGGAGAATTCGGCGGGCAAAGAACGCAGGTTCTTCAGCTTGGCCGTGGAAGGTGAGCATTTGCCATGTCGGTCGCGTGTTCGCAATTTTCCGTGCATATATATATATATATATACGCGTGTGCGAATAACGAAAGAGAGAGAGGGAACCGTCGCGACGCGCCGCCCGAGCTTTGCGGCCAACTTCGCCGTCTCGGCTTAATTGAACTTAATTAGTCTCGGCGATAACGTAATCGACGGGTATATTTTCGGTGGAGAAACAGATTTCCGCCTTCCACGTTCGCGAGCGTGATTTTGAGACGAGTGCTCGCGTCGCATTGTTCCACGTGCGTAAGTGCGTGCGTTGCACGGTCCAGTTCCTCTACTCTTCGCGTACAAGGCAGACGGCAGTCTCACGTGACACACCGCGCAATAATTCCTCCTTCCCGCGCTTCCACCGTCGCTCGCTTCGGTATCAGCTCCACCTCTTCTTCCTCTTTCCTTGAGATCACCGTGTGTCGCCGAAGACGCGCGTGTACCGTGAGAAGGGAAGCGTACTCGGTCGCGCGGCGTTATCAGTTCTGCTGCCGTCTTACTTCTCGTCATCGTGTAATTGAAATTAATCCCACGGTTCATACGAGATAACGAAGCGTCGCGACGGGTCGCTCGAGGAAACGCGCACAGTGCTCGAATAGCTCGTGAGACAAGGTCTTCGTCCAGGCCCACCGGAGCCACCCGCAGGTCGAACTGGTGCGAACCTGAGCGCCGGCCAGGCCACGATCGTCTGGCGATCGCCACCTTACGACGGAGGTCGCACCGTGATCGGGTATACCGTGGAGGCGAGACGCGCCGGTGAAAGCACGTGGAGGGTAATCGCCGAGTCCTGTCATTCGCTGAGTCAAACGGTACCGACGGATTTCGTGCTACCAGGCGAAAGTTATCGCTTCCGCGTCCGAGCTGGAAATATCCACGGGCTGAGTGATCCCGGCCTCGAGTCCGATCCTGTGAGAATCCCGAAGCCAGGACAGACGATGTTGCAAGAGGAGGAGGAAGGTGAACGAACACGCGATTGACTTCATTTGTGTTTCTCAAACTTCCTCAAGTAAAATCCCACTCGGACATTAGTCACCGGAGTGACGTTTTACTTGAATGCAGTGAATCCTTCGCTCCGGATCGTCGAGCGAATTTTACGCACTCCAATGTGTGTCAACAATGACAGTCGTTGTAAACAAGAATCGTTCCTTTTTCAGACAATTTCGAGCCGAGCTTCGAGCCTCGCATAGTAGAGCCGGAAGAGGGCCTCGTCTTCGACGAGAGATACGACGTTCACGAGGAACTAGGCAAGGGCCGATACGGCATAGTGAAGAAGGCGATCGAGCGCACGACGGGCATGTGTTTCGCCGCGAAATTCGTCAGGACGATCAAGGCGAAGGATCGCGAGCAAGTGCGCGAAGAGATCAGGATTATGAACGTGTTGAGGCATCCGAAGCTCCTGCTGTTGGCCGCGGCTTACGAGAGTCCTCGTGAGACCGTGATGGTCATGGAGTAGTGAGTAAACATGATATCGGTGGTGAAATCAGTCATCGGAATATTAAATCGCAACGAAGATGATCCTTCCGCAGTATTTCAGGTGGTGAACTGTTCGAGAGGGTAGTGGCCGACGATTTCACCTTGACCGAGAGGGACAGCATCCTCTTCATGAGACAGATCTGCGAGGGTGTCGAGTACATGCATCGAAACAAAATCGTGCATCTGGACTTGAAAGTAAGCGTCGTCAGACCGACTTAAGTGGACTTTTTCATTTCTGTCGTTTTACAGCCAGAGAACGTGATGTGTCGTACGCGCACTTCTCACCAGATCAAACTGATCGACTTTGGACTGGCTCAAACGCTGAAACCCGACACGCCGGTCAGAGTGCTTTTCGGTACCCCGGAATTCATTCCACCGGAGATCATCAGTTACGAGCCCATCGGCACCGAGTCGGACATGTGGAGCGTCGGTGTGATCTGTTACGTTCTGTGAGTGTCGCTCCCCTTCGGGACAGTTATTTTTAAACGGCACACGTGTGCTCGACTGCGCAAAGTCTGACGTTGCTAACGACGATCGTAGATTGACTGGCTTGTCGCCGTTCATGGGAGACAACGATGCCGAAACTTTCGCCAATATCACGCGAGCGGATTACGACTTGGAAGACGAAGCCTTCGACGCTGTTTCGAACGACGCCAAGGACTTCATCAGCGGCCTGCTCATCAAGCGGAAGGAGTACGTGTTGCTTCTTATTTTTCTGCTTTTCAATTCCGGAGGTACTCAGCCTCCGATACCACGCGAACATGTTGCACACCGATTTCTTCGACGCAGGTTGCGCATGTCGGCCACACAGTGTCTGAGCCACCCCTGGATGGCGCAACATAACGCAGCCATGAGCAGAGTGGTCTTGCCGACGGAAAAACTGAAGAAATTCATCGTACGGAGAAAGTGGCAGGTAAGTGTCGATGACTTCGCGAAGTCTTTTGTTTTGTCAGAGACGTTAGAATGACTCGAGATAATGTCAGCATGCATGCATTGAAGCTTCGAGTGTGCGCGCGTTTGGTTGTTTATTTCGACAGAAAACGGGAAACGCCATTCGTGCGTTGGGAAGAATGGCGATGCTCTCGGCGTACAGCAGACGTAGCCCCACGACAACAGCGGAATCGTCGCCTACGCTTGAGAAACAGTTCGACAGCCTCGAGATGCAATGTCCCGTCGATGAAAGTACGGAACGTATCGAGGCAGGCGCGGAGGGGACCGAGGCGGAAAGTACGCATTTTTCCTCCTTCGTGATGGAAAGAAATATGAAGAAACAGGAGGTAACTTGTCAGAAAGAAGAAGCTGCCGGTATAAATGAATTAGCACGAACGGTCGATCACGAGGAGTTCCGAAATATAGACTCGGTCGAAGAGTTATCGACGAAAGGAGGAAGCAGTTGCTTTTCGGAGCAGGCTGACATCGAATTAATCCCAAAGCAAGATGCCACGGTGCATTTGCAGATCGCGGAAAAGAGTGAAGAAAACGGCAAAGAGCTCGTCGAGAAATCTTTCGAAGCAGAACAACACATAGTCCCGAGATCGCAGGCATTTTGTAGAGTCCTTCAGGGGGATTCCCGCGACTCTGGGATAGACGACTGTCAGATGACTTTCCCGTTGCAAGTGGACGAGCTGGGAATAGCGTCCACCATCAAGGAGGAAGCGGATCACGAGGCTCCGAGCCGAGAAGGCAAACGAACACCTAAGAGGGACGATGCGGTGAGAAATCGGCGGAACTCAACGTCGGGGATTCTCGCCAGTTTGGCACGCGGCGAGGAAATGGGAAGTAGCCGGAGCGACGACAAGGTAGCTACAAAGAGTGGTGTGACTAAAGCTTCGTGTGAAATTAATCTCGAGCGAAAAGGTGTGTTCGACTGCGGTAAACTCTCATAATTCACAATATCGACCGCCACGTGCGTGCGTAACCGCGCGTGACGTACCTTGCTAAAATCCTACATTTGCCCACAGCTGCCGACGAGAGTGCGGACGCAAGGATATTGATCGGACGTAGCCGCGACAAGTACCTGCCGACCGGAAACGTCAGCCGCACGGCCAGGATATTCGAGAAGGAAAGCGCAGCATCGAAGTCGGACGATTCGTCGCAGGTGTCCGCGGCGCAACGTGCGTATCCCGCCGCCATAGTCGCGGGGAAGCCGTACAATGAGCGGATACAGAAGGCTTTCGCGTTCTGGAACAAATGAGAATATCTTCCTGAAGCATACTCCTCGAATACGCAAATCGCGTGCACGAACACATATTCAGTCATCGTACACGACGAATCCGTGCTTGAACGGTCGACGAATTAAGGGTTGCAACAAATCCCGTGTCCAATAGGAAACTTTGTTCTTCAGAAGTTCTCAAAAGATGTACATTTTTCTGTTGGATATAAGATGCACAACTTATCGAGGGAAAGTGTTGCAATCTTTAATCTGCACTGAGAACAAAAAGTGGGAGAATCAATGAAATTTTGCTTAAACGAATCAAATATTTTCAAACACAACGTTTAGTCCATTGATTAAGTTATATAGTTGCTGTACTGAGTTATCAATTGATTCAACGATTGCGATTTCATCGGTAATATGTTGTTGAGCCAAAGTATAGTTTGTTCAGTGGACTCAATATTTTTTTTTTAATGCAGGTGACCGCCGATTTTTTCGATTCAACTACTTTCTTCTCAGTATATCAACTAAACACAGGTGAGTATTCAGGGTTTCAATACTTGGTTCGAACACTTTTGCTCGATGCAGTTCGAAATGCAACGATAGTCCGATCAGAGAACTTTCTTCGAGAAATAAGTTCACTCATTGAACCATCGGCCGTGTTCCGAACTGCATCAGGAAATAAAGTGTTCGAACTATTTTGAAATTCAATGTACAAAAACCTTAATACGTTCGAAAGCACACTTTTCGCTTTAATTGTCAAAACGAGATAATTCTGATTATTCCCGTAGAAATTTTATATAGACGAAAGATTTGTAACTCCGATCGATCGCGCCGCCAAATCTGCGAAGAAGCCCGACCCGAAGCACGTACTTATCGAGAGATCGCGAACCCCGCTTATTGATCAGTCCTTATTTAAACGCTAATCATTATACTCGCTAAAACGACCGCTCCTATATCGAAAATATGCCCATGCGAGCCTTGTAACGCTCGCATCGGACTTAGACGTTGATTTTGAGACGTTTAGATTTCCTCCGCTACATATTTATACGCAATCGGCACTTTTTGTTTTGGTCCACTTTATCGTACGAAATGCGGAAATTTCAATCCGAGAGATGTTCATGTACATAGTTGAACACGTGATGTTTCGCAAGCGATTGACGGTATTGTATCTAGTATTTTATATATATATATATATATATATATAAAATACTATATATATATATACTCGGCTGAATGCATAAGTGTACTTTGAATTGTTCACGCGACTTGCTGTACCCGCGCGGCAGTTACACTACTGCCCAAATATCGGACGGGCAAACAACATCTGTATTACTACTATAAGTTATTTACATAGAAAAATAAAGAATATATCTATACACTTACGGTGGGAATGTTACACGAACACACTGGTGTTCACGAGAATATTTTTATTTCTTTACAAAATATATTTATTACTAAACAACTGTTACACATTGCGAGCAACGTTTGCACTCTTTGGACGCGTACTTTTGCTTTAATTCACGACACTATTGGACACTTTGACTGGGTTTGGTGGGGCGTTTCTGAAGGAACCAGCCGCATCGACTGGTCGTCGCGGACAATAGCTCCGCCACTTTTTGGGCGTTCTGCTTTTCCTCCGAGGATGATTTCTTAATCTGCGAGGTTCATAATCATTGATATTAATGCCGCAGCAATCGTTACAGCATGCTTGTGACGATGGAAAACACTTTAGTCATAGTTCGACAAAAATTTTGTTCGACAAAAATTTTGTTCGACAAAAATTTTCTATCGTCTCCATCTCAATTTAAATTCTACTAACTTCGTCGAATTTTCTTCTAACTTTATATCCTCTGTACGTAGCCTGTATCATGGTGGCCGCCTCTTCCTCGGATTTGACCGAGTCCGTACGATTCTCGGAATACCTCGATTTCTTCACCACTTTCTGCTGCTTCTTCGTAGGGAGCATCGTGTTTTGTTCCCATTGCTTGCGGCTGTAGCCATCCGAGACGTTTCTCCCTTGCTGATCGTCGCAATTCCGACGGCTCTCGCATGCGTGTCTCTTGAAGAAGTCCAAAGACCGCCGTGGCGACTCGCCCGCCCCGTGAAATCTCGTCTCGTGAGCGACAGATTGGCTGTTTCTATTTCCATCGCATTGCGCTTTCATCTACGAAGGGAGGAAAACGCAGCGAAAATTGTCCGGTGGATACTTAATCGCGAACGAATCACCGTGATCATTGCTAACGCGTCTTCGGCTTGTCCCAGAGGGATCTGTATAACAGTTCTGAAGCTCACTTACCGTCCTCGCATTGTTGTTTCTGCCCATATTGCTCAGACATTCGGTCAAGATTTCAGGCGGAAGCAATACGCCTGACGAGGTTGCGACTCTTGAGGTGTACTTCCTCGATTCTCTTTGCGTTGCGCTATACCGTTCTGAAAATAAATGTAGGAGGAATCGTCGATCACGATGCGAGCAGTTTCCACATTTTTAGCGTTATCAAATTTTCAAAAGGATTTAAGGAAGGACCTGAAGGACGCGAATCTACGCAACAATAACTCTGTCCGCAATCCGTGTGTACCCTTCCCGGCGGTAAGGGCGAGTAATCCTTAGGCGGAGAATTTGGAGGTGTGGGTTTTGCACGTGTCTTTCCCGCTTTCAGTTCCGTGACCTTCGTCTTTTGATACTCCTCGAGGTACAGCAGAAATTCGCGATACGTGACATAGTTCTGAAAAGTGAGAAGTGTTTCAACAGATTTCGTTTCAAAAACGGTGGAGAAATCTAGTTTACTGTGCTTCCACGTGATGATAAAACGTAAATTACTTTGTCTTCCCCGGCCCAATTGCGATTTGTGGGTTCACTGAGCCCGAGTAAATCGATCCAGTGGTAGTAATCTTCCGTTTGATTACCGTACCAATATTTTATGATGACAAACCTGCAGAATTTCATATCGATTACACATACGCTCATTTATTAATGACCTTATTTGCACACGCTGCGAATCGTTTTACAGAGCTCATATGGATGAATAAGAAAATCCATACGCCAGTCCGTCGTCCACCATCTTTTGCACTTCCGGGTAAGACATCAGTTCCATGAATTCCGGATTTTCGGGATTCCTCTTGACGTCTACTAATTGCCACGGAGCTATAAGACCAAATCGGACACACCTAAGCACATCCAGCATATGCTGTTTTCTTTCGCTCCAATCGTGCATCAACCATCTCACGGCGGACATTAGGACCTCCATCTCGCTGATGGGAAAATTACTCCTTACTGTCGCGTACATTTATTTTTTCTTTCGCAAACTTTAGCTGGCGAAACGTTTTGATGATCAAAAAACACAATATTCTCGAAATTCTTTCGAACGCGATAAGGTACCTGTTGACGCAAATGTAATTGGACTTCAGCAGTAGGCAAAGTTCGTCCACAGACAGTTCTAAGAAGTCTTTGGTGCTGACGAGCATCAAGAAGAATTTCATGATTCTCGGCACCATCAGCTCCATCACAGCAGTGTTTCCGATCTTCTTTGCTTCCAAATACAACAGAAAAGCAGTATCCTCGGAGAAGAGCTCGTCATTGTCAATGAACGCCCAGCATTGTTCTTCCAGCTCTTTGTAAAGTACAAGATTTGAGAGGAGCGATCCCGTTAATATACCTCTTACATTTCGCTTGAAATACAAACTTTAAGTGCAAGACGAAATGCACACCTTTGATGCCGAGGAACTGCGCGGCCATGAAGATCTCCAGGATATTATCTCTTCGTAACAGCTGGTAGCTTTCGCTGGTTGGACTGATCATCCAGTCGTAAATGATAGAGAAGGCCTTAGAACTCACGTTGCTCTACATTCGACGGGTATAATCGATCAAGTTTTCATCCTAATCATGTCAATGGACGAACTGTGGCAATTCTTTGATCGAGCAGTTGGACACAAACGAGAGAAAGAGAGCTTACACCAGACAAATCAATATCCTTGCAATTCTTCTCGTCGAAAAACATGCTGTAACTTTGCAGTACAAGCAGATGACAGTAAAATTCATCCTGATCGATTCGGACGACGCAATCGGCGTTCCTTTCAGCGGCACGGAACAAACGAATGAAACATATTTCAATATGACTAAATTTGTATACAGCAAAATGACTTTTTGGCAAAATGTAGCGTGTCGTTATACAGCCCAAAATTTTATCGTTCAAAATTCTGTTCTTACTTGTAGTTTGTGATACGCTTGGCTAATTCCTGATACAGGTCGGTCTTCTCCGGGAGAATGATATTGTCCCAATTGATCGGTTGCTCGTTTGTAAAACCCAGCCTGCTCGCGGAGAGGAGAGATGGTGTGAAAGTAGTTATTTTCAAGATACCTACACTATCCTCAAAATTTACGTGCGGAAAACGTGAACGAAACTAACGAGGCGAGTGGAACTTCATTTGTCGGTGATGGTTGGTGAGCCGATACTTGAGGTTGTCTCTCTGCCATTTCCGACGGAATAAACTTCGTACTTGGTTGAGTTCGCGGCTTGTAGCTCGCTTCGATGTAAGGTAACTTCTTCTGCGCCTGATATTGCAAGGTACACAGGGTTTCAAAACGCTTCGAACACGTCCTCTCAGTTCGGAACGCAGCCGATGGTCCAATGAGAGAACTTACTTAACTTTACTCTCATTGGATCACCGTTTCGAACTGCATCGAGAAAAAATATTCAAACCATTTCGAAACTTTATTCACATTATCGTTGCATCAAAGTCGAGAAATCTATACCGTTCCCATTTACAAAAAATCAAGTTGATCAGCTTGACTTCGGAGAGGCTCACACACGTACATGTTGCTCTTTTAGTAAATCATAAAATAAAGTGTTAATTTAATTTCACCTGCAACTGATCGATCGTAGACGGTGTGACGCCAGGCGGCAGATCAACGTATTTCGCTCGACTCGCGGAATCGGGAAGAAATGTGCCACTATCGAAACCAGGTCGGCCAAACTCCGCTTTGACGTTGACCTTCGTGCGTCGCGGATCGGCGACCAGAACGCTGAATTTCTTCGACTCGAACACCACCTAGAAGGGCTATGCGTCTGCTCGGTGATCGACATTCCTGACTCCGGGGGAGTCCCAAGGTGGCAGCTACTTGAACCTACGAGTGCCTCTTTACCTGATTCGGGATGATCTTGAGATTACCGCTGGGTGTAGCTCGAAAGGGAAACACACGATTTGCCTCGTCAGCCTCGTTCACGCTGATGAACGTCGGGTTCGCTTCCTTGGCGCGCGATTGCGTCCGTTGGATCAAAGAGCTCAGATTCGAGCTAGGTATCGCTTGCTTTCGGCCTATTACGTCGCTCGCTTCCACCTGTCTGCAAGGTTGTAGCTCTCTGAGTGAAATTCCACTCGAGAAGTAGAGTGACAGCGGAGTCACTCAAAATCGAGTGACTTTTCATGCGTGTGGAATGAATTCTTCCGCTCTGAACCCGTCGGATTTCGTTTGAAATCGAAGAGTGAAACGACGAATTTGCGCTGGTTTTAAGCGAGATTGCGTCTCGAATCTACTACCTTGGACGATGGTCCGCAGGTTTCGAAGCGTCAATCGGCGAGCATTGCTTCTTCCAAACTCGCTTGCCTTCGACACACTTCTGCGGCCTTCGGCTGCGAGTCGCGTTCTCGCTCGTCTTCTCTTGAGACCTGATAGGAGCTCTGGGAGTATCAGCTGTGCACTTAGATTCCTTCAAGCCTTCTCCTATCTGCCTTTCAGGCACGACCCGAGGACGCTGTAACGCCGATACGAACCCTTCCACTTGGTTCTCGTGATAGATGTTTACGTGCAGAGAATGCTGCTGCCTCGACGCACGACGGTACCGTCGAGAGGTGAGCTTCCGCCGAGGTAGCGGATATCTCGGTGACCGAGTTTCCGGAGTCTCCACTATCTTTGTCCTTTCCAAACACATTTCCCAATATACGATATATTAATAATCAATTTTATGAGAAATTAGTTTTTATCAAGTTGAAATATTACATAAAAAAATTTGTAAGTTTAATTTAAAATTATCTTAAACACATGGAAGTAACTTTCATGGTTTTGGTCGTCATTTTATGATCGCTATTTCACAATGATGATTATCATTTTATGGTCGATCCGACGTTGTCAGAGTATTGTGACATCACTGTGGGCACAATCAAAACTATAAACTTTCATCATTCTACCGCAAACAGATGCGCTCACTTGTCAGGTAGCGCGGAGCTCGCGGTTTCCGGTCGCGACGTTATCGCTGCCACCGTTTGATCGGACTTCGAAAGTCGCACAGGCACCTTCGAGGTGGAGGACGGAGGCGTGCTGGACCTCCCGTGATAGAGCACGACGACGCTGCTCTTGCTGTTGTCTTCTCGCGGCCGACTGAAAGTCGCTGATCGATCCGCTTTGAGGTCGCCTGCAAGAAGCTCAAGCTGAAGACGGGATCGATCACGCAAGGAGAAGTTCACGTTAAGAAAAGTGCGAAGATATTTTGTTCTCAGTGTAGTTCTTCGGGTTGAGGAGGCAGCAAGAGCCGAGGAAATCCCCCAGAAGATATCCTGAGATCGTTCAGGATGCGCTCGGGACGTTCTAAGACACTCCTTGTGGCATCCTGGACACATTCTGGATGATTTCTTCGGACATTTTGTGCCATCTGGATGACCCAGTCTCTGACGGGATACTCACGTTTCCTGCTGTTCCGTCGAATCAGTCTTACGATCCGCGGTGTGCTGCTCTCCTTCCTGCTGTCACCACAGTACATTAGGCGCCTTAAAAGGAGACAATGAAACGACTCGCGGCTTGGAAGCTTAAGAAGCTCGCGTGAGCAAGAGTTAACTTCCGGGATAGTTACCAAAGCCTCTCGCCGAGTTCACGGCCGAACGCTTCACCGTCGGCCAGCGAGCACCTCCCTTCGAAAGTCACTTGTGGCTACGAAAGATTCGAGAGCAACGGCTTGAATCCGAAGTGTTCGCGACGTAAACTCGAGTTTGACCTTACCTCATATCTCCTCGAACGGCTGCACGACGCGGGAGAGCCGATGCGTCGCGACGTCGCGATCTCGCCGGGCCCTCCTTCGGTAACTGAAACGCGCGTCTCCGCGAGGTAACACACGCGTGTGAAGAACCGCTCGTGGCGAGCGGAACAATCCGTCCCGCGTTCTTCCCGAGACCAACTCCGCGTGACATCGCACACGTGAGTCTCGTTAACACTTACATCACTTACGTAATTTTGCCGCGGCTTTTCTGGCAACGAACAGCTGCTGAGAGCAGCGCGACGATCCCGACGGCGGTTCGAGAAGATTCAGCTGATCGCCCGCCTCGTACCTCAATGTTCGACACGCGAGCCGTGACCTACGACAAGACCGTGTCACTCTGGAAAAGTCAAAAAGAAATGATCATACTACCTTCTCAAACGGAAAAGACAGAAAGTACGCAGGGAGGAAGTGTTAGATTCAAATAAAGAATTATTCCGATGTTCGAATCTTTAACTGGACCAAATAATATTTACTTGATCCAAGTAAAATATTTTCCAAGTAAATTTCATTTAATTCCAGTAAAAATTTGCTAAGGAATATTGGAATAATTATTTGCTTGGATCTGATACATTTTTTACTCTGCCTACTTTATGAAGTGGAATCGCAGAATGCATTACCTCGGATTTAGAAGGTTGAGTTCCGATGAGAAACACGAATCGTCCTCGGCGGTTGTAGAGGTGTCGAAATGCCTCTGCGAACACGATCGAGCAATTAAGTATTCTTTATCGAGTCTGATTAGATATTAAAATTATATTTTGAAAACGTAAATATAAAATGATCATATTTTAATGAATCTTAATTCTAATTTGTCTTAAGCTATCAAGTGTACGTCATGATACGTAAATTAACGTCACAATTAAAAAAATTAATGTCGTAATTAGCACTGACGAGGAATCCGATCGGTCGGTCGAGAAATCGCTCGCTCTCTCTTTTTCCAAAAAATCGCGACATCACCGTCGGCGTGCTCTTTACAAACAAGATCGGCAAATAATTGACCACGTTGAATGTTTCACGCATCTCGTTTATACGGTTACACTCACGTCGTCATAACGTGCGCAGCCTCTTCGCATGTTACGTAATCACGTCCAAAGGATGACTCGGCATAATAACGACTGGGACTCGCTCCTTTTTCGTCTTCGTCGCGTGGCGTAAAAAAAGCGGTAAAAATATATATTGTATATAAATGGGTATGCTGTGACGTTTAACACGAACGGGACATTTGTAAGGGAGCAGCGTGCGCGTGTCCGAAAAGGCCCTGGAAACTTAACAGCTGACAGATGAAAGCGATTGACAAGAGAACGTCCCTCCCGTCGCGTTCCCTTTTCGAAATGAAGAATTATTTCCGAATCGAAGGTCGTCGAGAAATTTAAAAAAAAACGTCTAAATTGCATCATTCGAGCGTACAGCGAAGAAAATGTCATGCTCCTTAATTTCATGAAATAATTCACTCGTTAAATAACTTCCCGCATAAATATACTTCCTATTTACTTAACTAACGTATAAAATATACCATGCATGGACTCGTTCCAAGTTTCTTCAAAGAATCGCTTGAAATTTCAAACGCGAAGACGTTCGGGAAGAGTTATTCGCGTCTCCGTGCCGGAAGAGAATGACAACTTTCCACGAATATCAAATGTTTTCCACGAACGATCGCGTGTGAGTCTTTGTATCGCCGGTTGACGGATGCAAATTTGACGTAATGACAGCCAATTCCGCGCGCGAAGGTAACCGTGCTCATCGATGTGTACGAAGGACCGGGTGTCGACGTAGCACAAGAAGATTATAGACTTTCCCAAGCCGGGGAACCTTGAGACCTATTCGATAGCACCTGACCATATCGGCTACAAAGCAAGTAATTGAAATAATTACCACACTTGTGCCGATTCAGCAGACCTACAGAAAGAATTATTCAAGGCAATCGTCATTACGTTCGCGTGTGGAGGTAGGAAGGATGAAAGCTGCCCGCAGTCCTCTACCAATGGTCTAATGATTTGCGCAAAATGATGTTCTTCGATGGACACAACTACAGAATCAATAAAGTCCTTTTGTCATGGATCGGCCAATGGCCATATCAAACAAGCAGAAGAAGCAACGCTATTATCGTTATTATAGTGTCTTTAGCTGGCTCCCAATTCGTCGCCAAGGTACAACCGAGGAGTGTTTTCGGGTGTCGCGAACTTTGAAATTTGGAATTGTTTATCCAACGAGCACCGCACGGAAAGAAATCTCAGTTATTGCAACTAAATCTCTGGGAAAGGAAAAGATATGTCTGTTACTGCAATTGAACACGCTTGTTTGAGTATTCAGCTGCATTAAAACTCGATTGAAACAACCGAGTATGATTGACTGAATAGAAATCTTTTACAGAAGTCTTCCTGTTTTTACAATCAAGTTTTCGTCTGGCAACGCAGGCAACGGAAACTTCAGTTACATTAACGGAGTTGTTTTTCCCGCGCGTGTATCCTTTTTTTTTGGTTTTATTTAATTCTTCATATTATCTATTTTATATCTATAATTGCACGTTTTAAACATGCGTTTTAAGGTATGCGGTTTGCTCTCCATTGACGATATGGACGTCTTCATCGATTCCCTCTCGCCATTGGTGGTCGATATGGGCTGCGGAGCCAAGTTCTTCACTTGCATATCGAAGGCGACGGAGGTGTGTGACCTTAAGAAAATTTCGCAATCGTTTCCGCCTATCTTTGTACACACATTTTTTTTAGATACGTTGATCGTGTAGAGGAAATTATGTTATCGCCGACCCTGGCGATAATTATTTAAACGATTGGCGAATACAAAAGCTCAAGCGCGTTGAGAATTTGGAACAAGTCGCTCTATATAATGAAGTCTAATTGTAGATCAGGGCGCTTTTCGAGCAAATACAAGACGATTGGCAGGCGCTATCGACGCCTACAAGCGTTGAGATTCTTAACAAATACGCACGAAATGGACGCAAGTTTACAGTTATCTACGCGGGTGAGCACGATTTTATAAGTAAGAAAGCGGAAGAATCCTGGAGAAAGTTTCAGGAAATCGTTCACGAAATTATTTAGCATTATTTAGCACAGCGACGTTCTAGGTAGAACAGAAAATCACGATGACGCTAAAATGATAAGAAAATTTCTACAAAAACTCACTTTTCAAACATTTTTCCATCATTCTGATGTTATTTTATGATGTTATCGTGATTTTTCTCTTCTACCTGCGGAATCGAATCCTATCCTTTTGTCATTGAATTGAATTGCTCTGATAAGAATCGTGGACAGTTCTATTCCAAAAATCGCAACGACGAGTTGAAAACCTGCGAAAGGAAACGTTCGGGTGTGTTTAGGCTCCTTTTATTCCGCGCTGGTGTTATTCATGTTGGTGCCGTTGCAACCGTTATTACTCGGCTCCTCGAACGATACGGCTCGACCGTTATTACACGAAGTCGAGTATTACATCGACATGGACAAATATTACTTCCCGATTTTAATTCACGGATATATCACAGCTGTGATCTGTGTGACGATAGCTATTGCGACAGACACGATGTACGTGATTATGGTGCAGCACGTTTGCGGACTGTTTGCGATCATCGGGTGAGAATCTCTCCGACATACGCTCGTCGGTTCTCTCGCGGTACATTAAGATCTGTATTTACAGAAGAATTGGTTTTTCTTTTCGTAATTGTCAGGAAAAATAGATTTTCCTATTGGATACCAGATGCGTTTTAAGTATCTCACGCGAGGCAAGTTTCAAATCAAACTTGGAACGCAAAGTATCAAATAAACAGGAAAGGCAACCTTGGAGAACTCGTGTCGATTGTTTCAGGCAACAAGTGGAGAACATAATAAAGGAAGAGAAGCTAACGGTGGATATCAATCCACCTGTTGAGAACGATGAACCGTATAGAAACATAATAAAGAGCATTTACACACATAAGAAAGCTCTAAGGTTTGCGCCGCAAAACGTAGACTACGCTGTAGTCGGTTTTACCGTCCTCTAGTCACTTGTAAAACTCTAGTCACGTGTTAAATTCTTTGAAAAAAATATATATATGTATGCCAGCTAATATATATGCTCTGATTCAAACGTATCAAATTCATATATTCCCGCAAGGTTCGCCAATCTCGTGGAAGCCGTGTTCAGCCCGATGTTTCTCTTCGTAGCAGGTTTCAATATGCTTATCGTAAGCATGACGGGCGTCACGGTACGTTCACTTCATTTATATTTTGGACATGGTCGGCGTATTATTTCGAGAAGTCCTGAGATATTTCGCTAATTATATAAAAAACTAGGAAAGAGCATATAGAAAGTAGATGGTGAACAATAGGAATAATTATAATTTTTAATTAGGTTGAACTAAATTTTGTCGCAATATTTAGAATGTCGATTCTATTTAGGCAATGACAAACATAGACAAGCCGTCGGAATTTCTAAGACAAATAACATTCGCATGTGCCTTGTTAGTGCACCTGTTTTTCGAGAGTTTTCAAGCACAGCGACTGATCGACCACAGCGTACATATTCACACCAGCTTGTACGTATAAACGTAAAAAACGAACACTCTGTAATTTTCTCATCAACGTACGTCGCATCTGATCAGATGAATCGCGATTTTCTCTCACTCTCATTTCGATTACTAAATTAAACTAGAAAAACAGAAAAAAATCTTAATCAACTTCGGATATATCGCTTATGTAACACAATTAATATTTTTCCTTTTGCAGGATAAACACGGCGTGGTATCACGTCTCGTTCAGAACGAGAAAGATCTTAATCTTCATGCTGATGAGAACGCAAGAACCTTGTGTGTTAACGGCGGGAAAAATGTTCGTTATATCCATGGATACCTTTTCCACGGTAAGATGTGCGCATTGCACGCGTTGAACGAAAAATATTATATATTTATCGAATGAGAAGTAGTGCGGGAAGTAAATTATCGAAAAATTCGCAAATATTTCATATTCGCACTGACTGCGATTACTTATAACAAAAATGACATCGATATTCATTATATATAAATATTGTGACTTTAATACTGTCTGTTTTACTTCAAGATCGTTCGCGCATCCATGTCCTATTTCACGATGCTGCGGTCGATGCGATGATTAAATCGCTTCCGTACCTCATAAATTGATCTCGCTGTACTGTGGATCCTCTGGAAAACGAGGACGAGTACGCAATCTTGTTGTTCACGACCGGATTTATATATATATGAGCTTTCCTATATATTTTACTTTCGTGGGTTTGTAGACTGGCAATTCTACGTTCGTTTTTATTTGGTTCAGTTTGAATTTCACATTATATTCGGGTATACCTTTCCTGACTAATTTTAGAAACCTATACAAAAAATATCGAAACAAGTAAAATTTCTGTCTGTGGTACACAATTATTAGATTATCAAAGAAGCTCAATTCTTACTCTTCTGCGTATATCTTTTCCTTAGTGATAAACAAGATATCGTCGACATATCTACACAAAAGCCCGCTGCTTTTAAATTTGGGGAACAACTTATTGCACATGTCTTGATAATAGATATCAGAAAAAATTGGCGACAACCGCAAGCCTTGTGGTACACCAGTTTTTATCAAGTATTCTTTACCATATAATTTAATCTATATAAACAAAAGAAAGAAAATGAAATATTAACATAATTTGCAACTTTAATTTAATATTTAATTCGGTTTTACCTTTTGTTTTAATAATAATTTAGAGATCTTAGGGATCAATTTGTTACATCCTACCATTGTAGGTTTTTTATCGATTATACGGATATTTTTTAATGGCAACATTTCTTGAAACAGTCCTATGTTCTCGATAACATATTTTTTCTCTTTTCTGCATTTACACATGCTAAGATAAAGGGGCAAATGTTGTTTAACACATGTTTTAATGATGTTAAGTAATTTCTCTGTAAAATAGAATAGTTTGTTATGTGTTTACTTGATTGGCAAATATCTTTTTTTTAAATCTAGATGTCAAATAAATGATATAAATTATACCTTGTATTATTGACCCAAACGCGTCTTGTATATCACAATGCACATAATACAAGTTAGTTTTGTTTAACTTTTTAAAATTAAGAATTTGTTGAATACAACGTTGAACAGTTGGAATTTCTTCTTCATATATAAAATATTTGCAATATAATTGCTGCAAAAATGTCATAATAATCCCGATAATGAGAGAATTTTTTTCATCTTTGCACCTAAAATGAAATACAATGTTTTCAAAATGATATACAAGTAATAATATTTAAGGCTATTGTCTTATTTATGTATATACATTGCTATAACTCTTAATCCAAGAGAATTTGGAACCAATCTGTATTTCTTAATACAATCTAATGTATTCTGTGTTGCCTGTTTGTCGTATACAAACGTCTGTTTAACCAATATAAGATCACCCGCTTTTACTTTTTCATTTATAAATGCATCCTGTATTTGACACCAGTCATCTTTTGTAATATAAACCCATTGTTGTCTTATTCCTATTAATACTGTATATTTATGTAAAATTTTTATGATATATTGTGCAAAAAACCAATGCAACAATTTGAGTATGATGATCCATTTTTCTTTTATATTTTTTAGTGGATACAACCATTCAATTTTGGAAACCTGCAAAGACAAGCTTATAGTAAATATTAGATATTCCAGTTAGTAAGTTAATAAAAAGAAAAGATAATACTCCTGATAAAACTAAAATTAAAGCCACAATTTATGTTCTATTCGCAAATAAAAACCTACATCAAGCTTTTTCAATAATGGTTCTATGCTTAATGATCCTACTGCAGTAATTATATCTCTTCCCTTATTTAGATGTTCATTTTTTCTTTTAATTTTCTCCTTTATAGGGTGAGTTTTCAGGAGATGGTGCACAGTTTTCTTCACAGCTTTGAAATTTTGCCTTGTTCCAAATAATTCTAATGGAACATTTTTGTATAATATATAACCAAAAAAAGATTTTAATAAATATACATGTATTTGACCCTTGTATCTCTGTTTTGCTAACTTTTTCTCTGCTTTTTTCATTATATTTTTTAATTCATCAAGATATTTAAATTTCTTATGTTGCTTTTTGAATTTTTCTAATATAGGTGAGAGTGTTGGGGAAATATTAGAAAAATCAATATGCTCATCATTTTCTTGGAGCCCAACTTTCATACTTATAATCTTATGAAATATATCTTGACTAGTATTTTCTGTCTCTAAAATGTGAAATTTTGAAATTTTTGCTCTTGTGCAAGCTGTTTTTCTGAGTTGAGATCTAGATTCAAACAATTTCACCTCGGAATTATATTTATTAATTGGAATAAATGCCAAATATTGGTGACTAAATTGTGGTGCTAATTCATTCTTTCTACGTTTTGTGTTTCTTTGGTTTTGGTCCCTCCATTGAAATGGTCTTTTCCTAAAAATAAAGCTGAGTTACAGGAGAAAATAAGCAAAAGTTTTTAAGTTTAATTGTACCATAATTATATCATTTCCCTAAAAGTAAGAGAATATAAATCATGCTGAGAGAAGTTCACAAACAGAGATTCAATAACATACTTATTTCGGTATATATCTCATAAATACATTATACTCAATAAGTAACAAAAAAAACTCTCACCTTTGGCAAGTCCTTTGCATGTTCATCAGAAGATTCCTATGATTTGCATTAGATATTGTATTGCTTAACTGCAAGTCCAAACGATTTATAGCTGTCATAATAACACTAACTACATTCAGCGAAACGATAATTGAGTAGAATTAATAAGGATAGGCGATTCGTGTGTTCGATATATATGCTCTTTATATATGTTTCAATCTCTTTTTGCTCCTTGATGGTGGTATACACGTTATAAATTATGTTTAGATCTAGCCAGAGTCTTAGTCGTGTTACATCGAGATCTCCAGATGATACACAGCCAATGAAATGGCTCTTTGCCAACACAAATTATGCACATAGATGGCACCCACGTTCCTTTGGAGGACGGTTTGGAGTTTTTGTTTCAGAACGCAGCCGACGTCCAATAAGAATTTACTTTCAAGTGACTTTCAGAAGATAGGTTTTTTTATTGGATATCGAATATGTTTCGAAACGCGTCGGGGAAAAAAGTGTTAATTCCGGTTACTAAAACATTCAATTACTAAATTGTTATTTATGATACGTGATGAAAATTATAACATCACGCTGATCACTGCATCAATGCGTTCCTTTTATTCTTTCCTGTATTCTCACGCTCGTTTATGCTATCCTTGAATGTGTTCTACCTCGGATAACAGTGTAGTTAGTTCTTGAATAGCTAAAGGGAACAGACCCACGTACCGCTCGTGTATGTAAAACATAACCTATACAAAACAAATCACTGCAATGTGCCAATGTGACCTTTTTATCAATAATACTTTTTTTTAAAGAGAATTGTTCATCCGCGAATATGTTACGAGGAACGAGCAGGTTATTACCGTCAATCACCGTGAGTATCATGTTTACGTGAGGAAATTCTCAACGAAAATAAACTTACCAACCTATTTTTGTCTTTTCGTTTTTCTTTAATAATATACACGCTAGTTTTGTCGTAATTATCCTTTTCTTCATTCAGCAGACTTATGGGTACAAAATAACCAATAGATACTTGAATTTTGTGCCGGTTGTAGTGGAACAAAGTGGACGTGGTGAACGGGCATATGACATTTACTCCCGTTTGTTGAAGGAACGAATTATTTGCCTTATGGGCCCGGTAAAAGATAAACTTTTTATGTCGGCCGCTAGTTTATAATGACATAACAGTCAACTAATCTATCTGGTGTTTTTTTTTCTCTCATAGATCACTGATAACGTATCCTCTGTGGTAATTGCACAACTTCTCTTTCTTCAGTCGGAGAGTAGTAAAAATCCAATTCATATGTACATTAACTCGCCTGGTGGGAGTGTGACAGCGGGACTTGGAATTTATGATACTATGCAATATGTCCTCCCACCTGTAGCCACATGGTGTGTAGGTCAAGCTTGTTCCATGGCTAGTCTGCTCTTGGCATCTGGAACCAAAGGTATGCGCCATTCCTTACCAAACGCTAGAATTATGACACATCAACCATCAGGAGGGGTGCAAGGACAAGCCACAGATATTCAAATCCAAGCAATGGAAATTCTCAAGTTGAAGAAACAGATCAATGAATTATACGTCAAACATACTGGACAAGAATTAGAAAAAATAGGTATATATAGATACTGCGATTTTTCCTATTACATGTAACTTCACATACTTTATATTTTCATAGAAAGTAGCATGGAAAGAGATAACTTTATGAGTCCGACACAAGCCAAGGAATTCGGATTAATAGACAAAGTGTTAGCGCATCCTATGCAGGAGGAAACAGCAGAAGCAGAGTTGGAAAAAACAAAGAACGTGCCAACTCAGCTTTGATGTTGCTAAATATGATAAAATGTGGTATATACAGTTCTCATTTCTTTGCGAGGTGTACAAAAAGAAAGAAAAGTTGTATTTATCAATATTTAATAATAATAATAATAATAATAAAATATTTATAAAACAATTATAAACTATGTCCTATTCAACTGTGTGTGTGCGCGCACTTGGGAGTAATATATCTACCCTTCTTTCAAATTGGTGTATGTATAAAATACACTAACTTGTAACAGCAGTATAAATGAATATCGGTATAATATGATCGTTTAATCTCTCATCGCGTTATATCTTCAGAACTAGAGGCAAGCACAGTATATTGCTAGTGGCAAATGGATAACACTTGCAGCATATGAAAAAAAAAAACATTCACCCTAAAGTGTACCATTGTATGTTTTATGGTCCGCCTCTGTCGAAGTTTTCATAGCCCAATATTCTCCCTTGTATATATAAATTTCACGCGTGTTTAAAATTCACTAATTTAGTTTAGTATCCCTATTTATCAGTAAAAACCAATGTATTACATTGCTTTTACCTACCCTGTTCGTATAACCATTATCTTAAAATCCTGTTCATCATTCACGTTACGCGAATGCGATACGAGCACGCAGATACTTGCATTTCATTCCTTTCGTTTATCCTAACTTTGAGTGCAATTTTATCGAATTCTGTTGACAATTATATTGATCGGAATCGTACGAAATAAAAATAATGGAAGACAAAGCCTTGCTTTCCCGGGGGGGAAATATTTATACACACACATCATGTAATTAAATTTGACATGTGAATGCGAGTGTGTATATAACTTCTAATAATGGCAGTTTTATATACTTAGTTCTTCTATATAGTATATCAAAATATCCCGTTTAAGATCTATTATCACCAGAGAGGATTGCTTTACGAAGAAAAGCTCTATAAAAAGAGAAAAGTTTCATACATATATATATATATATATATTATATATTATATATATATATATATATATAAAGGGACGGAATAAATTGTCATAAAGCTGAGCCTTAACTAGAATTAAGTAGATCTGCTCGTAAAAAGTTGATCTTCGCGATATCTCCGAAGACAGTCCCCTTCAAAATTGTCATCCCTCGAAAAAAAAAAGCCCCAGTCTCGTACGTTGCGTTTGTCGCGACAATCACATTGGATCTTACTGCGGACAGACCTGCGCGTGTGCGAGTATCAGTATGTCTTTCTTCTCTTTCGGAAATCTAAGCTCCCGGCCCGCTAATCGCGCGGTCTCGAGCTCGCGCTCAGCCAGGGCCAATTCCATCGCCACGACTCCGCCGCCGCTCTCGTGCTCCCTGGCCACCCAATCTAACGCCATTTGGCTACGCATGTCGTCGTCTAACGCGCGGTGGCTGTAATGCGCGACCACTTCCTGCCTGCTGCACTGCCTCTCTCTCATAGCCTTCAAAGAGCCGTTCCAGTGGAGCAATTGAAAGACCGTCATTAACTCTTGAAATTCCAACATCGTTCTTCCGCGATTACACTCCAACATAAAACGAAACGCGCCTATTCCCGTGTTCGGATCCTCCTTCTCGTCGCCGCTCCCCTGGAAGCACACGCGTGTCGTAAACGCGAACGTTCTCACCGTACTGCAGGGAGAAACGTGCAAAATAGAAAAATTCTTGTACTTTATTTACTTGCGCTTGGCTACCGTTCGACGTTGCCGAGGGTTTCGCGAAACTAGCCCTGGCTTCCGCGACAGCCTTCTCAATGAAATCATCGGTAATTTTTCTTGACGGATGTTCGTTGAACACGGAATTCATCAGTGCAATTTTCGCCGCTGATCGGCGCGCTTCAGCCTTGGTGGGGCAATTTTGGAAACTCCCAAAGCAAGATCCACCGGGGAGCGTCACGTAGCAAACGTAAGGTGGACTAGTACCAGGGACGGACTCATAGATGACTAACGCACCATTTCTCAATTCTGCCCCTCTGCTCTGTTTCATCTGCCAGAATTCTTGCAGGGCTTCCACGACATTTACTGTTTGCAGAAGAAGGTAAATGATACAACACGAAGCTGCTTGTGTATAGTTGACAAAATTCAGATCAGATATTTCGTCATACCTCTGCCGTAGCCCTGAGAATGTTTCGCAAAGCTGTTGACGACTGCATCCACAGCTTCTCTTAGAACTTGCTTAGCACGGGCATCCACCAGTCCACCTGTGACCCCCATGTTTTCAGGAACACGAGACTTTGTCTTAACTGGCATCATGCCCTGCATTACCTCTCAGAAGGTTGCAGTCATTTATTCTGAAAGTACAAAATATCCCTTTGACACATTATTTCTAACATCCTGACCAACGATATGGAGAAGCAACGCCTTTACTATGATAAAGAAACATTACATCGTGCATGAAATAGCAAACATATATGCGAAAATTTGCGAGTCCACTCCAACAATTAGCAATAAATAAATAGTGGGGAAATGCGCGTCGTTCGCGAGTCGCAGCAGAGAAAAAATGTAAGAAAAGAGAGCTTTTTTACGACGAGCACGAGTCGCTGTCATCGTTGATGAGTCGTCGAGGACACGACGCGTGCCGCGAACTCACCGAAGAATCGCCGAGACAATGCTATGCGGGCACACCGTGTGGTATCTTCCTGGTGACCGTCGACGACGTTTGGTACGGGTGAGGGACAGCGGCAGAACGACGGTGGCATCGGGCGTGAGAAAGAGCCCGGGAGGTCCGCGCGGAGACCCGGATGCCCAGGAATTCGCGTAAATTACTCTCCGATCGGTGCGCACCGCAGGTCGAGCGCCGCAGGATCAAATTGCAAGACACATATAACGCGTTTAATGGCCCCGGACCGCTGACGATTTCCAGAAAACCAGGACCGTGCGCAGCTCTCTGGGACCCCGCGCCACCGCTCTCGCTCCACGTCCGTCGCTGGGTCCGTTCGCCTTTTTCACTTTGTCGCCGAGGCTTGCCAACCGAGCGTCAAGTAGCCGTGTCTCTCTTTTTTTCCTCCCGACAGTGCCGTAGTTCAGCGACCGCAGCCGGTGGGGTGTCTTGCCGATCCGTTCTTTCGGAAGAAACTCGTCGCTGCACAACACGTGCAGCAACGTGGTTAGTAGCATGTTGAGAGCATGAGAGAAATCAATCGATCGAAAACAGCAGTGTTATGATACGTCATACGAAAGAACCAGACGATACTTTATGGTATTTAGCTTTCGACAGGTATGTCGATATCGAATGTTTCGATGTAACATTCGACCGCATCGAGGAAGACTTCTTTTTATTATTTGAACGGCGGCGAGGTTCTCTCGCGCATATTCTCATGTCAACCTCTCGTGTATGTGTGTGTGCGCGCGCGCATGTTACACACATACTATCCGCGCCTCGTATGTGTGCACCTGTGCACATTAGCGCAACAGCTTGGATAATTTGAGAACTAAATGACTGAAAGTTCTCGCGAGAGGGCTCGACGATCAGCGCGCCGCATCATGGCGATTGAATATCGAAACGTTAAGCTCGTTTCTAGAAATACACCAATCAGACCGCAGTATTTCCAGCACGCAATTATCTAGCAGACAAAACGTATCGTATGCCATGGGCTTTACTTCCGGTTTACCGGGAGATTAGAAGATCCAAAAGAATCACAGCGAATCGCTAAAGATTCATGTCAAAATCCTGAAAAATTAAAATTTATAGAAAAAATGAGATCTGCGAAGATTCACCAACATAGTTGCTCAAATCCTTAAACTAAAGATCGGGAGTTTCGACAAACGTGGAAAATAATATAAAAACCATCAAAATTTTTTAACATTTCTTGCCTTTAAGAACATTTTATTTCTAGAAGAATTTGATTTTCTACATCAATTCGAAAGATATCCTTTTTAGTCTTTTAATATATTGTAAATCGAGACTAATTAAATGAATAATGTGCGCGTCATCTGTAAGTAAGAACATAAAGCTGGATGACGCAGAAGACGTTCGTAACACGTTACGTTATATGCTCGCCGTAAACTTATATGTAAGCCTGTACGTAACAGTAAACTTAAGTCAACGTACAAAAAAAATTGTAACCTATCAAAAGCGCGATTATACGTGGTTAGACACATCATCCTTGAAGTAAGTATATGAAATTTGTAATTTGATGAATTCTTTGATGATTAAGTTACAAGTTAAAGAAATGACAAATAAATAATAGTCTTGTAAAACAATTTTTGTACTTGTTCTATGTAAGGTTAGATATAAAGTTAGATATAAGGTGATGTAAAAGGTTGATGGTAGTTTGTGTATTGTCTTTAAGATTCTTTCTCAAAAAATAATTAATTTGACGTTTTCTTAAATTGAAAATATCGTAGAAACATCACAAGAACTATGGTAGAAAAACCTTGAGTATGCTGAAAATGGTGAAGATATCATGCATCTCTGCTTCAGTTCTAGAGATAGATACTGCAGTCGTGAAGATGATTATATAATTCTATCTGGCAATGAGATACGTTACTGAAATGTTTAATGCTATTCTATTTTCTGGTTACATTCTATTATTTAATGACTTGAAATCTAATAACTTTTTATTGTATATTCTCAGGAAAAATCAAGACATATGATATAAGAGTAAGATTCAGATCTAAAAAAAAAGAAAAAATGCTGCTAGCAGTGATAGTAAGTCTCATGATATACTAAACATTTTTAAGATAATTACTGCAATAGTTCCTTTGATTTATATTTTACATTTGTAGAGCCCAACTGAACTGTCAACTATTAATTTCATGGCATCAAAACTTCATCCACTCCTAGAAGAATCAGTCGGAATGTCTACAAAGGTTTTCTTCAAAGATCTCGATGCTAAATTAACATTTACACAGAGCTGTTTAATGTTACCACAGGTATTAACTTTAACAAAAAGTTCTTTCTTTTTGACAGAGAACGTTAGTCATAGCTCAAGTTGGCCAAATAAATAATGATAAATATGAAGAAAAGATTCTCTGGAAAATTAATGTAACATGAATGTCTTCAGTATTGCAATATTTTAACATTCGTTCTTTTCCTCTTTCTCTCTCTTCTATTTATTTATAATTATATTAATCGATCTCAGTGTGATCAGAGTGTAACATAATTTCATGTGCAACAATATATGATATGATAATAAACACCCCTCTCACATCTGAGAGCTATTCACGCATAAAATAGAAGATAATAGGAAACTCGAGAAACTTCAATTCCACAAAAGAGATGCACACTTGCAGCACAGTGACGATATAATATATCGAAATAATAATTATTCTCGTATCCTGTAACCATTTTTGCAACTTGTAGATCCTCATTATTTCAACATCACATGCTACCGTTAATCACACACTGTTAATTATCAATCCTGCATAATTGCTAAATGTAACAAACACTCAGAGTGGTCGAAATTCGGCGAACCGACCGACTTGCGGGTCGAGGAAATATCGGCGACTCGTTGGTTAACGTAAACTTCGCGTCAGGAATCCGGTCTAGGTTGGCGCGTTCATCCACACCCGTGTTCCCTAATTAACCGCGGGAAATATCGACGACGCCCTCGAGTACACGTGGCAAGACCTTCCTCACCTGCGGGACGATCGCCCGCCACGGAAGCAGGAAGAAGTCGGTTTGGCGCGCCGCGACGATTTACGCGCGCATGTTTCCCGCGTGACGGCGGCCGGCGGTGCAGCGGTGTGCATAGCTGCGTGTTTGTATGTGTACGACGGATCAGCTGAGTGCCAGCTGTGCCGCGCACCTCGGCCAATCAGCGGCGAGCGTACTGGCGGTCGCCGCTTGGACGTTCCCGCGAAACGCTGCGAGCTCGCAGACGCCAGTGCTCTTCGCGGGAAAGTTCACCGTCCGCTAGCGCGCGTCCTCGCGATTAATGCCCACCGGTTCGTATCGTCGCAGTTGCGAACGTGAGTGCATCGTCGGCTCTTGGCGTTGTGCAGCGTTGTGAGTGCAAACGCGAAGGGAAACACGAACTGCCCGGCGGAAATACAGTGTGAATAACGCGCGGTTGCGGCGGACTTTCCTACCTTCTGCTCGCCGGGAATCGGTGATCCTGGCCGCGGTTAACACGTCTGTCCGTCCAGCTGACGTTCGATCGCCACATCCAGGAGGGTAAATACGGCGAAACGAAGCTGCCGCAACGCGGTGTTTCGCCGGAGGGACATCGACCTCGCGCTCGCGCCCGGACACGTGGAAAATTCGGCGCACAGTGAGAGAAGCACCGGAGAGTCGGGGATCCGTGACAACGTCGTATACCACGAAAATCACCAAAATTTGCCCCCGTTCTTTGAGGTTATGTACCACTTATAGAGGGCGTCGCGACACGAACAGGGGTTGGTCACAGTTTCGCGCGCTAGTCTCCCGCGCTTCGAGATCCACGTCCCTTATTTTCGGCGGAATATTGTTAATTCCCGGCCCGGCTGCACTGCGGAGTGGCTTGTAAAAGAGCCAGATGAATTCGCCGAGCGTCAAAATCGTCGTCCGGCGGGAATTCTGAGTCGTAACACCGAATCAAAGGCGGCCAAGTGGACGTGCGTTAATGGCGATCGGGTGCGCGTAGGCTTCGTGTCGTCCCTCGCTTTTCGGCATTTTCCTGGGAAAACCGTCGCGGCCGGATCGAGGAAAACGCGCGGACGTCAGTTCCAAGGACCCCCGGTGCCGGGGACGTATAGAAAAAAATTATTCCAGCGGCAAACATTTTCCGTACACGTTGGCAATTTCGCGGCAAGATGCCACAGACCAGGTGAGTGATCGATGTTCCATTTGGCGTGTAAATTTAGATATATCTCTCCCGTATGGTTCCCGGGGGACTCGGCGCACGATGAAATCGATTCGACGCGCATCGATTGACCGATCGGAAGTACGTTCTTTCCGTTCGCCCTCGAATTTTACGCCTATAACCTTCTTCCCCGACGTGCATTCTTTTCCGGGAGAACAGATTAGCAGATTTGCCTCTGTAATATAATAATTTGGCGTTCCCTGGCTCTTCAGACAGCATTATTCAGCCTGTGAATCTACGAATCAACGGCATTTCAACCATGAACGATTTTTCACATTCTCATAGATCCGTTGAGAAAAAAATTACCTTCACTGATGCGGAAAATGCAATGTGCAATTTATCTGTTTTATATAACATGCCACAGTTTCAGAAAATTGTGCGATGAAGTGAATCCTTCTTGTATATTCAGTTTACAGGAGAAGAAGTCTTCGCAGACATATCTGCAAGGAGGCAAGACCCAGTCATCCCTAAAACGTAAAAGGCGAGCAACAGAGATCTCAGAGGACTCCGAAAATATATATCCTCCTAGCAAAGTACCGTCGTTGTCTCATGTTCCTTACACGGAATCCTGTCACAATACACAATCGGTTGACAGTGCGTGTACTCCCCAACATCAAACGTCTCCACTGAAGGAACAACAGGAACCAGCCACATGGTCGGAATTGAGAACTGCGACTTGTTTCTTGACACCATCAGCCTCCAACAGTTCGTCCAGTAGACCTAGTCCATTACCATCCATTCCATGGGCGGATGGCTCTCAAGTGTGGTCTCACATGTGCCTCGGGGATCAGAAGACTCTAATTCAAAGGGACCCACAAATGTTCCAAAGGCATCCGACATTGCAGCCAAAGATGAGAGCAATCTTGTTGGATTGGTTGATTGAAGTATGCGAAGTGTACAAACTACATAGGGAAACTTATTATCTCGCTATGGACTATATAGACAGATTTCTGTCTATTCATCTCAATGTACCTAAAAATCAGCTGCAACTGATAGGCATAACTTGCCTTTTCATTGCCTCCAAGGTTTGTAGATTTTTATCGCCGAGTAAATTGTGCGACATAAAAATACATTCACATTGAATGAAACCGTTTGTAAGACAGATTATTTCGATTACAGGTTGAAGAAATATACCCGCCCAAAATCGCAGAATTTGCGTACGTTACTGACGGGGCCTGTACGGAGGAGGAAATCTTGGGAGAGGAGTTGGTTATCCTGAAAGGCCTCGGATGGAATCTGTCCCCGATAACTGCTCCGGGATGGCTCAATATTTACATGCAAATCGAGTCGGGCGATTGGTCGAGGCCGAATACCTTCATATATCCACAGTACGGTGGATTACAATATTGTCAAGCGGCTCAGCTATTAGATCTGGCGACGTTGGACGAGAGCAGTTTGAAGTTCCCTTACAGTCACATAGCTGCGGCGGCGATTTACCATACTCAAGGAAGGGAGTGCGCGTTAAGGGTATCCCGATTGTCATGGGAACAGCTCGCTCCTTGCGCCAAGTGGCTCGCAGCATTCGCCACTACTCTCGCGGAAGAGGACGGTGAGTCCCTCCTGAGGTCTACGATCACATCCATGGAGTCGCACTCGGGATCTGGACTGAGGGCCACTGTACCTAATATAGTTGTGGACGAGTCGCATCGCATACAGACTCACGTAGTCGATCTGAAGATGTTAGACAAGGCGCAGCAACGATTAGTTGGAGAAGTGCCCTGCGGCTACGTCAACGACTCGGAGACGACTATCGAGTCCGGTAGGCAAAGTCCTAACGAGAGTGGGCTCTTGACTCCACCGTCTAGTAGTCAGAAAAATTCTCCTGTACCGTCGCCGTGTCCCACGCCACAACTGCACCCTTATACGTAATTTAATATTTGCAAACGCTTAATATTATATGATAAATTGTTATGTATTGCCTATACGTCAATTATAACTCGGTAATTACGACGATGCTTGTGGGAGCGTGATCCAAGTACTGTAGTAGAAGCATTGCCACATGCAAATAAGGAAAAAATTTATGTTTTAATATATATATATATATATATGTATACATATATATATTTTATATGTATATATATATATATAGTTTTTTTCGATAAGGCTAATATTCGCATCTGAAGTTATATATTTCCTAATTGCGGACAATCGGAGCCTGGTAATAATAATAAAACAGGATGTTTAATAGTTTTTAAACACTTACTAAAAAATAATGCGGAATTAATGCGACATCACGTATTTTTATTACGAATGGTCGAGATAGCGCTCTAGAGTGTCAAAGCATTTATAAACTTAAATAGAAGCCGTGACTACATCGTTAGCTTCTATGATTATTATCATCTTATATTTACTATCCTCAAGATGCGAGATAAGCAAGACAAAAATAAGTGCCTTATTAGTGCCCGTAATGGAGGAAAGGAAATATCCTTGATGAAATGAATTTCTACCTGATTTTTGAGAGGAAAAGATATAAAAATGTGAATAGTATTCTTTTATATAACTCGCTTTACTGTAATGCAATGTATTGCGGCGATGCATTACCGAGTTGAATGAATGTATTTTTATGTATATGTGAAGTTCCATTAAAAAAAAAAGAAAAAAAAAGGAGGTATATTCTTGTTCTTAAATCGAGCGTGAGTGGCGAGGGATGCATGTGAGGGTCGAGTGAGATGGCAAAATAGTAATATAATAATAATAATAATAATAAAGATGAAAGCCGACTAATAATCTTTAACGAGTTAAGCATTATAAAATTTTGTGGTGAATTTGCACTGCCCAGTATGTACTAACGTGGCGGTTTATACATTGTATGAAGAGTTTGACAATAAACATTTGTAAACTTACAACACCGAAAAAGACTGTTATCTTCGGAAACCCGTCTAGGATGGATCCATTTCGCCGATACGATGAACAATATTAAAATCTGCGATAGGAAGAAGCAGGATATATACGACAGGAAAACGAGGCGAGGGAAACGCTACGCCGCGTACAAACAACTTTAACAATTCATCGGCCATCCTCGATCTTCCTCGACACTCTCCCCTTCAACAAACAAGAAGCCGACGATGACGCCGACGGGAGGAAAGAATTCGCTGACGCGCGGGCAACGGCCGGAGCGACCGCTTTCTCGGACGCGAACGCGGCGCGAGTCCGGATTTTAAATTGAACGACGACAATCGATTAATATCGCGCGGCGCTCATTCGATATGCGCTGCCTTACCGACGCGCAGGGAACGTTCGAGTGGCGCCGCGACCGCCACGCCGTGGAACGCAACGGCGCGTTCTGATTCGCCGCTGCGTTCGCATTCAAGTTGTCAAACGGCCGGCCGACCGTTAACAGGCAAACGAATCGCGCGACGAAATCGGCTCCTCGGTTGTTCGCGGGAGCGCCAGGTCGCCGAGATCGAACGTAGTGCTACGCGCGTGTGACATAAGGTCACCCCAGTGTGTCGATACGCGAACGTCGTCGATCCCATTTCCACAGTGACACCAGTGCGGGTGCATACGCATACCTCTGCGCGGATACCCTTTGTTCGCAGAGACGGCGGTGGGCTGACGCGGAGTGTGTGAGTGGTGCGAGTGTGAACTTGCTGGTCTCCTCCGAGTGTGACTGTTGACTCCTCGTAAGTAAATTCGCGTCCCGTATATCTTCGGTTTTCCTCTCGTGCGAGTATATCGGTCGAGGCACGCGCGAATGTTTCGCCCAAAAGTTTTTGGTTAGGCTGGGGCGGGGGGGAGGGGAAGGGAG